TACTGCATTAAATTATTTATTTTGATTACTGATTTTTCTTTAGGTATACTTAAGTTTTGCACTTGAGGCCAGCGCCTCACTCTCCTGACCCTGGGCATGGGTCTAGTCCACAGTTCCCAGGGTCTGTGATTACTTAAAAGACCTTGAAACTGGTTTTCTTCCCTGATCCCCCGCCTATGCCGGGAGGATCAGGGCCCAGGGCTGCAGTCCAGGACACCCCATCTAAATCTAACCAGAAACTTCCTCCTGCCCCTTATCTGGGGTGAGGTGGGGCTGACTGAGGGCCCTTGCAGACCTCAAGCTGGGTGGGACCTTGAGAGGAGGTTGCTGGAGGGGAAGGGGATGGAGTTCTTAGAAAGCCGATCCTGGGAAGAGGGTCGCCAGATGACACAGGAGGAAGCAGCTGGAAGCTGTTGGGCACTGGCTTTGGCAGGGATGGGTGCCTACCACTGGCCCTTGGGACAGGGTTTGAATTCTCCACTGGGCAGGGTGAGGGGGGATGAGCCCAGGACATGAACCACAAGGTCCACCCTGCTGGACTGTGCACCTGGGCCAGCTCCCTGCCCAGGGCAGCATCTGTGTGAAGGGACGAGGCAGGGCCTGGGGGGCCTCCCTGGCTCTGGCGGTGCTGCTGGGGGAGGAAGTTTGTTCTATCAATTTGGATATTGAGTCTCACGGGCAGAGGCAGCTGGAGTGGTGGGAGGGCCTGTAGGCTGCATAGTGAGAGCAGGAACTGATGCTCAACTTCACTGCATTTACAGTGTGTGGCTTAACCACTCGAGCCTTAACTTTCCTCTCGGAAAATGACGTCCCTAGTCCACAGCAGGACTAGGATGAGGTGTGGCCTATGGCATGTGCCTGGCCCAGCGCTGGCACCTGGAAAGTATCTGGGACATCTTAATTCCTTTTTCACATCCATTCCATTGCTCATTCAAGCCCATTCCTGGGAATAGCACTTTCCCTCTTCTAGTATAGTTGCTTGGGAATTAGTGACTGGTGAGGACCCCTGTTTTCTGTCTCCCAGAGGGTGCCCCCTTTCTGGGTAACACTGCTCCCCCAGCTGCACGCTGCAAAGCACTCCAGAGGGGCTGGCTTGTGCTCTCTGACCACAGAGGACGGCCCCCCCCCCCATCAGGACCCTACATCACATGTGCTGGGCCAATGGAGAGTCGCGGTGGGGATTCATGACTGACTCCACAGCTCCAGCACCCTGGAGTTCCCTCTTCTACATCCCTCTCCCCGGCCGCTCTTCTGCCAGCTCTGCTTCCTGGCACCTCACTCCCTGATGGTCTGGGGGCTGGCTGTTGAAGGAGAAGCCCCCCCTTCTCATTGAAGGACTCTGATGAGTGGGGCTGCTGCTCCCCCTCCCCTGCGCCCACTGTCTCCAGGGATCCTGATTCGATTTCCTCCAATCACCAGTATTGCCATCTGCCTGGGGTAATTAAATGGTATTTGAATTGGATCCAGAAATCCTATCGCAAGCAGCCCACGTGGTAGGTGCTCGCCAGCAAAACTGGAGGGTCCTCTGAGGCTGCCTGGGCCAATCCTCAGTTCACCTGGGGTAACCTGGATGCCCTGGGCAGGAAGTGTAACAGGCTGGGGGGCAGAGCCAGAACTGAGGGTGAGTGCTCCAGCTTCCTCTTTAATGCCTGGGGCACAGTACCACATCTCTCTTCTGAGGTCCCTGCCTGCTCTGTCCCCGAGACTTTGAGCCATCTTTACCCATGGCACAATGACTCCTGCCTCAAAGTGACACTATAGCATGGGGCGTTGAGGAGGCAGCCCCCCCACACAGCCTGGTTCAAACCCCCCTATGTCCCTATCTGTCCCTGACAAATGTGCCATCTATAACAGGAGGGGTGGTATCCACTGTGTGGCAATGTCTTGAGAATCACATTAATAGCATGTGGCAGAGCTGTCCGTGGAGACTCCACCCCTATGGCAAGGAAAGTGAAAGCAAAATTAAACATGTGGGACTACCTCAAAAAGTCTTTCCACAATGAAAGGAAATACTACTAGATTAAAAAGCCATCCTACTGATGGGAGACGGTGTTCACACAGCACACAGCTGATAGGATGTTCATATCCAAAGTCTATAAAGAAGTCACCCAGTTTAACAACAAAAGGACAAGCAGCCAAGTTAAAACCTGGGCAGCAGATCTGAAAAGACAGTTACCAAAGGGGACCTGAGAAGGCCAACAGATATGTGAGAAAATGCCCTCATAACTTTTTTTTTTTTTAAAGATTTATTTATTTATTTATACAAGCACTGGGTACAGTCAGAAGCACGGGAGGATGAGAGAATTCGCCAGAGGGGAGAGCAGAACAGGCAGACTGACGAAATACACTGCTGAGAGGAGCAGCGGGCGGCAGGAGAGGTCTGCGGGCCATGTGGGACCCTCACCCGGCGGCCGGGGATCAAACTGGCGCTGCAGAGGCTGCGGGCAGCTTTGCAACCCAGCGCTCAACTGCTGCGCCACTGGGGAGGCCCAGCCCTCATAACTTTTACTAAGGGCAATGCAGGCCAAATCCACCATGAGATGTTACCTCACACCCATGAAAATGGCTTACACACACACACACACACACACACACACATATATATATATATATATTAAAGATTTATTTATTTATGCATACAAGAACTAGGGTGCAGGCCAGAGGTGCGGGGGGTGAGAGGATTCACCAGAGACAGAGCAGGGAGCAGAACAGGCAGATCTACTAAAATACACTGCTGAGGGGAGCAGCGGGTGAGACAGGAGAGGTCTGCTGTGCCATGTGGTTGTTCCCTGGCTGGCAGGATCGAACTCATACTGCAGTGGCTGGTGATAGCTTGATAGTGCTTGTCTTTAATCCTTGTGTCACCAGGGAGGCCCTGAGAATGGCTTATATTGACAAGACCCCAATAACCAGTGCTGGAGAGGATGCAGAGGAGAGGAACATTAGTTGGTGGGAATGTAAACTGATGCAGTCATTTTGGAAAGTGGTCTGGGCCTACCCTAAAAAACCAAAGAGGATCCCATTTTTGGGTACTATATGAAGAACAGGAAATCATCAACTGAAAAAATGATGTGTTCTTCAGTGTTTATTACAACATTATTTATAATAGCTAGGAAATTGAAACAACCTAAGTGCTGTCTGCAGAGGACTGGATAAGGAAGGTGTGGTATGTCCATGCAGTGGAATACTACTCAGCCATAAGCAAGGATGAAATGTTGCCACTTACTGCAAAATAGAAGGAGCTCAAGGGAATTAGGTGAAGCAAAATCAGTTAGAAAGATGAAGACAAATATTGGACTATTTCTCATACATGAATAAAATAAGGACTCAACATGAATGAGCTGACAAAGCAAAATAATTATGAACTATTGAACACTGACAACCAAAAAAGTGAGGATTCTGAGATAAAAGGAAAGGGGAAAGGAGAAAGGGTCAGAGGGGTAGGTGATGGGAAAAAGATACAAATTTTAAAAATAAAATTAACAACAACAATGAAGAGTTATTAAGTCCGAGCTTAGCTGCCTGGCACATCGGGTGTGGCCGAGTTAGATGTGTTGCTGAGGACAGAATTCTACTGGGGGATCACTGAGATGCCAGGTTCTCCTGAAAAGGCTGGATAAAGTTAGTTGCCTCCTCAGGCTTTCATTCCTGTCAGCCTTCATGGAGGAAGTGCCCTTCCTTGTGAGGACCTATTCATGCCTAAGGGAAAACACTGCGTAGGAAAACCCAGAGGAGCAACCCCAGTGTGTGAGCCGGCCTGGTGTGGCTAACCTCCCGCTGACTGCCCCCTCACTGCAAAGCACAGTAACAGGTTTTGCCAAGAGCCTGCCGACCTGCAGCCCTGAGTGGGCTTTAGGAACTGGGGCAGCCCGGACAGGGGCAGGACGGTGATGGGGAGACCCTAACTCTGTGGCAAGGCCCCCTGGACTCTGGCTGGGTGCTGGCCAGGCCCCTCTCATTCTTTTCTTCTCTTGGTAAATGTTGGCTTAGGGAGAGGGAGGCTGACAAGCAACTCATTGTGAGTGCCCACTGACAGGCTGGCTTGTGTGGGCCCATGTGTGGGCACTAACTGCCCCCCCTCCTTTTACTTTAGGGCATTTGGGAGGTGCTTGCTTCCAATCCCTGCTCACGCATGCTCCTTGACTCACACTTGGTTGCCATGGGGACCTGCCCTGGCGATGACTGCTTGGAAGAGGAGGAAGGGTTGGCTGGATGGAGACAGCTCTTCCATGGCTGATTCCCAACTTAACTCTTATGCCACTTTTCTTCCTCTTTACAGTGGAACCCATAAGAATCTAAGCCACCCCTGTGGCTGGCCTGGCATCCTCCTAGAGCAAATTTTTTACTTGACCTGGTCTGTACTTGGTCTGACCCTCTTGTCCCCTGGAAAGGAAAACCCTTGTGCCTGAGAATGTTCTGGCAGGCTGTAGCATCTGGAAAGGGAACTCCTGAGCTCAAGGACCCTTGTAGTCCCTGAATGCCTTGGCAGAGGCTCCGGTCTCTTCCAGAACTTAACCCTGAGGGGAGAGCCCTATCCTGCTCTTTCCCTCTCTGGGAATCTGATTGCTAGGGCTCCCCACTCAGTTTCCATTCAATCAGGAGTGGGTGTCTGAGGTCAGACTGGCTGGTGCTTGACTTGATCGTCTTCAAGTATATAGAACAATTCTCCTGGCTCCAGTTTCCTCCTCTGTAAAGTCAGGCAGATAATACACACCCCACAGACTTATAGTGAAGAATACAAGAATTCATTTATGTAAAAAGACTCCTAACACAGCCCTGATATAGAGAGGGCTCAATAAATGTTAGCAATTGCTGTTTCTGATGGTGTGGATATTATTATTGTTGATGTTGTTATTGTGCTCTACAAAAGCTGTCATTCTCCTGTGGGCCCGGGGAGAGGGGACTCCTAAGCTTCCATCTCCTCCAGCTTTGGCTGGAAATAGAAGCAGGGAGGGGGACTTCCACGTGGGTGTGACCCAGGATTCTCCCCTTCTGGGCAGGATACGGCCCCAGCTGTCAAAGGAGAAGATTGAGGGATGCCACATCTGTACTTCTGTCACCCCGGGGGAGCCCCAGGTCCTTCTGGGGAAGGACAAGGCCTTCACCTATGACTTTGTCTTCGACCTGGACACCTGGCAGGAACAGATCTATTCTACCTGCGTGAGCAAGCTCATCGAGGGCTGCTTTGAGGGCTACAATGCCACAGTGCTGGCCTACGGCCAGGTAAGCTGTCTGCACCCCCACCAGGGCCCCCCCAACACTGGTCTCCCCCACCTGATGGGAGAGACAGCCCCCTTCTGAGCAGTCAAGACACAGTTTCCCCTGTTGTCTGAGGCTGCTGCATCACTGCTAGTTAGCAGAGGGAGGGCTGTCGTTAGAGGCGTCCACAGGGTGTGATTTGGGGACCGGGAGAGGTTGGGGGTCTCAGGTGGGAGGTGGATGGCAAAGGGTCCAAGACTGGCTGGTAACACCCTGCTTCCATCGTTGCCCGTGCAGACAGGGGCCGGGAAGACGTACACTATGGGCACTGGCTTCGACACAGTGACGTCGGAGGAAGAGCAGGGCATCATTCCAAGGGCCATCGCACACCTCTTCGGGGGCATTGCTGAGCGCAAGCGGCGGGCACAGGAGCAGGGCGTGCCTGGGCCTGAGTTCAAAGTCAGCGCTCAGTTCCTGGAGGTACACTGGTCTCATAGGGTGGGCAGGAGGGAGACTTGGGGGACAGCAAGACAGTGGAAGCTGGGCTCTCCTCCAGAGTGTGCACAGGCCTAAGGGAGCCATGGATGCATCTAGAGGTGAGGAGTTCCCTGCTGCAGGAAGTACCAGAGCAAGAGCTGGAAGATCACCTGCGGGGTGCTCTGAAGGGAAGGGAGGGGGTGTCTTGTATCAAGAGTGTGTGATCTATAGAATCTCATGAAACCCGACTGATGCTCACAGCTGTAACCATGACTAGCCCTGTGACCTTGGGCAAGACATTTTACCACTGAGCCTCATCTGCCAAAGGGGCGGATGAAATCTATTATCATAGGGATTTTGTGAGGATGATGTGGAAGCACATGCGTGGCCCCTGGTCCTCCCCGACCTCAGGGCAGCCTGCCCTGTCCCTTCCTGACTGAGGTCCTGCCTAAATCTCTGACTCTCCCAAAGGGAGAATTTGCATCTGGCCCCGCCTGTTGCTGGGAATGTCAGTGCACCGCAGGCAGGAGTTGTGGCCACAGGGACAGTGAGGGTGGGGGTGGGGACATATCAGCTCTTTGACCTCTGCACCTGGGCTGAGTCCCAGCTCAGAAACCCCAGAGGTGGAATTCCTGCCTGCAGAGGGGCCTCTCAGAGGAAGGCAGGTGCACATGAATACTTCTCCCCAGGCCTGACCTGCACGGGCTCTTACGGGACACTTGAACAACTCAGCATCTCCAGGTTCCTAGTGTCTGAAACCCCAACCCGCTGACATTCCCAGGCCATCTGCTGGGCATGAGTCCCCTGGGTACTCACCCACAAGCCCCGTGCTGTTCCTCCAGGCAAGGGTGCAGCCACACCCTCTGTAGGTTTCCCTTGCCTGGCAGTTATTCACACCAGGGTACACGAGGCGCCTGTCCATCCCACCCAGGGGACCTTGTACTTTAGACCTAGAAGGGTTTTTTTTTTTGCCCTATTAGACTTTTGCTTCTGATAAACTGGTTGTGTGTGTGTGTGTGTGTGTCCTGCTTGTGTATCTCTAAGCATTTTTTGCCCCTTTTTTTTCACCCTTTTTCCATACTGTTGCAATGGAGATCCCCAAATAGTGGGCCAGTTCCTAGAAGATCCATACCAGTGGGTGAACCACAAAGGGTTAAATCATGCCTGTGTCTGTCCCAACAGACAGACAGACACTATGGCACCCACATCTGCACCAGTCCCTTTGATTTCCTCTTCCCCTTCCTGCAGGGGTATTTCTGTCCTTGAAGCCCAGCAAAGCCTCGGATGTCCGAGGGCTGTTCTGCAGCCTGCCCCTCCCCCACAGGATCCGTGGCCTCTGACCCTGCTGCCTCCCCCCACCCCCTTCTTCCCCTGCTCCTCAACCTCAGCCCTTAACTGTGCTTAGGGAAAAGATTTCACCTTCCCTGCTAGCGACTCCAAATGTGGAACTTCCAAAGCTGAGCCCACTGAAATGGGTTGACTGCCCTGGCCAGGGCCCCTCCCCATGTGGTCTCACCAGACTCTCTCAGGAGGCCAGGCCACAGTGGCACACTCTCCTGCCAGCTCCCCTCTTGAGCCCGGAACAAGGCACACAGCACGCTCTCCCCCTGGGAGGTGGGAAGCTGTCGGCACCTCACCCAGGACCATGGGGATCAAGGCACTGCTCCCACTGTCCCCACTGGGCTCGGCTGGCCCTCTCTCTTCTGGACCGACACCCCAAGCCCTCTTTCCCAGTCAGTAACATAACAGGATCTGCCCGAATCAGGGGTACATCTGTCGCATAGCCATCTGGGACCTGGGTTCCTTAGTCCCTGCTAGGTCCTTTGTTCCCCACTGAGACTGGGAGCCAGTGAGTGCTGCTTCTTTAGGGAGGGGAGGGCATCCTCAGGGTGGCTCTGCCCAGCGCTGCTGCCCTCCTGCCTCTGTCCAGTAGAAGGATGAGGAATCCAGAACCCAGAGAGGCACCCAGAGCCTCAGCTTCCACATCAGCAAGATAGAGTTGGTTCATAAATGTGACAGGGCCCCAGGCCGCATGCCCAGTAAGCCCAGGAGCTGTGTCCCTCCCTCCCCCCAGCTCTACAATGAGGAGATCCTTGACCTGTTTGACAGCACGCGGGACCCTGACTCCCGCCACCGCAGGTCCAACATCAAGATCCATGAGGACGCCAATGGCAGCATCTACACCACGGGTGTCACTTCCCGCCTCATCAACTCCCAGCAGGAGGTGAGCCTCTGGAGGGCCCAGCTGGCCAGGGCTGGCACCACAGCCACCCGGGTCCTCACCTCCACCTTCTTCCCCAGTTGATCCAGTGCCTGAAGCAGGGGGCCCTGTCGCGCACCACGGCCAGCACCCAGATGAACGTGCAGAGCTCACGCTCACACGCCATCTTCACCATCCACCTGTGTCAGATGCGCGTGTGCACCCAGCCTGACCTGGTGAGCAGCGGGGCCCACTGCATTGCGGGGGTTTTTGGGGGTGAGACAAGGAAGGCGCCATGGCTCCAGAGCCAGAGCACTCGGGTTTGGGGCTTGCCACTGCCACTCGTTGGTTTCCTCTTTTCCTGAGCACGTTACCTGGTCTGCACAATGGGGTGTCGATACCTCTGTGGTGTGAGGATAGCGAGCAGCAGGCGTGCAAATATCGAAGGCTGTCGGATGCTCCGCATGTCCCAGGGGCAAGGTGCCCTGCAGTCTGCCCTGACTCTGCACCCGAGTCCCCCAGGCGGCATGACCACAGGTGGGGCAGGGAGTGAGATGCTGACTTCTGCTGTAGGTGAATGAGGTGGTGACTGGGCTTCCCGAGGGCACTGCTCCTTCGAGTGAGTACGAGACGCTCACCGCTAAGTTTCACTTTGTGGACCTGGCTGGCTCCGAGCGGCTGAAGCGGACGGGGGCCACCGGCGAGCGTGCCAAGGAGGGCATCTCCATCAACTGCGGCCTGGTAGGCAAAGGGTGGGCCACCAGCCCCAGCGGCCAGCGCAGCTCAGCTTACCCTGCCAGGCTACCTCCCCGCATCATCCTCCTTGGGCCTCCTGCTAGCTGCTGGCCAGTCCAGTGTGTCACCATAGTGACACCTTTGACCCTTCACCCTCGCCTCTGCCCCCGACATTCCAATGCCCCCAACCTTAACACACCTACCTAAAAACCCTCACCAGGGGCCTGAGGGTTGCTGGGGCCAGCGAAGTGGGTGCATACGACTTGGGGCTTATGTCGTACCTACTCCCTCCCTCCCTGAGTGTCGGTCTGTTTCCGCAGCTGGCCTTGGGCAATGTGATCAGCGCCCTAGGGGACCAGAGCAAGAAGGTGGTACACGTGCCCTACAGGGATTCCAAGCTCACTCGGCTCCTCCAGGACTCACTGGGGGGCAACAGGTACCCAAGGATTAACATCCAGGGGAGGGAGGAAGTGCAAGTTTGGAAGGTGAGGGCCTCAAGAACAAGAACACTTCCTGCTTGGGCTGCAGGCAGGGGAGATGGGACCTTGCAATGCCCCCCTCAAGCTTCCCAGGTCAGTGGTCAGACCCTACACAACGGGGAGAGAGAACCCTAAAGGACGTGATAGAGCCCAAATGGGATGATTAGCAGGGGAATGCAGGGCTCACCCTGTCGCTGAGCAGAGGACTCGGGTGATAACACAACCTCCCTACCTTGCCAGCTGCTCTCCCTGTGGTCCCACTGTTGGAATGGACACCCTTGGCCAGGTGGCCCAGGTTCTGCCCTGGGAAATGTCCAGGTCCTTGGGGCATTAAGGCAGCAGGGGAATGGGTGGGAGCAGGACTCTGCTCTGGGGTGATGCTTCTGGGGACTGACTACACCTCTTGTCCTCACTCCACCCAACTGCAACCCTCAGCCAGACCATCATGATTGCCTGTGTAAGCCCTTCGGACCGAGACTTCATGGAGACGCTCAACACACTCAAATATGCCAATCGGGCACGCAACATCAAGAACAAGGTGGTGGTGAACCAGGATAAGACCAGCCAGCAGATTAGCGCACTGCGGGCCGAGATTGCACGCCTGCAGATGGAGCTGATGGAGTACAAGGCGGTGAGCACCCCGCACCTCCTCACCCAATCTTCACCCACATCCGGAGTACCAGCTGTGGTCAAGGCATGATGCTCAGTATTAGGCAGTTCACCCAGGTGACAGAATAGTCAGAGCCCTCAGGGTCTTAAATACTAAGTGAGGGGCAGCATGCTCAACTGCTATTACATAGCCCTTTCACGCAGGAAGATGCTCTGCTGGGTGTTTTTGTGTCTGCTGAATGTGCTGTGTTGGACCAGATGTGATATAGAATAAGAGTTGATGGGACCACATGATTAGCCCATTGTGGCAGAGAGAGTTGGCCCTACTTATTTAGGTGGTCAAGGAGGGCTTCCTGGAGGAGGGATATGGATTTTGAGGATGAATATCAGCAAAAGGAGATGGAGCAGGCATTCTAGGATGCAAGCAAACATGTACAAAGATGCATAGGAAAAGGGAAATGCACAGAGATAGGGTGCTTTTGGGGAACTGCCCAGTTCCAAGTGACTAAGGCAGAAATCACTGGCTTGCAGCCCATGACCTGAGAGTGGTGCATAAATGGGTTTTGGTTTGGCTTACCCTTTGTTTTAAAAGAATGCAACAAAGTTGTCAACTTCTCTGATTATCAGGAAGTTTCCATTTTTCTTGAACAAAATGAAAACCTAACAACATATGACACCAAGCTGGCTGGAGTGGCAGAGTGGCTGCCCCTTGTAGACTAAGTCTGTGACCCTATTAGCTCCAGCTCCCACCACTCCCTATTGTCTTACATGCAAACTAACTTATTTATGCCAATTACTTGGGCCCTCTAAGGTTTTGACCCTTGGTTAGCTCTTGTGGAGGGCAAGGAAAGCTTGTGGGAGGTCTGGAATGACTGTCTACTAAAGCCTGGGCTTTTTTGTTATCATGTAAAGCCATGTAAGGTTTTTAAGAACTGGGGAATGAGCTGTGTTTTGGGAAACCTGGGGCCGTAATGTCATGTGAAGGGAAAGGCCAAGCTAGTGGCCGGGAGGAGTCTCGCCACCCTCTTCTCTCCCTGGGACCCGACTGCTCTGGCCCACCCCTCCTCCCAGGGCAAGCGGGTGATTGGGGAGGATGGCTCGGAAGGCTACAGCGACCTGTTCCGGGAGAACGCCATGCTGCAAAAGGAGAATGGGGCCCTGCGCCTGCGGGTGAAGGCCATGCAGGAAGCCATTGATGCCATCAACAGCCGCGTCACCCACCTAATGAGCCAGGAGGCCAACCTGCTCCTGGCCAAGGCCGGTGAGTTGGGGTGCACCAGCAAGCTAACAGGAGGCAAACAGGCAGGAACCCCTGTCGCATCCCCACCCCAGGATGTGGGTGAGCTGGGTTTGCCGATCAAGTCACACATCAATTCATGTGTGCATTTCCCCCAACTGATTTGAAAACATTTAATGATCAAGTAATCGTGAAGACATTCTCCTTATGTAATGTCTTTATAAAGTGAAAGATTAAAATCCTTGATCTCACTGAACCCTCCATCCCTGCTCTCTCTACCTGGTGGAAGGCACCTCCGGGAGAGCCTGCTGCACATTTCTCCACACCTTAAAACACACATTGCTTTTTCTTTTCTGTATTAGCGATCCTCTGTATTGTCCTGTGGTTTCCCTTTTTCACTTAGCACTATGCCTTAGAGATCTTTCCAGATTAAACACTTACACCTCCTTAGTTCTTCACACCGCACGGCCTTCCACACTTGATGAGGCGTAAGGTCATGTAAGAGGCCTCTGAGAATGGACATGCGGTGGTTTTCCGTTCCTCCCTGTCACTAGCAGCGCTTACCCACATTGCCAAGGGCAGGTCTTCCTTTGGTATCTTTTTTTTTTCAAGATTTATTTATTTATGCACATAAGAGCTGGGGTACAAGCCAGAGATGCAGGGGGTGAGAGGATTCACCAGAGACAGAGTGGGGAGCAGAACAGGCAGAGTCACTAAAATACACTGCTGAGGGGAGCAGCGGGCGAGACAGGAGAGGTCTGCCTCGCCATGTGGGTTGCTCCCTGGCCGGCCGGGGATTGAACTCGTGCAGCAAAGGCTGCGAATTGCTTCGTAGTGCGGTGCTTAACCCCTTGCGCCACCAGGGAGGCCCCCTCTTTGGTATCGTTTTTTGGAAAAGGCCCCTTCGCCAGCCCAGCGGAGCCGCGGGGCAGACCTCCAGCCTTCTGCGGAGGGTCCTTGGTGTTAACGTTTATTGCTCCTCCTGCCAGGCGACGGCAACGAGGCCATTGGTGCACTGATCCAGAACTACATCCGGGAGATCGAGGAGCTGCGGTGAGTGAGCCCCCACTTTGGGGGACCGCTGTGGGGGCTTGGCCAGGCCGGGGCCGAGGGCAGTGGGGTTCACCCGGCTGCTCGCCCCTGTCACACAGGACGAAACTCCTGGAGAGCGAGGCCATGAACGAGTCTCTCCGCCGAAGCCTCTCTCGGGCCTCGGCGCGGAGCCCCTACTCTTTGGGGGCGTCTCCCGCTGCACCGGGCTTCGGGGGCAGCCCGGCCAGCTCCATAGAGGACGCGTCCGAGGTGATCCGCAAGGCCAAGCAGGACCTGGAGCGGCTCAAGAAGAAGGAGGTCAGGCAGCGCAGGAAGAGGTGAGGGCAGCGCTGCCGCCTCCCTGGAGAGCCCGAGCTGCCCCCGGGAGGCCTGCACCCAGGAAGCAGGAGAAGCCTCTGGCGACAGGGGCTGCCCCAGAGTTACTCCGGATCTCACTGAGCACATTTGCTCCGCTTTCTCCAGTGAGAAAAGGAGAGGGAGGCTGAAGACCAGCCGGGGTTATGCTGGGTGGGAGCTGAAGAGCAGAGTCTCTAGACCAGGGACCCAGAGGTCGGTGCCCCTGGGCAAGAGCAGTCCTGTCCCCGCCCCCCACCCCCAGATGCTCACGGTAGCCCCCTGACCTGGCCTACCCTTCACCCCTGGGCAGCCCAGAGAAGGAGGCCTTCAAAAAGAGGGCGAAGCTGCAACAGGAAAACAGCGAGGAGACGGATGAGAACGAGGCTGAGGAGGTGAGGACCCCCCACCATGCTCATCCCTGCTCCTGCTGGGTGGGGGGCCCTCGACATCCTTGTACAGGGTGGGGGACCGCAGGTCTACATCCAGTGATCCTGGTGCTCCCTGTGGCGGTCTCCAGGCCCCACCTCACCCCAAATGGGAGATGCCGGGTGGGGAGGCTCTCCCAGAGGGCTCTGCCCAGGTTGTTGGGGGAGGGGCCTTGGGGGGAGAGGGTTCAAGGACCCCAATTGCTGCCTGCCCTGTTCCACCCTAATGACATAACTGAGGTGCTGTCCAGTTACGCCTCTTCTCTGAAACTCCCTTTCCTGAGGCCAGCGCCCCCTGGGGAGGAGGGGGAGCTGGCCCACTCCTGATGGAACTTGGTGCCCAGGAGGAGGAAGAACACGAGGAAAGTGGCTGTGAGGAGGAGGAAGGGCGTGAGGATGAAGATGAGGACTCGGGCAGTGAGGAGAGCCTGGTGGACTCGGACTCAGACCCTGAGGAGAAGGGTGCGCTGGGCTGGGGTGGGTTGGGGTGGGTGGGGTCAGACCCTGCTGAGTTCTCAAGACAGTGAGTGTCCAGGACCGGGCCCTGCCCACCTGCAGCCAACAGCAAACTCGAGTGGTGCTGATCATGGCCACAGACCTGTGCTGAGCGCTCAATGTGCCGGGCACTGTGCAAGCTCACCAGTGTCGTGCTTGGCTCTCCCAGGCCTCACTGCTCCCCCACACCCCTCCACCATCAGTGCCAGGACCCTTCTCTCTGGCACCCTGGAGAACAAGCTCAGAGAGGCTTCATGCCTTCCCAACATGGTGCATGCAGAACTGGAACACTGGCCTGGCTAGTGTCGAAGCCCCTCTTCTAAATGGGGATACTGCCCCGTGCCTCCACCCTGCTGCCATCTCTTGCCACAGCCCTGGAGGCCCTCTGTCTTCTCTCTCTCCTCCCAGGCAGGGTCCCCTCACCTGGAATTTGGCTTCAGGGCCCAGCCTTGCATTTTTGGGACTGTTCTTTAAATGTGTCACCCATCTGGGATTTATCCTTCTCTCTAATGGTGGGCACTGACTGGTCATGGCTGACCCAGGGGAGGCCCGGCCTCGCCTCGCCCCCAGCCTCAGCCCCCAGCCCTGGGTCAGGCCTGTCTCTGCTCCCCAGAGGTGAACTTCCAGGCAGACCTGGCTGACCTGACATGCGAGATCGAGATCAAGCAGAAGCTGATTGATGAGCTAGAGAACAGTCAGCGCCGTCTGCAGACCCTCAAGCACCAGTACGAGGAGAAGCTGATTCTGCTGCAAAACAAGATCCGGGACACCCAGCTGGAGCGGGACCGTGTGCTCCAGAACCTCAGTGAGGCCCGCACCCGCCCCGAGGCCCCACCCAGCAGCCACCCCGCTGCGGGCTGCCCTGCTCTTCTGGGCAAGGTCCCTGACCCACGGTCTCGCCCCTAGTTCTGTGCTCCATCGTAGATTCATCACTCTTCTTGTCAAGTAACTGTCCTGTTAACACACCAGAGTGCATGTGTCCCTGGCCACGAGAACATGACACGCTTCATCCTTTCCCCGTGTGTCCATGGCCTTGGGCTTTCCCTTTGACCCTCTTCACAAACCTGCTTCTCACCATCACTGCTCCTCAGCCCATTCATTCTGTTATTCATGGACTCATTCAGCAAGCTTTGTTGAATCCGTCTATAGAGTAGATGTCATCCTAGGTGCTAGAGATAGATGTTGGAGCGAGGAGTCCTAGCTCGTGGAGTGCCCGTCCTGTGGGGAGGGGTGTGTGAGTCAGCTGACCCTGTGCCATGTCTGGTGGTAGTGAACATTGTGGAGAAAGGACAGCAGCAGGAGAATGGCTGTGGGCTGGAGTTTTAAATGGCCATGGAAGCCCTCGCTGAGAAGGTAACAGTTGAGCAAAACCTTGAAGCAGGTGAGATAGTGCTGGACAGGATGAGCGAGAGACGAGCGCTCTAGGCAGAGGGAACAGAAGAGGCAAAGGCCCAGGCATGTTGGTGGCTGGGCCAGGCGGCTGGAGCAAAGGGGCCAACAGCTAGAGATGGAGGAGAGAAGCGTGAGGCCAGGGTGTGCTGGTCGCTGCAAGGACAAGGCCTATTCTCCAAGGGAGGTGAGGAGGGGTGGAGTTCTGAGGGCACTTTTAGGAAATCACTGAGGCTGCTGTGGAGGAGGCTGGCAGTGGAAGCTTGAGGCCAGCTAGATTATTCCAAAGATCTGGGCGAAAAGATGATTTGGATAGGAGGTGGGGGGGAGTGGTGGGTTTCTGGTCATATTTTGAAGGTAGGTAAAAGGGTTTGTTGACTAATTGGGTAAGGGGAGATGTCTCCAGAGTGGGCTTCTGGAAGGAAGGCAGTGATAGTCACTGGAATGGGCAGGACTATGCAGGTGTGGAGTGGTGCTTGGGAGTCAGGTTTTTGCCTGTCTGTCTGGATGTCTGTTCTGTAGCAGCTCAGGTAGGAAAGGTCAAGGGGGGGCATGAGTCTATTCCCTCTGCACACATCACTGTGTACTCTTGCTGGCTCTTTCTCTACCTTTGGCCCTGGTCCTGCCTTCACTCATGGCTCACAATACAGCCAGCAGGAGTGGCTCAGGCCTCTCCTGGGAAGCCGGTGACAGGGCCTCAGAGGTCTCAAGATGAGGCCATCCCCTTCAGGCCCATAGCATGTCGGGAGGGGCTTTGCCCATCTCCTAGTCTCAGCCCCTCGTTTAGATGAAGAAACAGGCAGAGGGGGTGTGGCTTGCCCGGGGTCCTGCAGCAAGACATTCCGGAACCCAGGCCTCTCTGCCCTGTCTCGGCCCCAGCCAAGAGGACACATGGGGACATGGCCCTGACCACCCCTTGTGCCCTCAGGCACCATGGAGTGCTACACGGAGGAGAAAGCCAACAAGATCAAGGCAGACTATGAGAAGAGGCTTCGCGAGATGAACCGGGACCTGCAGAAGCTGCAGGCCGCACAAAAGGAGCACGCGCGGCTGCTCAAGAACCAGTCACGCTATGAGAGGGAGCTGAAGAAGCTGCAGGCCGAAGTAGCTGAGATGAAGAAGGCTAAGGTAGGAGCTGAGGGCTGAGGAGTGGCTGAGGGGTCGCCTTGGGTATCTTTAGAATCTGCTTATGCATAAAAAGTAATCATTGCTGTCATTGTGGATGAGCTGGACACCCAATATTGCCTGCATTGACCCTGGCCTGGTCCTGGACACTGCCCAAGATGAGCCACCTTCCCCAATAGAGGGGCCAGTGCTTGGAGCAATGCTGGGCAGCAGGTAGTCCAGCCTGGGGCCCAGCATGGGAGCTGACTCAGTGCTGCCCCCTGTGGTGGGAAGATCCATTACATTTGCCTCTAGTCTGAAGCAAGGATGTGAGGCGTCTCATTTGTGCAGCCTTTGCAAATAATAACAATAACAATAATAATAATAATAGCATCATTTGAACACTTAGCTTTGATCAGGCTAGACTAGCCACCTAGCGTGCTTGATCATATTCATGCCGTAGGAGAACCTCATCAAAGAAGCGCTGTTGTTTGTTATTCCCATTTTGTGCCTGGGGAAAATGAGAAGCTACTTCCAGTTACCAAGAGGCAGTGGTGGGATTTGAACTCAGGTCCCTGAGTTCCCAAGCTGGGGTGCAGTCTGTGTGGTACAATGCCCTCCTTTTTACTTTGTCATCACTCAGAGTACTCTAGTCCCTGGGGCCTGAGGTTCCCTGTTAGGGTCTGTCTTCAGCGTTCAGGTCTTCTGCCTGTGGTGTCTGGTATGTTTTTGTTCCTGCCTCAGGCCCAGCAGCTCCATGCTCCCTATATGTCCCTCCTCTCCTGGGCCTTCCTGGGCCTACACAGGAGTGCCCCAGCCCTCAGGCCTTGGTTACCCCACTCCACAGCCCTGGGCCTGGACCCCCTTGCAGAACCTGGCACTGCTGGCAGCCCCAGCAAGCGCCAGAGAACTGGCCTTGGAAATCAGGACCCCCATGTGTGAGGCTGATGGGGTGTGAATGTGGGACCATGAGCAACTGTGTGCAGGGGGCGGAGGCCATGCATGATGGTGATACAGGTTCCTGGGATGGCCTCTCAGCCAGTCAGCCTCAGCCACCTCTCCTGGGCAGGCTTTTTGTCCAAGCCTGTGCCATAGGCCCAGGGCCTCCATCAGCCTGAGCAGGGTGGAGCAAGCACGTTCCCAACATGCTGGGCTGCTGCAGGAGCCTGTCTTCCCTCCTCCTCCAGTGTTCCGCCACTGGGGTGTTGAGACAGAGCTATCAGGATGAAGCTCAAGGGACTTGGAAAGCAAGTGCCCACAGATCACCGATCTCCTGGTGCCCTCTGGCGGTGTAGCAGGGGAGGCACTCTGGACCTGAGGTTCCCCAGGGTGGAGTGAGTGGCAGCTGGCCAGCCTAGGGCCCGCACTCTGGAGAGCTCTGAAGCTCCCTGCCTGAGGCTTCTGCAGGGTGACCCCAGCCTGACCCGGCCCTAGTAGGGATGACCCTAGTATAGAACCTCATGAGGGCGGTTCTCCTAGAGCTCTGAGGCCTGGAGAAGTAACAGGAGGCCCAGAACTCACTTGAATCCACTCAGAGGATCCATGCATGTTCCTGTGAATGGAGGGCAGTGCTGGGGCCCCTCAGTCTGGTGCCCAGCTCTGCCCATCTAACCATGCTCTTTTAATCCCAGCTAGAGGTCGAGAACACCCTTGGGCCACCCCGGGAGATGTTAGCTTGGTTTCAGTGTGCAGCTGAGGTTTCTAACCAGACACATGAGAGCCAGGGTCTGGGGATCCCCCACCGCAGTTCAGCTTCATGATCCCAGTGATTCACAGAACTGAACTGGGTGGGGCCCACAGTCACTAGGGGCTCGGGACGGTACGGGGGATACTTCCTTCTTCAGATCTGCAGAGCAATGCTGGCCTCAGGCTCTGTGCCCATTTCACCCTGACATGTGCCTGGAATGTACCCACCCCTGGAATGCCCTCAACCTCCACTGTGCTGCCCTCCTTGGAGCCAGGCCACACATCTGAAGCTGGCAGCTAGGTGATACCTGGCACCTGGGGTTTGTGTGCAGGTCCTGGGAGCAAGATTTTCCGTCCACTCTTGACCGAGGCTTGGCTTGTTCTTCAGTCCCAGAACTTGGGGAGAACACTCATTCTGGACCCCAAACTCCCAGCAGCAGCAGGCCCTCCTCTTCTCTCTAGTTTCACCATAATGGAGGCTCTGGGGGAGAATCTACCCTGCCAGCCCAGCTGTCAGCTGGAGAAAGCAATGCTCCAGGCCCAGGGCTTCCTAGCTTCTGGCGGCGCAGGCTAAGCCTGGAATGGTGGGACTCAGGACAGTGGCTTTGGGTGGGGTCACCAGGGGCCATGACACTCAGGGCAGTGCGGCCGGGTTGGGCCTTGCACATAGCTGGGCTGGCAGTGAGGCCGCTGGCACTGGTGATGGGCCAGCTTCAACTCTTCGGGCTGGCTCCAGGCTCCTGGCAGGGTGTCATTCCTGCCCACGTCCTGAGAGCCAGCCCCTCCCTGGAGGGCGTGGGCCCACTCTACCCAGCCCTGCTCACCACCACCCCTCTGCGTGCTAGGTGGCCCTGATGAAGCAGATGCGTGAGGAGCAGCAGCGGCGGCGGCTGGTGGAGACCAAGAGGAACCGCGAGATCGCTCAGCTCAAGAAGGAGCAGCGGCGACAGGAGGTGAGGGGTGGCCCTCAAAGCTCCCCCAAGCCTTCAGCGCCCAGCCCCAGCTCCCCTGAGTGCCTGCCCTCCTGACCACCCTGTGTGATAATGGGGAGCACAGCACAGTGGCCGGGAGGGGGGCCCCTCCAGGCATCTAGTCTGTTCAGAGTAGGGTCTCCAGCCCCAGCAGAGGACAGGAACTTGCCCAGAGTCACCAGCCAGAGCCAGAGCCAGAAACCTACAGCCTCTGGTCCTACAGAGAAACCCCAGTGGGGCCCAGGCCTGTCCAGGATCCCTTGTTCACTCAGGGGGGAAGAAGCAGCCCAGGGGATCACCCTCTTGGAGACATGGGCCTGCCCTGTGACCTCTAGGAATGGAGCAGAAGTTGGGCCCCTTGGTCAATGAGTGTGGGCTGCATGAGAGTCACCCTGAGACTCTGCTTCCACCCGCAGAGCTGCAGCCCACCCTCGTCCCAGCGCAGGCCCATGCTAACTGTGGGCCTGGCCCTCTTCTCTTGCCCAGTTTCAGATCCGAGCTCTGGAGTCCCAGAAACGGCAGCAGGAAATGGTCCTGAGGAGGAAAACCCAGGAGGTGAGCAAGGCCTCCTGCCGCACCTGCTAGGCCCCAGCCACCTCGCTTCTGCCAGAGCCAGGAGGGACAGGGCGGGAGGGGAGCAGTCCGGCCCAGGACCTGACTCTCCCATCTTTCATCCAGTGGGCACTTTGTGTGAGGCCTGTTCCAAGGCCTTTTTCAGACTGAGGAGCTGAGGGGAGGGGCAGGTGGCCAGCTCTGGTCCCTAATGCCTGACCTCTTCATAAGAACAGCTTTTGTGTTCACACAAACTGAGGTCCCTTGGCCCTTCTCTTGACCCCCAGGTTTCTGCACTGAGGCGCCTGGCCAAGCCCATGTCTGAGCGGGTGGCGGGGAGGGCAGGACCAAAGCCCCCCATGATGGATTCGGGGGCTGAGGTGTCAGCCAGCACCACCTCGTCTGAGGCCGAATCAGGGGCCCGCTCTGTCTCCAGCATCGTGCGCCAGTGGAACCGCAAGATCAACCACTTCTTGGGGGACCACCCCACACCCACTGTTAATGGCACCCGTCCTGCTAGGTGAGGAGGCCTGTGTGGGTAGAGAGACTGGGGGAGTGTGGCCTTGTGCTGGGTCCCCGTGGCATCAGCGTTGGGTGGGGAGCCCCACAGAGCCACAGAGATTGAGAGGGGTCACCCCCAACTGCCTTTGCCTCTGTCTCCCAGAAAGAAGTTCCAGAAGAAGGGAGCCAGCCAGAGCTTCAGTAAGGCTGCGAGGCTCAAGTGGCAGTCCCTGGAGCGGCGCATCATCGACATCGTCATGCAGAGAATGACCATCGTCAACCTGGAGGCCGACATGGAGCGGCTCATCAAGGTGGGCCCAGCCTCAGGAGTCTGGGGCCTAGGCTGCCCTGCCCTCCCATCTTCTCCTCCTGCCCACCCGTCCATCTGATTTCTGTTGCTCTTTAGACCTTTCTGTTCCCCTCCCTCTGCTCTGGAATCCAGAGGTGCTGGGAGGCCCCCAGGGGCCTGGCCTGTCTGGGGAGGGAGCTGTGTGAAGAACTGGGCAGCAGCCTGAATTCTCACCTCCATCCCCCCCAAGAAAAGGGAGGAGCTGTTCCTCCTACAGGAGGCGCTGCGGAGGAAGCGGGAGCGGCTCCAGGCCGAGAGCCCAGAGGAGGAGAAGGGGCTGCAGGAGCTGGCCGAGGAGATTGAGGTGCTGGCCGCCAACATTGACTACATCAATGACAGCATCACAGACTGCCAGGCCACCATTGTGCAGCTGGAGGAGACCAAGGTGCCCCGCTGGGCGGGCTGGGGCAGGAGGGATGTGTGCAGGGGTTGGGGCAGCAACGGGTAACCAGGGGTCTTTGCCTCCTGGTCCCAGGAGGAGCTGGACTCCACAGACACATCAGTGGTCATCAGCTCCTGTTCTCTGGCTGAAGCCCGCCTCCTGCTGGACAACTTCCTCAAGGCGTCTATTGACAAGGTGGGTGCCTGCTCCTGTCCTGTGCCAGTGGGTGTGGGCACCTGCGTGATCAGGCCTAGCTCCCCTGACCTGCGTCATGGACAGGCTAGGACAAGCTGCTTCTCCTTCCCGCCTCAGGTTCTGAGGCTATTAAAGCCTGGGTAATGATAATGCCTAACTTGTGGCTGGTTACGTGGCTTTAACAAGATGACACACCAAGGGGCTTGGCGGGGTGCCCTGTGCACAGCAGGGCATCTCAGCAAGGACCCTACATGGCTGGCCTGGCTGGAAGCTGAGAGTTCAAGGAGAAGTGTGTATATGGATGTTGGGGTGAGGCACCCAGGAGGTTACACTGGATGCCGGGAGTCCCTCGGCCTGTCCTGGGCTCCTCCTCTGACAGCTGGATGGAGGGTGAGCCCCTGGGGCCTGTGGTCTTTGGGGACAGACCCCACCTGGTGTGGGTACATGTAGCTCTAGAAAGAGGTGGGTGCCCTCCCTGACCCTTCACCCTGTCCCCATCATCTCCGCTCTGCTTCATGCCTGAGGGGAGAGAGTAAGTCTGTGAGGGCTGCTGTGACGGGCGGCAGGCCTGGGGCTTCGGCCACACAGTTTTCTCACAGTTCTTGAGGCTGGATCTCAAGCAGGGCTGGCTTCTCCTGAGGTGTCTCTCCGTGGCTGTAGCGCCGTCCTCGTCCTGTGTCTCCACAGGGTGCCCCTCTGTGTGCCTCTGCATCCCGGCTTCCTCTTCTCATGTGGATGCCAGTCCTGTTGGCTCTTGACCCCACCTTCAAGGCCCCATTTTGCTATAATTCCTCTTAGCCCTGTCTCCAAATACAGTCACATTCGGAGGTTCTGGGAGTCAGAGCTCCAACATAGAGTTTTGTGGGCACACACTTCAGCCCCAAACAAGGCGATGTCCTAAGGTGACCCCCACTAACATGTGTATGTAAAGAAGTTAAGGTGCATCTCAGGTCAGTGACAGGTCCAGGGTGAGTCTGGGAGTTAGTGGGGAGCCCTCCAAGGTGCCTCGTTAGGAACAAGTTGTGTGAGGGCAGCAAAGGGGGTGCCCACAGCCGAAAGCTGGGAAGGGTAATCCCAGGCCTTTCTCTGTTCTCAGGGGCTACAGGTGGCCCAGAAAGAGGCCCAGATCCGGCTGCTGGAGGGGCGGCTGAGGCAGACAGACATAGCGGGCTCCTCCCAGAACCACCTGCTCCTGGATGCCCTGCGTGAGAAGGCCGAGGCGCACCCCGAACTGCAGGCCCTCATCTACAATGTGCAGCAGGGTATGGGGGTGTGGGCTTAGCCCCTGCAGCTTCTACTAACTCCTGGCGCTCCCAGGCCCTGATCCCCAGGACCACTGCCACTTCCCTTGAAACCCCCCTAAAGCCCCACTCTGGTCCTGTGGTGAGAGGTGGGAGGAGGCCATCAGCTGGGGCCTCTCAGCCTTGCACCCCCCTCCCTCCCACAGAGAATGGCTACGCCAGCACGGACGAGGAGATCTCAGAGTTCTCCGAGGGGAGGTGAGTGTCCAAGTCGTGAGTGAGAGGCTGGCGCCAGGGTTGAATCAGGATTTGGGGGCTCTTTAGGACCCCTCTGAAGTCCAGAGCATAAGCTCTCAGAATCCTGTCTCCTTCTGCTTCTTCTTTAGCTTCTCCCAGTCATTCACCATGAAAGGCTCCACCAGCCATGATGATTTCAAGTTCAAGGTGAGCCCCACTTGAAGCATCCAGTAGGTTGCAGCCCAGTGGGCCTCCCCGAGCTGGTCTAGCCTTGCTGTGGCTGTGCCCCAGCCCTCACCCCCAATCTCAATGCCATATTGCCTCTAGCTGGGATACAAATGCCAATAAGGATCTCAGCTGGAGTTAGGGGGTGCCCAGAGGTGTTCCCTGTACAACCCATTATATTTGAGGTGCATGGAAGGTGGAAGTGGCTGAGTCTCTGCCTGTTGATGTTATTGTAGTCCTGCTTTAAAGCATCCGCCACTCCCTGAGCCAAGACGTCCCTCATGCTGAGTCAGACTAGCCTAGATCGCTGGTCTAAGTCTCTGGTTGTTCTGCCTGCAGATTATTGATTGAGCAGTAGGGGAGTCAGCAGTGAGGAGAGCCGTGTCTGCATTGAGGGATCAGTTATCAGACTGAACCAAGAAATAGGATTTACGTGGGGAGGGGCGGGAGCCCTGCAGGCTGAGTACAGTGAATTGTGCATAGTTTTGGGGTAAACTGCAGTGCTGGTGACCAGCAAAGAGCTCAGACTGGGCTCTCTGTGCTCACCTGGTCCGAATAAAGGCAGTAAAACCATTCCGCTGCTTGGGATGCTCAGGAGCCTTGAGACAGGCTTTCTAGGGCATGTCTGCCTGGCCCTTCCAACAGCTCCTCAGCCTTAGTCCTGGGGCACCATCTCCTGCCTGAGAATGCCCCCAGCTCCCCCGGATCTGCCATTTCATCCACCCCAGGCCTTCCTCTCCCAGGGTGAGCCGAAGCTGTCTGCCCAAATGAAGGCCGTGTCTGCGGAGTGTCTGGGTCCCCCGCTGGATATCTCCACCAAGAACATTACCAAGTCTCTGGCCTCCCTCGTGGAGATCAAAGAGGATGCCGTGGGCTTCTCCGTGAGAGACCCCTACTACCGCGACAAGGTCTCGCGCACCATCAGCCTGCCCACCCGAGGGAGCACCTTGTAAGGAAGGGAACCAGGCGCACGCGTGAGGGTGTGAGGCAGTCGAGGCTGGGCCTCACCTGACCCTTCTGTTCCAGCCCCCGGCAGTCTCGAGCGTCAGAGACATCCCCTTTGACCCGAAGGAAGTCATATGACCGAGGGCAGCCCATCAGGTGAGAGCATCTTCTGGAACCTGCAGTAGAGGCACTGCCGGTCTAGCTGTGGGGTGCATGACCTGCTGCCCTGTCCCTCTGCAGATTGCTGGGCCTTCTCAGCATCCCCCCAGGACCCCTTCCCTACCCTGTCAGGCGTGGACTCAGCAAACGTAGTCTCCGTCTGCACCTTGAAGTGGGTGGCCAACCCCACTGACAAAAACGTGTGGCTGATGTTACTCCTGCCACACCTCCCTCTACCCCGCATCCCTGCCCCACCCCAGTAGCTATAGTGGCCTGGGCTGGTCGCGGTGCTGATAAGTTTCAGCCTCTTCATGACTGTGCATCCTTGGGACGCTCTAGCCCTCTTTAAATTCTGGTCATGGGAGAAGAATATACAAGTTTAAAGAGAAACCAGAGAGGTGATTGGGAATGGTGGGGCATGGCTCCAGGTGCTCAATCACTCAGGGCCAGGCCCCACTGCGCCTCTGGGGGGCAGCGGTTCCAGGCACTGGATTTTCAGAGGGGCTTGGTGGCATTGCCCGGGGCAGGCAGCTCATGGAGAAAGAGCGGGGCCTCAGCATCCCCTTGGCCACCTGCCTTGCTCCAGCTCCCAGCCTGCCCTCCTGTCCAGCACCTGGGCAGAGGCCCATGCCAGTGGCTTCCTTGGTGGGAGGAGGTGCAGAGATATCCTTACCTGTAGGACCTGCAGGTAGTCACTTCACCTGTGAGCTGAGAGCACACACCTGAGTCACAGCCAGGGCAGTTAGACAGAACTCACAATGATGCTCCATTGGGAGGAGGATCCAGGCTAAACCTAAAGATATTTCCAGAGAGAAGGATCTTGGGGTGTCAGACCAGGGTGGTGTGGCAGGTCATAATCTTCCCTGGAGAAGCAGCCAATTCTCACTGGAAGTAGTTATGTTCTGTGAAGTCACTGCAAACACCGAATTCATGAACACTGGGCCAGCACTCCTGGGGTACAGCTTAGGCTCCTGGGGGCCATCAGCTGATTAACACGCAGCCTTGTTTTGTGTGTGCTTCTGTTTAAAGCCACTTTATTGAATATGTATTGGTGATTCACTAACACTCATTAACACTGACCTCTCAGTCAGTGGCACCGGAACTCACATCTGATTGAAGCTCATCTAACGTGTTTTCTCCAGGAAGCTCCTTCACTCAGAAACACCAGGCAGCACTATACCCGGGGGCTATTAAAGCGAAATCACCAACAAAATGCCCAAAAGTGTTGCATTAAGTGGTCCATGGGAGGGACACTTGTTTATAGTTTGGGAGCTGAAGCGGAAGCCTTGATTGACCTCAGCTGGGAACATGCTCAGTTTTTTTATTGCTCTCCTCATCTCCACACTGACCGCAGAGGCACTGCCAGTACCATTCGGGGATGACAGATACACTTTATGAGTAGATGAATCCCCAGATACAAGATCCGTGGGTCAAGGGTTTAAGAATAGCATCTGGGAGCTTACTCCAGGGTTGGGCTTTCAGATCACTGCCCTCAGGCCTAAGCCAGAGGCACGGGGGCCTAGGGTGCCACCTGGGGGGTGGTCTCTCACGTGCTGCTCTCTATGCCCACTCTCCAGGTCCACAGACGTGGGATTCACACCCCCCTCGTCCCCTCCCACTCGGCCCCGCAATGACCGCAATGTCTTCTCTCGTCTCACCAGCAATCAGAGCCCAGGGTCGGCGCTGGACAAGTAAGAGCCAGAGCAGGCTGGGGGGCACCGACGAAGGGAAAGGTGTCCAGGGGCTGGGGCAGCCAGGCCCACCCTGACCGTGCTGTTCTGAGCCCTCCAAGGAAGGAGTTTGGACCCACATCTCCTGGTCTCTGCCCTGTTCATACAGTCCTCTCCGTGGGCCCTTCCCTCCCCGGCGCGCACTGGGGGCTGAGAAGAGGGCAAGGGAAAAGCCACAGGAAAGGGGTCAGGGGCAGCCCAGTGGGATGACTGTGCAGTCAGGTGCCCGAGAGTCCTCTCCAGAGCTGCCCCTTGAACCCGCTGCTGATTCTCGCTTCCTGGATTCTGCTTTGAAGCTCCCTCCTTGGTGTCAGCCACTCCCCTCCCGCTGCAAGTGCCTCCATGGCCCGGCCACCCACTGCTGACCTCCACATGCAGGGCCGCTCGCCCTGTGCCTGCAGCTCCTGCTGCAGGACCGTCGCCGCTCAGAGGCAGCAGGTATTAGCAGCAGGCCGTGCACTGAGAAGGCAGCCTCAGCCTGCACCCTGCTTCCCCATACGGGATCCCACTTGAACTCTCCATCAGTGTGAGAACTGTCTTCCTCTCTTTTTTATAAGAGGAAATGAGACTCAGAGGGGCCCGAGGACATTCACCAGAATCTGGCGGAGCTGGATCAGGACCAGGGCTTCTGACACGCCGGCGCTTTTCCTACCAGCAAGACTTTGGCTTGGGAAAGAGGGTGGACCCTGTCTCTCTGTGCTCCCCTGCGTGCTCCCTCACTGCTGGACCCCAGCCTGGCCATTTCCACCTCTTTGCAACCCCCAGAAGTCTCCCTTCTGGGCTCCCTAAAAGCCTCTCTGCTGTGAGGGAGGACAGTGCTGTCCTTCAGTGCCAGCCCTATGCCCAGTGCCTGCCTACAGTCCCTCCCCACAGAAATGCCCTTTCCTGGGTCAAAACTCTGCCACTTCCCCAAACCTACATTGTCACTGGCTCCCATTGGGGTGGAGCGTCCCAAATGTGGCCTATACCACCCAGGGTGCCCCCACCCCCTGTGTCTTTTCAGTAGGCAGGTCCCTTTCTCAAAGCATTGGGGTCAAGTTCTGGCCATGCCAGCCAGGTGGTCTTCCAAGCCCTTCCACTAGTGCAGGGCCAGCTCCCGGGCACAGTTCCGGTGGGCTCCCTGGGCACAGCTGGCTTGGAAACTAAGTCAGCCACCAAGAAATTGCTGGAAGTAGTTCTCCCAGAGAGGGAGAGAAGCAGGCTCAGTTTCCTTTGGCCTCGGGGCAGGCATAGGCACTGCTGGGTGGAAGAGGGTGCCCCCACCTGTGTGTTGGGGCAGCTGGAGAGCGTAGAGCCAGACACCAGCCATAAACCATCCCCTGGAGTGTGGGGCTGCTGCTCCCCCATCTCCCTGTGGTCCCCTTTTCACTCCTACCCTCTTAGCTGAGGGACCCCTGGTGGCCTGCTGTAGGGGGTGTCCCCAGCTTCCAGGGCAGCCTGCCCCCTACTCTCCCTTAGTGCCCTCATTCCTCTACCTCTCTCCGCTCCCTTGAAGAGAATAACCCGCCCTCTGACCTCCCCACGCTGCTACCGCTGCTGCCTCTGCCGCTCCTTCATGTGTGTTTTCCTCTCTCCCCCTAATCCAGCTAATTTTCTACCCTCCCCAGGTCTGATGACAGCGACTCCTCTTTGTCGGAGGTCCTGAGGTACACACAGACTCTCTCGCGTGTGCTCCCCAGCTCACTCTGTCTCCTGTCTCTCTGCCTCTCGCTGTACCGCCTCCCGCCTGCACCCTGCATCCACAGCATGTGGCCCCTCCTCCCTCCCTGCCCCTCTGATCCCAGTGGCTCTCCTGAGACCCCCTCCTGCCCCTTGGTTCCTCCCTGTCAGGGTTTCCGCATGGCCTTGGACTGCACCCAGCGGCCCATCTGGAGCTGGGGGCTTGGGAGGGTGGTGGCTGCTTATCACGGGCTTTGTTCTCTTCCCCCCAGTCACCTGGCAGGGAGGGGCGGAGCGTGGGCACCTAGGAGTGGGGGGTCTGGGGTCAAAGCTCGAATCTCATGGAAGTACCAGGCAGATGGTGGTCCTTGGAGGATGCTGATGGCTGTGCCCAGCATCGCGTGGCCTGCTCAGCTTGTGCTGGGGCAGGGGTGCGCCTCGGGCCTTAGCCCTGACAAGGGCACTCTGCACTCCAGGGCCCAGGAATGCAGAAGCCACCCCTCCCCCAGAGGCCAGTCTCCCCAGCTAGCCCAGCTGTCCCCACGGCGAGGAGCCTGAGCCCCTTGAGCTCAGAGCTCCTCCAGCTCTCCCAGCATGCCTGCAGCACCCCACACCTCCCACCCTGGGTGGGGGGCACTTCTGCAAACCCTCGGGAGGGGGGAGTGCTGCCACCCTGATGCCAGCCAGCACAGCAGCCTCTCACGAGGATACTCGTTCCCCTGCCATGCTTGCTCCACGGTCCTGGGCTTCTTCCCGGCCTCATCACTGGGCCCAGACCCGTGTCAGAAGTGGGAGCCTTGGGGGGCTGCTCCCATGTGTGACACATGACTGGCAACTGGAGCTGTCGGGTCACCATCCTCACAGGCGGGCCTGGCTAAGCCCCGGGGGCTATAAGCAGCGCTATGGGTGGGACACTGGCCACATCAGCACCCTTGGCCCCTCATTCCTGTTAGAACAGCTTGTTCTCTGGAAGAGAACTAGGACGTGTCTTCAGACCCGCACTTACTCAGCAGGGCTGCTTCATTCTAAGTGCCCGCACTGAGAACAAAACTCCTCCAGGAAGCTGGTGTGTCTCTGCTCACTCAGCATAGGCTTCAATCTGCCCCCAGAAGCTCCCTGGAAGAAGAGGGTATACTCCAGGCCTGTGTGGCCTCATTCTCTGAGGACCCCAGAATCCCTTAACCGGGAGCTGAACTGGGGTTGCCTCTAGCAATTCAACCTCTTGTAAATGGCAATCACAGGTTTGACCATGTGGTACACATGGGATTCTTGGGTAGGAGGCTGCGTGAACGTGTGTGCATACATGTACATGTGTGCATGCGGAAGTCTCTCACTTGGGAGCTGCCAGTCCCAGAGGGTAGATGGATGTGCTGGACTGGTGTGCTGTGGGGGACAGCCTGAGTGTCCTCCTGTCTGCACTCTTCACCTCACCTGGGTTCTCTGGAACAGCATGGAGAAATCGTGGAAGCTGCAGGAGCAATTCCAGCCCCTGGGCCTTTGTCCTACCCAGCGGGCACCTGGGGGCGTCTGCATCTCGGGATCTGGGTCAGGCGGTCATGGGTGGAGCACTCCGTGGCAGGACCCAAATGTACTCCTCAGCAGTGCCTGGCACAGGGCTTGCCCCCCAGAGGTGCTCGGGGGGAGGGGCGACTGCAGGTTGCTGTCCGGGGCGGGTCTTTCCCATCTACACTGCCTGTTCTCGCTCTCAGACCTTGGTAGAGCTTGGCGGGAGTCTCTGGAGTCTCCTTCATTCATCCTTAGTCCTCTCTCTACTTGTCCCCTCTCACCTGTGTGCCTCCCTCTGCCTGGCCAAGGGCTCCCTGGCTGACACATGTGCTTCCTGTGTTCCTCTCTCCCGGGAAGGGGCATTATCACGCCGGTCGGCGGAGCCAAAGGTGCCAGGACAGCCCCGCTGCAGTGCGTCTCCGTGGCTGAGGGCCACACCAAGCCCATCCTCTGCCTGGATGCCACGGATGAGCTGCTCTTCACAGGGTCCAAAGGTGGGTGGAACCCAGACTGGCCACAGTGGAACCCAGACTTGCCCAAACTGGCAGGGCTGGGTCCTCCCAGCCATTGGCTTCCTTCATTGGTGGTGGCAGAGGCTGCTCCCCAGGAGTTGAGGGTGTGGGGTCGGTCACTCACTGTCAGCCTCAGGTCTCACCTTGGCTCTGAGCTTCGTCCCCGGGTGCCCCGGCCACGCCATCCCTCCCAGATGACCTGTGGCTCCACCCAGCACTTCCTTCCAAACCTCCCTCAGAAGCTCCAGGAAGCTTCTCAGGTCCACTCACCCCAGTCCCCTGACCACACCTGCTCTTCAGTCCAGCACTGACATCTAAGCACCTCTGTGGTGGCGGCATCAGGGCCCCACCAAGTCAGTTATTCAGTCGCAACAAAGTCAGCAGAATTTCACCAGTAGAAAGAATGGTTTTGTAATAGACACACTAATACGAAAAGAACATATCCGTACACCACGTGCACCTGTGTATGTTCACGCAGCTTAACAACAAGGACGCGTTCTAAGATGCACGTTGTCAGGCAATTTTGTCTTTGTATGACGTCATGGAGTGTTATAGTTACAAACACACACACACACCAGAGTAGCCTCCTGTTACCCAGGGGCCACCGTCGTGCACATGTGCAGCTCGATGTCAGCCAAAACGTCACAGACTTCGCCTGACGGCGGGAGGGAGAGTTGCCACTCTGGATGAGTGATTGAGGCCCTGTTTCTCTCTTAAGATTGGCTTCCTTTTTGTTCAGTAATTTTGTCAGCAATTAACAGTTGTGGGAACAGGCACCAGAGCTTAAGAATCCTGCCTTAGACTGGGACACCTTTTTGGTGCTCACAGAACTGCTGCGAACCCTGATCTGAACTCCCCGATTTCTGTCCCCAGTGTCTGCTTGCGCACACGGCATGCCCTTGTCCCCTCAGAGCGGTGGCTTCCTCTAGATCTCTGGCCAGCTCGACAGCCCCTGTCGGGTGCGTGTGCATTGCCTGCCTGTGACTTCTGCCTTCCCTCCCCTGGGGCTCCCTGTCTCACAGACCGCAGCTGTAAGATGTGGAACTTGGTCACTGGGCAGGAGATTGCAGCTCTTAAGGGCCACCCCAATAATGTGGTCTCCATCAAGTACTGCAGCCACTCGGGACTCGTGTTCTCCGTGTCCACCTCCTACATCAAGGTGTGGGACATCCGGGACTCAGCCAAGTGCATCCGGACCCTCACGTAAGTACTCCCCAACCTCGCTCACAGTGGGGGACTGAGTGCCAGCCCCAGCCTAGTGACCCAGGAGGTGCAGCCCTGTCTGGCTACGTGGGCACAGAGACCCTTACGGGCTGGAGGTTTGACTGAGGGACAGGTGAGATCTGCGGGTTGGGGGACAGTGTCTGAGGCAGTAGTTTGGGTAAACATTTACTTGCTTGCCTCCCACCCCTGGGGTGTGACGAGTGTGGCCCTGTGTGTCCAAAAGAGGGCAGGGTCATAAGGGGAGACTGCAGGTGGCAGTCACCTCCACAATGAGCCACCAGAGGGGTCCTGACCCCTGAGCCTGACTGTCCCAGGAGACAGACATGTGGGAGACCCAGCTGAGATGAAGCCCCCCTGGAGTTGTTTTTTGGCATAAGTCACGCTTATCCTATGCTTACAGTGTGAAGCCACAGTCTAGTGTTAATGTGATCCTTAAAAAAAAGGAAATAGAGGGCCTCCCCGGTGGCGCAGCCGTTGAGTGCTGGGTTGCGAAGCTGCCTGCAGCCTCTGCAGCGCTGCTTCGATCCCCGGCTGCTCCCTGGCCACTGGAGGAGGGTCCCACATGGCTCACAGACCTCTCCTGCCGCCCGCTGCTCCCCTCAGCAGTGTGCTTCGGTCCTTCTGCCTGCTCTGCTCCCCGCTCTGGCTCTGGTGAATTCTCTCACCCTCCCGCGCTTCTGACTGTACCCAGTGCTTGCATAAATAAATAAATAAATAAATCTTTAAAAAAAAAAAAGGAAATAGAATTTTTGGGGCATTGGAAGTTCTGTGCGATACTGACGTCCTTATCCCTCTGCCAAACCTATCAAATGCACCAGCCCCAGAGTGAGCCCTACTGCCAGCAGGACTCTGGGTGACGATGTGACAGTGTGGGTTCACCACTGGAGCAAATGTTCCCCTCCCTGTGAGAGGGGTTCGTGTGTGTGGAGATTGGGGTGTATGGGGAATCTCCATACCTTCCTCTCAATTTTGCTATGACCCTAAACTACTGCTCTGAGCGATCCAAGTCTTTATTTTTTTTGTATTATCATATTATTATTATTTTAAAGGTTAACAAAAGCTTTATTTACAAGGGAAGGGGAATGAGGAAATGTACAACTCAGGGAGAAAAGAAGGAGATAAATTCTTAAATGCATCCTACCCGTTCCGCTAACTTGGAATCCCAAATGACCCACCGAGACCAAACCTGCCTGGCCAAGAGCACGAGCCAAGTGTGCGCGACCCTACTAACATGGCTAGTTTTTATTTACAAACAAGAGAAAATGGCTGCTTAACTCCACCCTTAGGTCCTCGCAACTTCCCTTTGGGGATCCTGGGATTTGTAGTTCCCGGTGTCTTGATGGAGTGGGGGTGGCAGAGATCCAAGTCTTTAATAAATAAAACAAACCCAAGACAAACAGAGTAAGTAGAACGGATGTTATCACTCTTCTTTCAGGGGAAGAACGGGACTCAGAGAACTTAGGTGGTCTCCTCAGGGCCAGGTTTAAGCCCAGTCTTAGAGCTTAGCCTTACCATCTCCCAATGCCCCTGTCCAGACACGTCAGGGGCAGGAACCTGTCTCTTGCTCGGACACAGTGGGGCTCCCACCCTTGGCCCCACCTCAGTGCATCAGAAATTTCCAGGAGAAGCTGTTGCTCCCCTCTGTCAGTCAGGGAAGGCTTCCTGGAAGAAGTAAGTGGGCTAGCTGACAGAGTTTCCATTGGTTTCCTGGCCCCAGAGAATGCACTGCTTTGATACCTGGCCTTGCCTCTCCTCCTCATGGGCAGGTCCTCAGGCCAGGTGATCTCCGGCGATGCCTGTGCGGCGACATCCACCCGGGCAATCACCAGTGCTCAGGGTGAGCACCAGATCAACCAAATCGCCCTGAGCCCTTCAGGCACCATGCTGTACGCCGCCTCAGGCAACGCCGTCCGCATCTGGGAGCTCAGCAGGTCAGTGAGATGCCTGGGGGCAGAGGGAGGGCCTGGGGTCACCAAGAGAGGGCACCGGCGCCCACTTGGGATGACCCACAAGGCTGACACCCTCAGTTCCTCTGTTCCCCATGCTGTTGGACTTGGGCCTCCTCCTCCAATGTACAGCACCCCATGGACACTGGGCCGCTACGTCCAGGTTCTTGATCAGCTTTGAGGGAGGGAGCGTGCCCTGCCAGGCGTCTTCATTACGGGCCAGGCCTCCACCACAGGCTTCCTCTGATCTACCCGCCCACGCTGCACCTCTCCCCACCACAGGTTCCTACCCGTCGGCAAGCTGACCGGCCACATTGGCCCTGTGATGTGCCTGACGGTCACCCAGACAGCCAGCCAGCATGACCTGGTGGTGACCGGCTCCAAGGACCACTATGTCAAGGTACCTGCTGCTGCCTCACCCTGCCTGGCTTGGGCCCTCCTGGGCCCTTGTTTCTCTTGCTTTCCATTTCCCCGGGAGTACTCATGAGAAATATCAAGACTTCTAGGGATTTCTGTGCAGAGCCCAGAGAAGCAAGAAGCTGAGTTCAGAAAGTAATGATGTTTTATTTTATAAATGGTGAAAAACTAGAAAAAGAACCGCCTAAGTATCTAAAGATAGAAAAACAGTGAATTACGTTAGGGACCCTCCGCTGGGGAGGATGCAGTGTGTCTGTGCACTGTGAGACAAAGGGGGGAACACCGCACTCGTTTTATTTGCTGTCGACACACAGTCAGAAGCTGGACAGCAGCATATCTATAAGAAGGAAGGAGTGGGTGGCGGGATGATGAATGTTTTCACTTCACATACAAGTAATGTTATATTGACTGCACTATATAATCACACCCCACACCTGCCTTTCTCCTGAGAAACCGTCTCCCCACACGCCCAGCCCTCTCCCCCATGGGAAGGGTCAAGACGGGGAGCCTGCTGAGCTCCCGGGCCGAGGCCCCTGCAGGAGCCCTGTCCTGCCGGGGAAGCACCCACTCTGGGTCGGGCCTGGGGCTGGGCTCAGGGCGCCTCAGTGCTGTACCCAGGCACCCCTTCCTCCTGTAGATGTTCGAATTGGGCGAGTGCGTGACGGGCACCATCGGCCCCACACACAACTTCGAACCCCCGCACTACGACGGCATCGAGTGCCTCGCCATCCAGGGAGACATCCTGTTCAGTGGCTCCCGAGATAATGGCATCAAGAAGTGGGACCTGGAGCAGCAGGAGCTCATCCAGGTGCAGTGGGGAAGGGGAGAGTGTGGGCTAGGGAGGAGGTGCCCAGCCCAGGCAGGGCCTTGGGGACCTGAGGCCAGAGCTCCCCAAACCTGCTCATGCTGCACCCTTATCCCCTCTGGGCACTGCCCCAATCCCTCACTGCTGCCTGCCCTGACTCAAGCCCCCAATATGCAGCTGCTTCCAGGCAGGGCACCCCCCACCTCACCAGAGCATTCACATTTTCCTCTGACCTCTCTCAAGGCTGAAGGGCTCTCCAGGGGTGCAGGGTCTTAGGATGAACCTGGGAGGGGGTCCTGGCAGCCCCAGCATGGGCCAATCTGGCCTGCTTCCTGGGAACCAGAGGCCTGCCTGCCACTCCAGAAGCAAGGGGCACCAGCTGGCAGCCTTTCTGTCTGTGGGGTCCTCTCCTGCTTCTCCCTCCCCTGCCCTCACTGGCCTGCTCCTCCTGCAGCAAATCCCCAACGCACACAAGGACTGGGTGTGTGCCCTGGCCTTTGTCCCGGGCCGCCCCATGCTGCTGAGCGCCTGCCGTGCAGGCGTCATCAAGGTCTGGAACGTGGACAACTTCACGCCCATTGGGGAGATCAAGGGCCATGACAGCCCCATCAACGCCATCTGCACCAATGCCAAGCACATCTTTACCGCCTCCAGGTGGGTGCCAGGCTCAGAGCTCTGCTTTTGCTCCCCAGCTACTCCCTGGTGTGGGCAGGGCAGGCTGGGGAGGCTCAGGGCCCCTGCAGCTGTCCCCACAGCTTGTGCCAGTCTTCACGGAGCACCAGCCCGGGGCAGGGCAGGAGGAAGGTGCTGGGCCCCGGGGAACAGCTCGCCCTCTGTCTCCAAGCACTTCCGGCCTCTCACACAGCAGTCTCCACCCCTGCCGTCTTAGCCCACAGAGCAGCCCGCCACCCCCTCCGCCACCCCCGCCACCACCCGCTCCAGCCCCAGCGCCACCCGTCCAGGGGACGCCCCACCCTCTGGAGCTGCTCAGCTGGGTCTCTTCTTTTTCCTCCTGTTCCGACCATGTCCCCTCTCCTCCCTCTCCTTCCTCCCGCCTCTCCTCGCCTGCCTCTTCGCCCACAGTGACTGCCGGGTAAAGTTGTGGAATTACGTCCCTGGACTCACCCCCTGCCTTCCTCGCCGAGTCCTGGCCATAAAGGGCCGCGCCACCACCCTGCCCTGACCCTCCTCGTCACCCCGCTCCCCCCTCCTCTCTCATTCTCCCCTCTTTCCTTTCCCTCTTTCTCCACTTCGATCTGAGCTGCTTCTTAACGGTATGAGATTATTTTACTCCTCCTCTCCCTTCATAGCCTGCCTGGCCCGGCGAGATTGCCCTGCCTGCCCCTCTGGCTCCCATCCTCTTCCAAGCATGCACCGTGGGACAGCCCCACAGGCGAGGGATGCCGGGTAGCAGGAAGAGGGGCACAAAGCCGAACAATGAGAAAAGTCCATGATAAGGGTCTTTGGGGGCCTTTGAGACCACAGGTCCTCATCCTCTACCCAGCACCCCCACCCCTGCTGTCCACCCTTGTCTGAAGCAATGCCTGCCCCTCAGCCCAAGGCACATGTGGGGAGCTTGGGGTCTCTGGCCTCTCCTTGACTTTTGGGGGTAGCCAGCCAGACTCCCACAGGCTGACGTGCCCCTCTCTGTCCTCCAGTGACCTGACAGTGAAGTTCTGGAGTGCACGGCGGTTGCCCGGTGGCCCACCCTAGGAGTGAGGTCAGAGGATGGCCCAGACCCTCGCCAGCGGCCTGGATAGCACAGAAGGGGAGCCCTGGGGGCCAAGGGCGTGGGCAGGGCGTGGCCCTCTCCGCTGTCCTTCCCTTGACCTTACCATGGGATGTTGTGTCCCCAGCCCCTCCCTGGCCTCTTGGGGAGAGAGAAAGAGGTTGGGGAGGAAATTAAGCTGTGAAGCCAAAGGGCATTTTCCCCTCTCATTTCTCTTCCCACAGCTCCTTGGCCTACCCCAACTGGCCACGTTTTCTCCTGCAGACCTGGCCATGCCCGTCCTCGAGGCCTCTGGTCCAGCAGAGGGGCCCTGTCGGGGAGGTAGCAGCCCCAGCCCCACCTGCCCCTCTGGTGACTGGCCTCCAGGCCCCTCCCACCCTTCTCCCAGCCCAGCCTCTGGAACCCCTGCACCTGCCTCTGAGCCCAAAAAATTAGTCCTCAGGTAACCACGGAAACCAGGTGTAGGCAGCTGGGCCCTGCAGCTGACCCTCAACCCCTTGGGCCCCACAGCCATTCCCACTAGATCCCTGCAGTTCCCTGGGGTCCCTTTGTGATGGGGCCAAAGAGGAACTTCTGGGAAGAGTCCTTTGGGGATGGGGAGGTGTTCAGAAATACTTGTTATTTATTTTTTAATTTTTTTTTTTAAATTTTTTTTTATTTTTGCCGTTGCCTCCTGGAAACTGACTTGAAGTTTCTTCCCACGTGTTTTTCCCTTGGCTCTTGGAGGCCTGGAATCCCAGAGGGAATCCATCCTCCTCGCCCTCTGGGGCCTCCTCCTCTCTTTGCTTGCAGAGGAGGAAAATGCCCCCTTGGACTCTCTGCAGCTTGGCCTGTCCCGACATTGCTCCCAGGGACATGTAGCGCCCCCTGACCTCTAGGCCGCCTGAGCTTCAGTGCCTTCCTCCATCCCAGGGCCTGGTGCCCGTGCTGGGCAGCCTTACACCAGCCATGCCCACGGCACCACATGTGTCTTCTCCCTGCACTGTCTCATGCCCATTGCCCTGAGAGGGCGGGGAGCTCTACCGCACAGCCCAGGGCCAGGGAGCCCACCCCCAGGGTTCTGCATGGGTTCCTAAGGAAGCAGCTCAGAGAACTATCTGCTAGGAGGCAGCCTGGCTGGTGAGGAACCCCACCTCACCCCAGTGCACCCAGATCTTCACCCTGACCAGGCAGGGAATCCCTTGAGCTTTCTCTCTGGTTATTCAGGAGACATTTTCAAGCCTTAAAACCGGCACAGGGCAGGGGGGCCCTTCCTTTTGGGAGATTAATGGCCCAGAGGGCGTTCACTAAATTGTTCTTGGGGCTGCAGACAACAGCTCCAAGTACACCCTGAATGGGTGTTAGGGCACTTCCTGTTGGGGTAACTCTGAATTTACAAGAGTGGCCTCTGGAGGGGTCCCCTCCGGCCCTCTGTCCCAACCTTCCACACTGTTTTTCCATTGCTGACTGGTCTTGTGCTTCATGGCCTGTCTGGAGGCCAGGAACTACAGCTACGTTCAGAGGGCACCGGGACTTTTGGACTTTGTGCTCTGTTTCTGTCCTTGGAACCTCTCCCTTTTGGCCAAGGCACTCCCTGTTAGCTCTGTGTGGTCCCGGTGAGAGGCAGCTGCTGCTGAGGGCTGAGCGCGGCCTCCTGGGCTCTGCCCCCTGACGCTGAGAAAGCTTCCTGCTCTGAGTGGCCCCTGCTGGACGTGGTACCCGCAGATGTGCGGGAGGACGCACCCTCGCCGGCTGATCTCCTGGAGCCTGGGTCGGTGATGAGGACTGGGAATCCCTCCTGTAAACCCTCCCGGGGCGCCAGCAACTCCCTGAGCCACTCAGCAGCCAGCACAAGTCCTTCCCCTCCCACCCTTCCCACCGAACGGAAAAAGCTTCCACCTCGTGACCTGTGAGAAAGAACCCCCTGCATGACTGTTTACAAACTGTATAAACACAAGACTGTGTGTCCCACGGGCCGGGCGGCTGGCCTGGGGTGGCCGCGGGGCAGCGAGGCCTGTTCCTGCACAGGTGTCATGTCCAGGCCACGAGAGGTGCTCACGTCGCCCGGCTCTTCTGTTCTGGCGGGTCAGCTACCTCATGGCCGGCCGGCTCTGCTGTCCTGGCGAGTATTGATGACTCTAAACTTGAAGCCCTTTGGGACCCCAAGCCCCTCCGAGCTTTGGAGTCTCTGCCCACCCTTTCAGGGATGTCCAAGGTCATAGTTAGGGGCAGGCCCCTAACTCCACTCGCTGCACAAGCCCCCTAAATGTTGGAAGCACAAGATGGTGGTGGTTTGAGCACACTGGCAAGGTCGTGGCGGGTGGCCCAGGGGCCTCAGCCCAGCCGCGGGGTCCGAAGTCAGACTGAGCTTGCGCACATCTCGGGGGTCCTGCCCTCTCAGACCAGGCCTTGGCCCATGGCTTGTCATGATTCTGGGACTCATAATACTTACTCTTCTGTGCCCTTCCAAAGACTGGAGGCTGGGCCGCTTCTGAATGTCATGGGCCCGGGAGGAGTCACCTATCCAGACCCCTCATCCCAAATCTTGAAATGCCTGAGTCCAGGCTGAGTCCGACCCTATTGAGCCTAAACAGCCTGGACCCACATTTCCAGTATCCCGGGCCAAGCCCCTGTGAATGCTTCTGAAGCTGATTGGTTCCCTGGAGCAACAGTGTCTTCCCTCCCACGGACCTCGGGCCTTCCTCACACAGCCCTGTATCTGGCTCTGCCCTCAGTATTACCAGGTCAGTGTTTGCGGAGTGACCAGCTCCTCTACGGCAGCCAGAATTCCCAGGGGGGCAGCTGGGGCTGCCTTTGGAGGTTGCCAAGGAAGGAACAAAGGTTCAGAGGCTGTGGCTGGCACACCCAAGCCTTCGAGGTGGGCTTGGTGCCCTCTTCGGGCCCTCGGGAAGGGAACCCTGAGGACCCAGGAGTATCTCCCCGCCTTCCCGCCCTCACCATAGTTTCAGCCTAGGAAACCTCCCTCCTTAGTCGTCCAGCCCACTGCCCCGGTCCACCCGGGGCTGCTGTGCAGCTCGAGCAGAGGGCAATTCTAAGCACAAAACCACTGTAGGGAAAACTTCCAACACCACGTGAGGTGGTGAGGACGCTGGCAGGCAGGTGGCTGTGAAGTCAGAGGTTCCACTGTCCCCCATCACAGAGTCCGTCCTGACTCTCAGAGCCTCCTCTTAGGCAGTTTGGGTGGACGTGGGCCCCCCTGGGGCGTGCCACCCCTGCCCAAGTTGGGTGTGTTCACCCTGGGGTTTGTGTGGGCAGAGCCTGCCCTGCTAGGGAGCGAGTTCCTTCCCAGGGTGGCCCGCACCTGTGGTATCTGTCCCTTGCCATCCCAAACAGGAAATGCCTGCCACTCCCTGAGCTTGGCACAGCCTCCCAGTCCAGGCTCAGGAGCCAGGCTTGGCCAGTGCCCCCCACAGGCCTTTGTGGGCCTGGCCCGCCTCTCCTGGCTCCCAGATCCTTCATGCTTTCTCATGCGCGACAACAGAACCTAAGTTCTGTTCCTTCCAATTTGGTTCTATCCCTCTTTCCCACCCATCCCCGGCACTCAGATGAGTGTCCAACCCCTACCCCACCCCAGGCCAGTCCTTTAAACCCATGTCTCAAGGGCCTTGCAGAACCGAGGAGTAGAGAACAGCCCTGGAGGAATCGGGGCTACCCGCCCACCAACTCCCCTCGCACCACACCCTGCTCAGGCTGCAGGGTTTCGTTCAGCTCCTGCCCTTCACTCTGAGTCTAGCACAAGGTGTATATATGTTTTGTATCTCTGCCAATGACTGTACATAGTGTATGAAAGTTATTTAAGCCTCATGCTGTACATTTATGTTGTTAGACTGGATGTTTGTGTTCTAAGAAGTTGTCATAAATAAAACCCAAATGGCCATTGTCTCTGGTGTTGTGGCCCCAGCAGGGGATGGCCCCTCCCTGGGGAGGAGGTGGCAGTGGGCAGGACAAGCCTCTGGGCTGGGCCAACTGTGGAGATTTTCCCAGGTGGTGATTCAATTAGGAGACAGTGTTGAGGGTGGCGTTCTCTCAGGACAGGTGCAGTAGACGAAAGAGGTTATGAGCAGTTATTGAGCACCTACTGTATGCCAGGCAGTTTCAGGCATTTTTCATTGGTGCTTCTCTGCCCTGTGTGACAGTCATGGTCTCATTTTCTGAAATGAAAAAAGGCTCCGGGAGGAAACCACTCGTCCAGGATCACAGCGAGTAAGAACAGAAGCAGTTTGGGGCTCAAACTCTGGACCCATCTCCTTTCACTGACATCCAGAGCCATATCCGGGCCTGGAGGATGCTGTGCCAGCTGCCACTAGCTGTTTCCCTCCCCTGTCGCTTGGCAGAGAAGACAGGCATGTGAGGGAACGGCTCTCTGGCCGTCCTGACTTGGTTTCTCCGTCAGTGCTTTTCATCTTTAAAATGCACATTCCCTTTTTGAGGACCACAGATCACTTGCCGTCCTGGCGCCTGGAGGCCTCTGGGGGTCACCTCTGTTTTCAGCAGCAGCCAAGGTCATTTTGAAAGCTTCGCTTCCAGATTTTCGTATGATGAAAATGGCAGGGTTTCTGTTTTCCAAATCTAAAGTGAGTTGCTTTGTCAACCTGCACAGTCCCTGCCGCTCATCTCAGCCCGTGACCACTGTCAGCAACCAGGGAGTCCCAGGAGCGTAGAGAAGGCAAAAGGCTTCTGGGGCCCCAAGGGAGGCTTCCTGAGAGGTGTCTTCCCAGGAGGCTTCTGATCCTCAAATGGAAGGGCCTTGACAAGTTGAGGGGCCCCTGGGCCACCACTGAGGTACATAAAAGTGGGCAGAGTTGCCTGAACTCCCCAAACTGTTCTGGGGAGCTCTGGTACCTCCCGCCCTGGGAAGTGAGGACAGTTGTTGTGGCCGGTTGACTCAGCCCCACCTGTGACCCTCTCCCTGCTCTGCTCTCTGTCCCACCAGGCCCATCCTTGCACAGCATCCTGCCCTGCAGGACAGAGTTCGCTGGTAACCACAGAAAGCTGACAGCTGGGCACTGCCAGCTGCAGGCTGGGCGGTGTGTGGGTGGACCCGGGAGACAGGCCAGGAGATGTCAGGAGCCAACTTGTCAGGAGCCGCCCTGGAGCCAACTCCAGCCGGCTGGCTCCTCCTTGAGACTCTGCCCCTACCTCCCCACCCCCCAAGGGTGTGCCCCCAGAGGTGGTTTTTCCAAACTCTGGTCACCCTGTCTGTGTCTTTTAAAGATGCCAAGATACTTAGGGGTGGGGAGGCAGGAATGCTGGGCTAAGGGATGTTGCTTTTAATCTTTTAGCATGGGATGGTGGCCTTTGTCCTAATTATAGGAGTAATATCTGCTTATTATAGAAAATTCATAAAACGGGTTGAGAAGGAGAGATCCTGTTTAGAGAAAGTTTAGAGAAAGTTCTCCCAGACACAGGCACTGGCCCGTCTCAGGACACAGAGCTGGGTGGCATCTTAAAGATAAATCCAAAGCAAGTTCCTCCCAACCCTCTCAAGGGGAGCACAGCTCCGAGCTGGCTCTGCCACAGACACCGAGAACTGACCCGTGTGGCCAGACAAGGAAGCACCGACTGCCCAAGTGCACACCTTTTATTAGAAATGTCCCGCTGGGCCACATCCTCACCCTCAGTGCAGGACTCGGGATCCTGGTGCTGTCACGCACCCAGGACAGAGTCACAGAGTAGACAGGGCTCAGAAGCGGCTCTTTCGAGACCTTCTGCCGCAGAAGCAGGAGGTCGAGGTCTGGGCTGGCATCTTCTCCCTTGCTTCCAGGATGTAGAGGGTCTGTGTTGCAAGGCAGCTGATGGTGGGGTCAGGGTCTGTCTGCATGTCCCTGAGGGCTGGAACACAGAGATGGCACGGGTGCTTTGGATAGAGTGACCCCGTGGGCTAGGCAGGAGGACCCTGGCCCCACCAGGGGTTCAACAGAGGCTCGCAGACAGGGGCAGGGCAATGGGATGGGGGCGGCGGCTTTTAAAAGAGAAGCAAGAATTCCTGGGAGCCCATACTGCTTGGCTACAGCTGCCACAGGCTCGGGGACTCCAGGCTGGCGGCCTCTCCTCCTCCTGGGTCCGTCCTCTTGCCAGAGAACAGCCAGTCCTCTGACTTCAAGAGCCACCGCCAGGGACTCGGCCAGCGCTCAGGAGCCCGGGGGTGTGGGATGTGGTGTGCGAGAGGGAAACGGAGCGTGGGGGGGACCGTGGCACCGAGACGCCTGGGCCACAGCTCGGCCATCCTGGGGGCCCTGGGTGTGTGTCCCTCCCGCAGAGACTCAGAGGAGGTGTCCTGACCGCTGAGCGACTGGAGCTCAATGGGGAAGGGGGTCACAGAGTAGACAGAGGGCAGGGGGGCTCAGACCAACACCCCAAATCCTAAATGCCTTGGAGACAAGCCAACCTCTTCGCTCCTTCCAGAGATCCTTTTATGAGCCCATCCACCCATTCTGGCTCATTTCTGAGTCTCCCCTACCAACACCTGTACCTTTAATGGTGGAAGGAGCAGGCGATCGGGGTGCGGCCTACCTGAATACTCCGCCTCAATGTCGCTGACATCCTCCTTGGACAGGGTTTGGATAATCTGGCCTATGGGGGCAAAGAGGGCATCTCAAGAACCACAAAGGACCAGGAGCCCTGGCTGTTCCTGCTCTGGTGCTCCTTCCCCACCTTTGTCTCCCAGCCCCCCTCACACATACAGAGACTTGCCCCAGGAAGTCTCAGGTACATTCCCTGCCCCCAGGAAGGTTGGGCCAGCGAAGGGAAGGACCACACTATTCCAAAGATGCTCTCCTGGGGTGACGTGAAACTTCCCCCTGCAGAGTGGCACCCCTGACACCCTGCCCTTGGGAGCTGCCTCCCCAAGACATGACCTACCCCAATCAGGAGCTTCCTGCAGGGGAGGGACACAGGGGGAGGCAGCCCTCGCTCCCCTGCCCCCGGCATGGTTACCACATGCCCCTGGGCCCTGGGCCCTGGGCCCTAGGACAGGGATGGGCACTTCGAGAAGAGGGGAGAATCCGCACCTGCAAACCACACGGCTGCCTGGCGGATGGTGGGCTGGGGGCTCTTGAAGAGGGTCACGCTCTGCTTCAGAAACCAGGAGGCTCTGCTGGTCTCCTGCTCCAGCTGGAAGACAGGGGTTCTGTTAGGTCAGTCTTGAGCCATCCTCGCAGTGCAAAATCTGTCCAAAATTCCTACACCTCCAGCCCCTCCAGGCCCTCCAGCCCAGCTCCTGAGGTCTTATTCCACCACGAAGCCTTCCTGGATTGACTGAGCATGGGGGTCACGTTTCCTGGGGAGACGAGAAACACATGGATAGTCCAGCATTGCTCACGACTATGATTCCTCCTGAGAAACATCACATCGCACTCACACACCACACACCGCGCTGCACTGGCCGGTCTATTGCGCGATGTCACACGCGGGGTCCGTCACTGTCTGGAATGTCGTTGAGCAGGCAAGACCGTGGTCTTCCCAGGCTTTGGCTCATACATTTCCCTCATCCCCAGCACTAGAGGAGTGACCCCTTTGTTCAAATATTGCTTGTGGATATATTGGCTTAAAAGCTCTAACCTCACAGCCTTCTGCATTATACTTCAAGAGAACCAGTCGTGTCCGCAATTGAAACAGCCTCGCAGTCACACATTTTGAATCCTTCCTTCCCCACCTGGGGCTGCGGCCACTTTCAAGTCATGCAGGCCTCCCTCTTGAAAGTTCAGAGGATGAGTGTCCTTCCAACCCAAACTCCATCTCCTGCATCTCCTTCCAGCTCTTCTCCTACCCTCTTTCTTTCATGCTGCAGTCTGAATTCTTCAATGAGGAGGCTATAGCCTCTGTGCCTCGGTGACAAAAATCAAACTTTCAGTGGGATGTGTCCCACAAACTTTACAAATGCAACAGATACAAGATGGAGCCACTCTCCCCTCCATACCTGTCCCTCTTGATGCACACCTGACCTCAGTCCAAACACCAGCGTCCACCCACATCAGGGACTCAAGAGTCAATCTTTACCTTCACCCTCCATATCAAATCAATCTCCAGGACTGGCTAATACCTCCACCGTTTGTCTCTATGACCTCATCCTTTCTCCCTGACCCCTCTCAGGCAGAATCATGATCCTCCCTTGTGAATGTCTCCTCTGACCTGCAGCCTGGTCACCTGTCTAAATGCATGGCTAACTGCCCTTGCTTAGAATACATGGTGGCTCCCTACTGCCCACAGCCTCAAGTTCTGCTCCTTGCAGTGCCCAGCTGCCTGCTTCCTGCTAAGAGCTCCTGTGCCAAGACTACACACTGATAGTCCAAGAGTCAAATCCAGCCTACAGATTTTTTGGTTTGCTCCTCAGACCATGTTTTAAACATTGCAAAATATTTGCCCATGTAAATATGGGTGATTTCACCCCCAAATGGGATTTCCTGCTTCTTTGAACAAAATGGGGGATCTAGCAATGCACAGTCTGCTTTCTCTCAGAAGCAATCAATTCTCAACTAGGACTGTACTGTCCCAGGGAGGACTGTGGAACTCGGTTGTCAAAATGATGATGGGATCCACCAATTGCTAATTCCCATTGCATAATTGTGTCAAGCAAAACCTGTCTCTACATGAAAACAAAACAACTATACCAAGGCCTTTTAACCCTTGACTGTGCACATTTATCAACAATACTGTCCTGTCCCCGATCAGCACTTTCCCGGGCAGAGCACAGGGAAACTGAAGTAGCATTAAATCAATAAAAAGTTGAATTCTCTTTTAAAGAAAAGAACCTGTTTCTAATTATCTGTGCACAAAAGTTGACTTCATCTTTTATATAAGCACAGAGTAGCTGTTCACAGTTCAAATATGCGCTGACTTTTCCAGTAGCATCTATGATTAACAGGTGTCCCGTCTTACTGGGCCCACTTTATTGCATTTCACAACTACTACTTTTCTTAAAAAAAAGCAGGTTTGTGGCCACTCTGAGTCCAGCAAGTCAATCAACGCCAGTTTTTCCAACAAGTGCTCACTTGCAGACTCTGTTACATTGAATCAATGTGCATACTTTTTTTTTCTTTTATAATAAATTTTATTTTTATATTCCCCATACAATTGCAACCCCCCCATTCTGACCCCAATCCCTCCCCTCCCCCCCCACCCCCCAAAAAGTGTCTCTGGTTCATAGTTTTTTGTTGATTTTGATTTTCACTTTCTTATAGTTATTCATTTTCCTGGTCCCTTATTTAAGTTTTCTAGATTCCTGCTATGAGTGAGACCATCCGGTATTTTTCTTTTTCTTTTTGGCTTATTTCACTGAGCATGATCCCTTCCAGCGCCATCCATGTTGCTGCAAATTGCATGTGTTTATCTTTTTTGAATGCTGAGTAATATTCCATGGTATATATGTACCACATCTTCTTGATCCAGTCATCTATTTTTGGGCATTAAACCTGATGTTATTGCAAACCTAACTTACACACACTGGGAAACCAAGATATTCCTGTGACTGGCTGTATTGTGATATTTGCTTTACTGCAGTGGTCTAGAACCAAACTCACAATTTCCCTAGAGAATATCTGTTAATGCAAAAAAGACTGGACTTGGTTTTGTTTAGAAACTTTCCCAAACTTGTCTATCACTTTGGAAGTCCCAGCACCAGTGGCCACACTTCTGTGGTATTTGCGTCCCCAACTCAATGATTCAGAAACAATCCACATGTGTAGCAGGGCCAGAGATCCCACAGAGAGTGGGGAGGGGTCAAGGGCGCCATCGCGTGCTCTAGGGGACTTCATCTATATTTTTATTACATCATGCAGATCATGTCATGCTGCTGAGTTCTATTGTGATCTGTACATATTTACACATATCATTTTCTTAAAAGTTATTTCATTTCTCCTTTGGGATTAGACTTTTTAAAAAAAAAATCTATGTGAGTAGGTGATATTCCCTGTGAACTTTATTTTAGGATAGTAAAGGGGAGAGTTTAGAAATACGTGCCCTGATGAGGGTGTGCAGTGTCTGCAGGGTTCTCCTCCAGCCTGCTCAGTCCCATTCCCTGGCCGTGTCCCCTGCATGGCCTTGCGGGCTTTCAAGTTTTCTACTCTGTTCTGATGATTTCAAGCTACTTAAAGCTCCCCCACACCAGGGTTTTCTGTTCTTATTTCTTTCTCGGGACCAAGTTCAATGACTGGATGTGTGCAAAGCCCCTGGAGCAGAGTGTGTGGCAGCACGTTCCAATTGTTCTCTTTACTAAGTTCTAGCTGGCCTTCCATTTTGCCCTCCAGATAACACCTCCTCCAAGAAGCCTTCCTGGATCTCCCAGAGAGCTGAGAGTCCCTTCTTTGTACTACAAGGTATATCCTGTCTTTTAGCCCTTATCAGAGTTATTCTTTCTATGTGAGCCTAGGCCCCCAACTTAAACGGAAAGCAGTGGGAGGGCAGGAGCACGTATAGAGACTGGACATACAACAGACACTCGGTGCCTGGCTCATTGAAATTGTAAACCCCAGGAGATGCAGGAAACGAGCCAGCTTGCCTCCCCACGCATTGGAGCAGGACAGGGAGAGGACTGCTGGCTTACCAGAGCTCTGAGGATCGTCCACACATCTTTCTCGGCAAATATGGTTTTGAGCTTGGACCAGCCCAGTATGGTGGCTGTGTGGCAGAGGGTGGGTCGGCAGATCTGGGGAGACAGGAAAGTTCAGCTTGAGGAGTTATGGAAGCAGGGATGGGAAGAAACACTGAGGGGCACAAATGTAAATGGCAGGCAGGTAAGCCCCAAGGGGATGGAAGACACTGGTGAACCAGAGAACCCAGGTTAGGAGAAAGGCAGGGTCTTTGAGGCAGTTTGGCTGTACTAGCCCCTCTTCCCACTAATGAGAAGGTTACAAATGCGATTGTGATGATTTCCCAGGTGCTCCGGTGCCACACTAAGATCGGGGCCAGGCAGTGCTGCCCCTCGTCTACCGCCCGCAGCTTCCCACCTCCCAAAACTTGTCTCTGCTAACAGCTTTCACCAAGTCTGTCACTCCTGTAAATCAGGGTGGGCTCTGTAGGTAACACTGCCACTGAGCCCCAGGCAGGGACTCCGCCCCACAAAGACAGTGTCCCCACTCGGCGGGTGGCTCCGAGCATCTTCAGCTGTGCCTGCAGCGTAACCAAGGCAACCTGACCTGTTGGAAACTGGGGTCCGACCCATGTGGCGCCAGTCACTTGCAAGGGCACCTTTTCTCAGCCTGAGTTCATGACCTGAGCTCGTGGGCTTACAACTGGGGCCCCCATTCTAGAATGCAGGCTCTCCCTGTCCTGGCCCCACAGTGCCCGAAGTGGGAGCCTCCCTGCCTGGAGAGCCCCATCTCCATTGAGTGGCAAAGGGCTGCAGAGAGCAGCTTGGCCGCTGCTGGCGGCCGGTGGAGAGAGCCAGAGCCGGAGAAGCCGGTGCCAGCATCCACCCGTCTCTGCCTCTTACTGCGATGCTCCAAGGTCAGCGACAAGAGGCCTTCTTCAGCATCTTCCCGTCTTGCCACGGTCCCTTCCTAAGAGCTTCATGTCCAGCGCCTCATGTCCTATGAACTCCCAAGGGCGCTGGTGGCTGAACCTCAGTCTCTGTGGCCTGACCTCTCACCTGAGCCACATCGGCATTCACGTCCACCAGGTGGAGCACGAGGACGACTATCAAGTTGAGGACCTGGTGTCTGAGGGGGAACACCAAGACACTCCTCTTGATCTTGTTCAAGAGAGTCCCATAGATCTCAAAGGCCGTCAGGCGCACAGTCTCTGAATCCTGGGTAAGAAAGACACACACCCACACCCCAAGGGGGAACACTCTGCCTCTGTCCACCTAGTCACCAGGGACAGGCAGCCCCCTGAGCACCACCCCACCCCCTGCGTGCTCCTGGTTACACTCTGCTCCCCCCATGAGATCCACTCAATTCTACAGCATCAGGTTCTCCCATGTCATCTCCCCATTCACCCCTTTATAATCATTACACAAGAGAATTAAGCGGCTGGCCCCCAACAAGTGGCATCAAAGGCATTTCCAGATAATTCTGCCCAATTCTTTTATCTTAAGGACTCTAGAGATGGGAAAGGACCTGGCAGGGGACTTCACCTCTTCGAAGAAGGGTGTGAGGATGAAGGAGATCTGCGTGAGGAAGGAGGAGGAGTGCTGCCAGGTGAGGTGCTCCACCAGACACCGCAGCGCCAGCAGCGTCTCCAGGACCAGGTTGCTGCCCAGGGTGTAGCAGCAGTTGAGCACGTAGGGCTGCAGGAGGGACAGCTGTCGTGCCTGCGGGCGACATGGCTACTTCAAGCCAACCCCACCGAGCAGAGCTGGGGGTCGCAACGGCTCTTTCATCCCAGAACTGCGTATGGTCCAGGGAGAAAATGGTTAGCAGTAGCACAAACAGCCTAAGGCCTTCAGAGGGCACCTTCAGGGCTCGTGGGGCAAGGGGAGGTGGCAGAGGAGACCTCCTCCGTCCACTACTTCCATGATTCCCGGGTCACGGCTTGCATCTTCCCTGGTAATGATGCCCATCTCCAGGAGACCAGGGTGGTCTGGGTCTAGGAATTAGAATTAGTGTGGTGTATGCACCGAAGGACCCACTTTCCTGACCTGGGGGAGAAGGCATGAACCCTCAAGCCCCTGATCCCTGTCCTCCGCGGACTGGCTTCAGAGGACCTGCTTTGTCGGATTCTGAGCGTGGTCTATCCGTGTGCATCTGGACGCACTGGCCCTCCAGATCTATCTATCCCCTCCCGAGCAATATGTCTGGGGAGCAGCCCCACCCACCCCCCTCACCATGTTTCCATGCTTTGCAAAGATCTGCACTATCTGCAGCAAGAGCTTCACCGTGGCTGGCTCCTTGCACTTGAACCAGTTCCCCAGGATGCGGACAGTGGTGTCATCCACAATGGCCGCCACATGCGGGCATTGGAGCAGCTGGAGGAAGAAGGAGAGAAGGACCGAGAAGATGTGACAGGAGAAAAAATGTTCGTAACTCTGGATCTAAGTTCCTACTCATGAATAAAGAAATATTCTTCAGGAATTAGAAGAACTGGCAGAAGGCCAAAGCTTAGCTGAAGGGTAACTTCACACCCTGCTAGTCTAGAAGACATTCATTCATTCTCCAAGTTTTCCTTCGGTGCCTTTGATAGGAGAGATGTAGGGGATAAAGGCACGGAATGCACACTGCCCTTGGGACTCCTAGCCACTGGGTCGGGAGCAGATGTCTGTCCAAGGAGCACTTGGTCAACTTTTCACGGCATTAATGATGTTGCACAAATGAAAATCAAGTAAAAAATCTTTCAAATGTGTTGATTAATGTAGGGAAAGTTTATGAAAGCGGTTGAGCTTGAGAAGTTTGATGAGAAATTCAGAGGGGAAGTGTGTGTGTGTGTGAGAGAGAGAGAGAGCAAGAGAGAGAGAGAGAGAGAGACATGGGGAGAGGTGGGTGGAGCAAAGCAAAGATAAAATGTTAGGACAGAATTGAAGGAAGGGCAGTCACCCAGCATGAGAAGTGTGGGCCATGAGGACATGTTGGGCAGGACAGATGGTCTGGGAGACAGACCGGGCACTCTATTTTTTTTTTTTAAGATTTATTTATTTTTATACAAGAGCTGGGCTATAGGCCAGAGGCACGGGAGGGTGAGAAGATTCACCAGAGACAGAGTGGGGAGCAGAACAGGCAGACTGATGAAATACACTGCTGAGGGGAGCAGCAGGCGAGACAGAAGAGGTCGGCTGCGCCATGTGGGACCCTCACCAGCCAGCCGGGAATCAAACCCGTGCTGCAGAGGCTGCGGACAGCTCCACATTGCTGCATTCAACCTGCTGTGCCAGCAGGGAGGCCCCAGGCACTCTCTTGAAGTTACTTCAGCGCAGGTAGGACCAGGATAGAGCGGCAGGAGTGGAGAAGGGTCCGCTTACCCCATCTGTTAGATTTACTGACTTCTTAGAGGGGAGAAAAGTTGAGACAGTTGCCTAGCAGAACGCATTTTTAAAGGGAGAGGACACTCAGGCCCTTATTGAGGGACCGTGTAGCTGCCTTAGGGGCCATGATGGCCACAAGGGTGAGGTTGAACAAGCAACACTGAAGGAAATGATCTTATAGACAAGTAAAAGCCACGAGACTCAGTGGGGCAATGCACAGAGGTGCTGCAGGAAGGCAAATCCAGATCACAAAATGCACGTGCAATGCTCCAAATCACCAGGAGCAGGGAGATACAAACCCAACCATGAGACACTGCTTTCCACCCACTGCAGGGACAGCCCACTAAAGACTCTAACCCTCATTGTTGGAAAAGACAGGGAGGGAGGGGCCACTCTCCCTTCACTGGCAGAAATGTGAATTGCTACTGCTTCTGTGGAAATTATAGATATGGGTATGGATAGAGAACTAGAGATTAGCTAGAGATAGAGATAGATAAAATTGTTTGACCGTGGAGAAAAACAGGAAAGATATATATTTAGTGGCTTGCATATGAGATACCAGGAAGATGAAGGGGTGGGGTGTAGGGCTGATAGGGTAAAAGGGAGAAGGCAGAAATGGGAAAGAAGAAAAGGCTACAATAAAGAATAACACACATGATTTCATTTGTATATTTATTAAACATCATGCGTGATTTCATTTGTGTATTTATTAAAAGCATGTGTGGTTTCATTTGCACATTTATGTTAAGGAATTCATAGTTTCACTTGTTTATTCCTGTAACATTATATGTGTATATATGTTATTTAAAATAAAATTTAAAAAGCAGCTACTCGGCGACACGCAGCTGATGCACTTCTGTGTGTTGCGTGTGTGTGTATCTGTGTTGTTACGTGTGGTCCTGACAGCTAGGAAGTTCCCTGAGCAACGTGGCAATTTTTGCCCATCTTTGATTGGCAGCCAGGCAGATTAGCCAGCCGCCTAATTTACTTTACTAGTTGAACAAGTTTCTTAAAGTCTCTGAACCTCAGTTTTATCCTCTACAAAATAGAGGTAATCACATCTTTTGCACAGAATTACAGTGAGAATTAAAATAATTGAGCACTACTGCTCCTGAGTGCCCTGAAGAAAAGCACACAGTCCTTCCTGTTTGAGATCTTTCTCCTTGTGATGATCACAGGGATGCGAGCAAGGGCAGCAAAACAGCCTGTGCACGACTGGGAACTGTCACTAGACTTTCAGAGCCTGTTCTCTCAGTTATACAGATCTTGACCCGCTTTCTTAGCTGGTAGCGAAAACCTCATTGGTTCTCCATCTTGAAATCACCTGGGCCTCCCATAATTGCTGAGTAAGGTGTGCCCAACGCCCTACCTGGGTGCTGGTCCCAACTTTCTGCTAATCACGTTAACTCCACTTTCCCTTTGCAAATCCAAGGTGCGGGGGCTGCAGATGAGTGAAGCCCCATTGCATGTCCACTTGTTTACTTGGCTGTTATGCATTCAGGGGATCATCTAGAATGGGTCTCAGTCTTAGCTGCATTTCTAGAATGCAGCTTTGAGCTGGGAACTTCTAAAATAACCCATGCCTAGACTCCATCCTAGGCCAACTCAAATAGGCAGGAGTGGGAAGGGAGTGAAGTGGTGTGGCCTGAACATTTTTCAGTGTGTCAGAGGAGTCCCCTATGCAGCCAGAGCGAGCACCACTGTTGTAAAGAGACCGACTCACATTCCATGGTGTCCCACCCCAGGCTTGTACCTTGTAGAGGCAAAGCTCAAGATGGTAAATTCTCTCAAACCTGAGACCACGCACCACCTAACTCACAATTGCTTGAAGACTTCTGGGCCTCGCGGAAGGTGCCCTGAGCCCAAGTCTCTGCAGGCAGGTCCCAGGAATCTACATTTAACATCCTCACTGGTGACAGGAGGTGCACATGGCAGCCGTGGAGCTCAGGCATCCCTCCCACTCTGGGTTTGGAATCCACATCCCCACATCCTTAGCAGGAGCCCACACAACATGCCTCGGAGAACATGTTGTCAGCACCTCCGTGCCAGTGCTCATGCACTAACACCTAGCCGAGAGGGCCTTCCAGCCAGGCACCAAGGCCCTGGAGCCTGCATAAAGACAGGCAATGGCATGACATTTTATATTTCAGTACCAGCACTGTGCTACCTTCTATCTGTGTGGTTGTGTTTGGAAGCAATACCATCCCTGTTGTTTTTTTTTTTTAAAAGCCAGGTGTTGGGCCCCTCCCTGGTGGCACAAGGGGTTAAGTCTCAGCACTATGAAACTATCCGCAGCCACTGCAGCACGAGTTAGATCCTGGCCAAGGAGCTACCCACATGGCGCAGCAGACCTCTCCTATCTTGCCCATTGCTCCCCTCAGCAGTCGATTTCAGTGAATCCACCTGTTCTGCGCCCCACTCTGCCTCTCCTAAATCATCTCACCCCCACCCCCCGCACTTCTGGCCTACACCCCAGCCCTTCTAAATATAAAAAATCTTTTAAAAAACCAGTGTTCCCCAACCTTCCTATGGAGCAGCGACAGTAAGTCAGCCACCCCCTCCCAAATGGCCTCTTCTGGGTGTGCCCATGGGCATGTCTGCTGGTTGGTCCTGCCCTGACTGCTCACCTCGGTCAGGAACACCAGGGCTGTGAAATGATTCGTGTAGTCCTGTCTCTGGAGGATGTTGATGAGAACACTGAAGATGGGGCGGTTGTGCCAACAGTTCCTGATGACCAGGGCCCTGCAGCGACAGCACAGTCTCCAGCGTCAGGCTGGGGCTGCGGAGAGGACCCGCAGGACAGGAGGACCCCCAGCAGGGCCCCAGCTGACCTGGCCAGCTGAGTGACTCCTTCGTAGTGTCTTTCAGGACTGGTGAGCAGTTCCCAGCCCCCGACTTTCTGAACATAAGACACATGGTCCCCATAACCCGTGCTTCTCATCAACATCTTCAGGGCCTCCACGGTACAACTGTGGGGGAGGGGAGAGAGCAGACAGGAAGTCACCCCAGTGCGCCTCTCCCTCTCTTGTGACCTGCCTCTTACCCAAACCGCTCTTGGAAACATGGACCTCTGGGGTGGTGGGAGACTCCCCTCCTCCCCCAGGCTAACAGCTTATGAATGAGGCAGCCGAGGCCAAGAGCACCGTGGCTTCCCAGGAGACGGGATATGTAGGCCACATCTGTGGAGTTAGCTGGGCTTTTCTCTGTTGTGTTGATTTCCCTTTGGTTTAGAACCTCCACATCAGCCACAGTTAAAGAGTCTTTTCTAGAAAGTCCAGTAGGACTTGCTGAAACGCAAGCATTGATGAGGGTGTAGAGGAAGAGGAGCTTGTGCACACTGTAGGTGGGAAAGCATATTGGTGCAGCCACTTTGGAAAATGGTATGGAGGTTATTATTACTTTTTTAAATAAAAATGACAGATGATCTAGCTCTTCTACTTCCAGAGATCTGTCTGAAGACTCGGGCCCTGCCATGTTCACTGCGGCATGCTCACAGCAGCCAAGCTGTGGAGACACCTGCGTGCTCAAAGACCTCAAAGACAGGCGATGGACAGATGTGGCCCATCCACCAATTGAACGCTACTCAATTATAAAAAGCAAAAAGTGGTGGCACAGGCTTAAAGTCTCAGCACTATGAAGCTATCCGCAGCTACTGCAGCACGAGTTCGGTCCCCAGACAGATTGCTGACCCACATGGCACAGCAGACCTCTCCTGTCTCACCTGCTGCTCCTCTCAGCAGTGTATTTCAGTAGATCCACCTGTTTTGCTCCCTACTCTGTCTCTGGTGAATCCTCTCACCCCCCGCAACTCTGGCCTACACCCCAGTTCTTGTATGCATAAATAAATAAAAATAAAATCTTTAAAAAAAAAAAAAACAGGGCCTCCCCAGTGGCACAGCGGTTGAGCGCTGGGTTGTGAGGCTGCCCGCGGCCTCTGCAGCACTGGTTCGATCCCCGGCCACTGAGCGAGGGTCCCACATGGCGCGCAGACCTCTCCTGCCACCTGCTGCTCTCCTCAGCAGTGTATTTCATCAGTCTGCCTGCTTTGCTCTCCGCTCTGGCTCTGGTGGGTTCTCCCACGCGCTTCTGACTGTACCCAATGCTTGTATAAATAAACAAACAAACAAATAAATAAACAAATAAATAAATAAATAAATCTTTAAAAAAAAAAGATGAACTCTTGCCATTTGTGATGATGTGGATGGAACTTGAGGGGATTATGTTAAGCAAGTAAGTCAGAAGGAGAAAGACAAATACCCGAAGGCTTCATGCATGTGGAATATAAAGAAACAAAACAAATAAACACACAAAGCAAATGCTTGGATTCTGACAACAGAACTGAGGCCCTCAGAGGGGAAGTGGGAGGGGGGGCATATTGGGGGTCAGGTACCCAGTGGACAGTGATGGGGGGGTTATTGGTGCTTCAAGGGTGACATACATTGGAAGAGGTGGACACCTGTACCCCTCAATCACGCACAGTGATATAAGCCAATGTTACCTTAACAGCAACAAGAGATTTGTTGACTGGTGTGGGGGGAGTGCACTCAGTGCCCTGGGGGAGGCGCAAGAAGGGTGTTTGGAAGCCACAGGCTGCTTGAGACTAGGTGGGTGACTGTGCCCTGAGCACCGTCACGAGAAACCCAGGCCCAGGGGCTGAGGTACCTTACAGGGTCCATCCACTCAGCATCCTGCTGCTGCTCCTGGAGCGCTTCAGTGTCCTCTTCAACCACAAGAAATGAGACCCGGAACAGCAGGGCCGTGAACAGGGAGGGGAACAAACTCTGCACCTCCATCCGCCGACTCGGTTCCAGAAGGAGTTCGTGGATGGCCCTGGTGGCCTGAGGGAATGAGAGTGGGGCATCACCATCTCTCTCTTCAGCTCTGGCGTCCTGTCACCTCGAGGGGCTGGCCCAGTACAAGAATGGCTGCTGGAGCAAGTGAAGCCTAAGCGAGTGAGCCGGGAAAAACCCAGGGCAATTTCTGGAATAGTCAGTCTTCTTAATTACTCTTATAACTGTAGCAGTTGTTGTATGGTCTCGCTTTCCTTGAAAGCTGACTGAGGACAAGGGTGTTTGTCCCCCACCCCTGGCTTCCCCAGGGAGAACTACAATGCCAGTCCTCAAGAAGACAGAGTGAACTACAAAGCACTGCCTCCAATCCCACCCCAACACTCTGCCCTTAGAATGTTCACCCAAACACTGATTGAGGCAGAGGCTCTAAGAGCTTGGATGGGGACCAGGAGCCCACGCCCAGCACCCATCCCCCAGCCCCCCGCTGTGGGCCCCTCCATACAATCAACGGAGAGAGCAGAACTCTGGGGCACATCTCCTGGTCCCTCGGTTCCTGGTGCGGAGTCAGCCTCTGCAGCAGGTGCTCCATGATCACCTCATAGCCTTTGGGGAAAGATGCCAGGATCTCCCAGGGCTTGCGAACCCCTCTGCAGAAGGAGAACCCCACATTTTACCCTCCACGGGTTCAGAATGCTCCAGGAAAGGGGCCCTCGGCAACTTTCCTCAGGCCTCCAGCACCCTCATTTGCTGGCCGCTGTCCTCATTGCCCCTCTCTTCTTACTCCCCTTCCCTGATCTCTGTCATCTCACACCTTTAATAATAAACTACTAGAACTCAAAAAAATGGGGGAAAAAGAATTCCAAAAAATGTAAGTACCATTTACAATTTCACTCAAAATTAAAATACATAGAAAACTAATAAGGTTAGATCTGTGGACTGAAAACTATAAAAGAGTGCTGAAAAAAAAACCAGGGGAGATCTAAATAAATGGAGAGATTTGCCACATCTGTGGGTTAGGAGATTCAATGTTGTGGAGACATTAGTTCTCCTCATACTTATCTATAGAGGCAACACCATCTCAATAAACATACCATCAGGTCTTTTTTTTTCTTTTTTTTTTTTTAAGAAATAACAATGCCACATAAACATGTTAGCACTACATGGAAAAGCAAGGGAAATCGAATTGTCAAATTGATTTTCAAAAAAGTGAAAAAATGGGAGGACACAATATGTAACTTTGAGACTTAAGTTACACTGTTCAAAGCAGTTTGGTGTTGGTGAAGAATTAGCACATACAGAAATGAAGCAAAATGAACCCACAGAGATATGGTCAATTATTTTTTGATAAAGATTCAAAGGCAATTCAACGGAGAAAGATTAGTCTCTTCAACAAGTGTTGTTAGAACATGCAATAAGCTCAGCCTAGACCCATTCCTCACACCTTATAAAAATTAACTAAAAGTGAATGATAAGGGCCTCCCCGGTGGCGCAGCGGTTGAGCGCTGGGTTGCGAAGCTGCCCGCGGCCTCTGCAGCGCCGGTTCAATCCCTGGCTGCTCCTTGGCCACCGGAGGAGGGTCCCACATGGCGCGCAGACCTCTCCTGCCGCCCGCTGCTCCCCTCAGCAGTGTACTTCAGTCTTTCTGCCTGCTCTGCTCCCCGCTCTGGCTCTGGTGAATTCTCTCACCCTCCCGCGCTTCTGACTGTACCCAGTGCTTGTATAAACAAAACAAACAAACAAATAAAATAAATAAATAAATAAAACATGCCTCTATAAAAAAAAAAAAGTGAATGATAAACCTACATGTAAAAGATAAAAGCACTAAAACGTCTAGAACAAAACTTAGGAGAAAACCTGTGGCCTAAAACACATTCCATGGCAGAAAAAAAAATAAATTGGACTTCAATAAATTAAAAACTTGCTCTACAAAAGATGATCTTAAGAGAATTAAAAGATAATGCACAAATGGATTAAATATTAAAAATAATATATCTAACAACAGACTTATGTCCAGAATATATAAAGAACTCAACAATAAAAAAAATTCTTACCAAGGAGTGGGTAAAGGATTTGGACATTTGACCAAAGAATGGCCATGAATACATGAAACGATGGTCAACATTATTAACTGTAACTAAATTAGGGAAAAGCAAGTTAGAACCACAATGAGATGCTCCTACATACTTGCTAGAGTGGCTGCCACTTTTTAAAATAACAATAGCGGGCCTCCCTGGTGGCACAAGGGGTTAAGCACAACACTATGAAGCTATCCACAGCCTTTGCGGCATGAGTTCAATCCCCAGTCGGCCAGGGAGCAACCCACATGGCACAGCAGACCTCTCCTGACTCGCCCGCTGCTCCCCTCAGCAGTGTATTTCAGTCAGTCTGCTTGTTCTGTTCCCCACTCTGTCTCTGGTGAATCTTCTCACCCCCTGCACCTCTGACCTGTACCCCAGTTCTTGTATGTATAAATAAATAAATCTTTTTTTAAAATGAAAAAAAAAATAACAATATCCAGTGGGGACAAAGATACAGGCAACCAGAACTCTCGTATATTGCTGGTTGGAATTCAAAGGCTATGGTGGAAAACTTTACTTTTTTAAACATTTATTTATTTATGCATACGAGAGCTAGGGTGCAGGCCAGTGGTGTGCAGTGCGGGGTGGGGGGGGGAGGTGAGAGGATTCACCAGAGACAGAGTGGGAAGCAGAACAAGAGGAACTGATGAAATATACTGCTGAGAGGAGCAGCGGTCGAGACAGGGGAGGTCTACTGCACCATGTGGGTCACCTCCCTGGCTGGGGATCGAATGCGTGCTTCCATAGCTACTGATAGTTTCATAGTGCTGAGACTTAACCCCTTGCTCCACCAGGGAGGCCCCATACAGTGGAAAACTCTTATCATTGAACACCCACTTTCCATATTGCTCAGCAATCCGATTCCAAAAAATTCATCCCAGAAAAATGAACTAATGTTTATACAAAAGCCTATATGCAAATGTTTACGGCAGCGTTACTCATCAGAACCAAAATTGGAAGCAGCCTAACAAGCCATGGCACAGCCTGCAAAGGGATGCTCCTCAGCAATGGAAGGAATCCACATGCTGATCCACATGACGAGTCCCCACGTGTTACGCCAAGTGAAAGAAGCCAGACCCAGAAGCCTTTATAGTGTAAGATTCTATTTATATGACATCCCAGGACAGCCCAGACTCTAGGGAGAGAGAACCCATCAGCATGACCAGGAGTTGGGGAAGGAGTTGACTCCAGAAGGGCAGCACCAGGGAACTTAGGGGAGCTGGAATGCTTTGTATCTTGATTACCTTGGTGATCATGATAACTACGCATTTGAGAAAACTTGTAGAACTAAACAGCAAAAAGGAGAATTTTACTGCATGCAAATTAAAAAATAGAACAAAGTTTTAAAAAGGAAATTATAGCACAGTATCTCCAGACCACATAATATTAGGCAGTCATAAAATTATGCTTACGAGAGCATTTTAACTTGGGAAAATGCTATGATGAAATGTTGAGTAAATCTATGCAAGAGCTTGATTATACATGCTTTAAAACCATTTCTATATGGAACTCAAATTATAAAGTATACCCAAGAGACAGCAGAGGTTGCCATTGGGTGGGATTTGATTTTTTTTCTTTTTCAAATTTTTACATGATTCTAAATTTTCTGCAATAAACCCGTATTACTTTTATAACAACTCGCCCCCAAAATAAGTAAGGAATTTGCTAGTATTAAAAATATGAGACATTTTAAGAACACGCAGATTGACAGGCTGCTGGGGCTGCATGGTGATAGAGGGAAACTAGACTTTCAGGAGTGATCATGTGGTAGGGTATCTTGAATTACAGCACCTGAGATGTATATGTCTATGCATCAACATTACCGCAATAACAATTTATTTAAAAATAAAAAAATATATATGGGGCCTCCCCGGTGGCATAGGGGTTAAGTCACAGTGCTACCTCTGTGATGGCCTGAGTTCGATCCCTGGCCAGGGAGCTGACCCACATGGTGCAGCAGACTTCTGTCTCACCTGCTCCTCCCCTCAGCAGTGTATTTCAGTCTGCCTCTTCTGCTCCCCACTCTGTCTCTGGTGAATCCTCTCACCACCCCTGCCCCTGGACCTCTGGCCTACACCCTAGTTCTTCTATGCAAAAATAAATAAATAAATATAACAATACTAGTAAAACTCAAGCAAGATGGTTGGGGCTTGTCAGTCTGGAGTTGACTGGGTCACCTACCTTTGCGACTCATCCTCCATCCTAAACAGGGTCAGGATAACTTCATCGGTGTAGGTGTGGGCCAGCGAGTAGAAGAACTTCTGTATGGTGGATTGGGCTGCAGGCTCAGTGATGCCGTTCATGTTGTAGTAAATGAACTGAATGATGTCCTGCACCTGCGTGGAGGAAGGTGCCCTTCAGTTCTAAGAGCTTATTCACAGTCTACTCTGAGGCAGTTGCATGGCCTTCCAGGCCCTGGGATGTGGGAGGGGAAAGACCCAGGAATCACTCATAGGACTTATTTTGGAGGTTGCGTGAGCAAGGTAGAAGAGAAAGCTAAGCCATTAAAATGAGTGAATCCATCAACTCCTAAGATCTTCAAAATGATATAATAAAAAGGACAGATAAATTATGATGTCTTATTTGTACTGAGATTCAGTTTCACAAAGAGAGACCAGAGTCTCTGCTTGTCATCTCTTACTGTGTCTCATAAGGTCATGTATGTATGCACGTGCATGTACATGCTATAGACATGTAATATCTGTGGGATCTACACCTCTGTCTTGACAGCGCATTCTCCTACCGGAATGAAGAAGGCGTCCACAGATCTATACAAATTGTCTGCAAGCAAGAGGGATGACTGAGGTCTTTCCTGATGCTAAGAGTTCAGAATATCCTCGTTATAGGAGTCTATTCTTCTTCCCTTCCTGGGTAAGAAGGAGGCCAGTGGCCAGCCCTTCTAAGGAAAGTCCTTTTATACAACTGCATATAGCGCTTCATTTAACCTCTTTTTTCTGGGTTAATTAAAGGATTGTGAATCTTTAAACCCAAATCAGTAGGAAATAAAACAGAAGCAGCCCTGAAACAATAGTTAGGAAGACTCCTTAAGTTGACCTTGACCCATTAAGTGCCTCGGGGCTGCTACCTTCCCAATCTCTGGTACAGAGTGCTTCATGAGCATCTTCAGCATCTTGGAAGCCCCCCAGATGTCATGAGTGTTGGCGCTGGTCATGGTCTCCAATGATACCATTATCACATCTGCTCTCTCAATGGGTGTCAGGTATCTCTTGAAGAACTGAAGAAAGAAGAACAACAGCTTTCTGTAATGCCAGTGTCCAACCTGGCATTGCCCAAAGCTGCTGGTTGCTAAAGATACCCATCAAGCCGGGTCTAGTGTTGACTGGCTGGTTCCTGGCCAGCACCTGGCTAATCTACGGTATAAGGCCAAGTTCAAGAGTGTTGCCAACACTTAAGTCCCCAGGCAGGAACAATGGCCCAGATAGCATAACACATAGCACAATGCAAAGGCACTTCTATTTTGAATTTGGACCACAGCGAGGTGAGTCCATGGGAAATGAATCCTTATTTCTAGTGAATTTACAGAGTTCCGAAGCAAGTAGTGACTTCTGGGGTGTAAAATAGCTATGTCCCATGTCTCTGAATCTATAATCCAGTGAAGCCCATTCACTCAAGCAATGTTAAGTTTCAGTTCTGTGCCTGGTTCTTTTGCTGGGAGCTGGGGAAAATCATAGACAAGACATCCACCGCCTTGATGTCCAAGAACTTGTTGTCTGCTCAGGACAAGGAAACAGGCAGTGATGGTGCAGCGTGAAAAAAGCTAATGCAGAGCCTCAAGGGGCTTGAAAGTTAGACTTGAAAGACTAGAGAAGGCTCCTGGGAAGAAGTCCCCCTGGAGTGCATACCTGGTGAAAAGAGCTCTGGCAGAAGGAACAGACTGCAAGAAAGAGTCCCAGGCAGAGGGAACAGACTGTGCAAAGGCCTGGAGGGCAGAGTTCTGTCTGGCTGCCATGTCCTGAGAGGAAGACGTGGCCAGGCACAAATGGGAAACTGAGGCAATATGAGGCAAGAGAGCTACTGCAGGGGGTGATCCTGAAGGGCCTCAGGGGTTATGAAAAGTTTGGACTTCAGGGTAAAAATAAATCTGATGGGGAATAATAATAGTATCATGATTTTTGTATTTTAGAAATTGCTCTCTGGCGTTAGTGCAGAAAATGGTGTGACGGGGAGCACGGGTGGGAGCGATCCCTGGGAGGCCACTGCCATGATCCAGGCCAGAGGGGAGGCAGACTGAGCAGGGCAGCGTGTGGGGCTGGAGCACCGCGGATGCACCCAGGAGCTCCTCCGGAATGGACAAGTGTGGGGCTGAGCTGCATGTGGAGAGTGAGGGAGGGGAAAGGGCCAAGGATGATTCTTGGATTCCTGGCTGGATTGTCTGCCGCTGACTTTGACTGGGCCTGGGAACACCATCCCTAATGAGCAACGTGCCTTTGCTGAGTGAGTAAAATCAAACTAGGCCACTAGGGTAGACTATACCTCTTACAAAAACTCAGGTGCCTCAAAGTTCAACTCCAGGGCAGGTAGGGAAATGGGCCCTATCTCTCCAGCGTGCTGACTCTGAGATCTTGAACTTTGGGGCATGTGCTTCTGTGGGGGATTACTCCTCTGTGGCCCCAGCCAGGCCCTGACCCTCTTTCTCCACACCATCCCCCACCCAATGTTCCCCCATGGGTGGGTGGGGAGGGTTACCATTGTGAGATCCTGTAGGTTGGCAAACCATTCCCCACGGAAATGCTTCTGCAAATCCTTCAAGATGGTCTCTGTTTTCTGTTTCACACCTCCAATCCAAAAGCAACAATTAAGGGGCAGGGCCTTAACAGGGAAAAAGGAACACCCCTCCTTGAGTCCCCTCCAAAGCTCAGAGATCAGCAGGGCTTAAAGGGTAGAATGAAGTTTGCCCAACAGAACAGGCAGAGTTCCCCAATGCCAGGCGGATGGGAGGACAGGGAGGGGCTGGGGACACAGTCTGGCCCACGAGCAGCTGCCCTTCCTGTACCCCGCATCCTGTCCCTGCCCAGCTGGGGTACACCCTTCTGGAAAGTACCCGCTATTGAATCACAGAAAGCCAAGGTTTCTGAAACTCCCTTTGGGGGGTGGTATATGTGAATTCCCCTGGCACCCCTATAAATGCTTCTGGTTGTCGTTTATCTGGGTTTCCTGGGACAGAGAAGGTCCACATCAGGGATTCCCAAATCTGCTCCCTGAGAAATGATGCTCATTTTGCCAGTCCTACTCCCAGCAGTGGGGACAGGAGGCATTGAGCACCCAAGATGATCTGATAGGTGACTGTAAACGGAGTTCCCTCTTTCCCAGGAGAATCTCCTGGAATCTCTCAAAACAGCAATGAGTTTGGAGTTCATTCTGATAAAGCATATTTACTCCAGTGCCCACAAGAGAGAACTGCCCTTTGATGCCTGACACAGGGCAGGCCTCACTGCCTGGCGCCTGTTGCTCTTGTTGCAGGAGTGCCCCAGGCCGCGGCCACGTGGCCATCCAGACCTCCATCACTTACTTCTGTGAAGCACAAGGATTTTGAACAAGTAATGCAAGGCTTCCGACGCCCCGGAGCTGATCTCACTGCTGTAGTTCATGCAGAAGATGCCCAGGAGGCCCATTAGCTTCCCGCTGATGGAGAACTCCTCCAAGTGCTGCCAGGAGGAAGCTGGTGACCTGAGGGGGCTTCCCCCACCATGACAATCACACCCCCACCCCCACACACACATCGGCCCTCGCCTCACCCACTCCACACTCTGTCCTGGCAAAGAGAAACCTCCCAAGTAAGTACCCAGGGGAGCGGGGCAGCCAGACCCAAAAACACACCAGCCAATGCAAAGTTGTGAACCTAGCTCAGCCCTCTCAGAGCCCCAACAAGACTGGGGGGTGTCCAGCCAGTTGGAGCTTCCTAGGCCAAGGACAATATCCCTTATGAACAGACAAGGCACTAACGCAAAAAAAAAAAAAAACAAAAAAAGCTGCTGTGACCACCCTCCAGTTGCCCCCAGGAGAGCCACAGGATCCGTCAGATGCCCCATGGGCAAATAGCAAGGCGCACTGGGCCTGCCTTACCCTGCCCCAAGCTCTCACCTTCAGTTCAGGGAAATTGCAAATAAACCTCAGCAGTCGGGCAACAGTGCCCAAGGCCCGGGTCTGTTCATGTTCTTTCTCTGACTCCGTTAACCAAGGCAAGAGGACCTGGAGAAGGAGCAAAGCGACTCCACCAGCACCTTCTGTGGAAGCAATGCCTGTCCTGCCCCATCTGGAATCCACAGCCCGAGAGACAGAAAGACACACAGGTGGGAGCTGCGGTAGGTCCCCAAGTGCAAGGCCCGTGATCTTGGCAAAGCAGGGGCGTGACTGAATGTCTCCTGCCCTTCACCTACTACCCTCTGAGTCTTTTCTACAAGGATATTAAGGACAATGCTGCACCCTGAAGGTCGAAATGCAAAGCAGAGGGTGAGGTGGGGGCTGGGGTTAGGTGGAGGGCAAGGGTTCTGATACAGCAGTGAAATACACACCCCTCCCCACCGCGGAGAGAAACACTCTTCCCCACCCCAAGTCTAACAGATCATATGTTTTAACCAGCATCTTGCTTTTTCCTTGCACTCAAGGGCAAAGGGACTTGCTGCAAAGAAACTTCAAAACAAAGCCAAGCACAGAACCATGCAAAGACAATGCTGAATCACTGCCCAGCAGATGGTGATAAAAAGAAGCCAACAAGGGGGCCTCCCTGGTGGCACAACGGGTTAGGCACCGCACCATGAAGCAATCTGCAGACTCTGCAGCATGAGTTCAATCCCTGACTGGCCAGAGAGAAACCCACATGGCGAGGCAGACCTCTCCTGTCTCGCCGGCTGCTCCCCTGAGCAGTGTATTTCAGTCAGTCTGCCTGTTCTGTTCCCCACTCTGTCTCTGGTGAATCTCTCACCCCCCACACCTCTGGCCTGTACCCCAGCTCTTATATGCATAAATAAATAAATCTTTAAAAAAAAAAAAAAAAGAAGCCAACAAGGGCCTCCCTGGTGGCGCAAGGGGCTAGTCTCAGCTCTGTGAAGCTATCAGCAGCCACTGCAGCACAAGTTCGATCCCCGGCCAGGGAGCTGACCCAGATGGGGCAGCAGATCTCTCCTGTCTCACCCTGCTGCCCTCCTCAGCAGTGTATTTCAGTCATTCCACCTGTTCTGCTCCCCACTCTGTCTCTGGCGAATCCTCTCACCCCCCCGCACCTCAGGCCTGCACCCCAGCTCTTGTATGCGTAAATAAATAAATCTTTAATAAAACAAGAGAGAGAGAAAAGAAGTCAGCATCCACCAATCACGAGCCACTCGTGCCACAAGACCAGGTGTGCTGGCCCCAACCCACTTCACGTCCTTGTAACTCTAGTTAAATACCCCCATGCTCTGCTAGGAAGCAGAACGGTAGTTTTTCAGACTCCAGCCTGCTGCCTTCCTCCATTGTCGACAAATAAATAAAACTTCTTTCCTTTGCCTCAAAACTGTTCTTATTGGCAGAGGGGAACTGAGACTGGGAATTCCGGTGTCCGTTCTCCCGGCAGCATAGCTGCACAGACTCCTCGCTGCTAAGCCAGTGCCAGGGCGCAGTGGGTGCTGAAGAATGTGACCAGTCACTCCTGGAGACTCATCATAATACCCCTAAGGGCTGCACTGGCAGGTAGCTGTGTGTAAAGACTTACTTATCCCCCAATCACCCCGCGAGACAGGCCTTATGGTGAAGGCTGACGTCCCTCGAGGTAGAACAGACCTGCATCCCACAGGTGTCAACCTTTGGAAAGTGCGTCCTGCCTTCATGGCTGCTGGACAGTGCCCTTCTGGACGGCTTTTCTACTGGAAAATTAAATCTTACTATGGCTATTCATGGGGCAAAAATAAAAATAAAATAACTAAACTGATACCCAATACAAAAATTAATTCAGACTTGATCGCAAACCTAAATTTGAAACTTACAACTATAAGCTTCTAGGAAAAAATATTAGAGAATTTAGGTTAGGCAAATAATTCTTAGATCAGACAACAAGCATATAACCATGAAAGAAATGATTTGGACTCAATCCAAATGATTATCGGCTACTCTTTAAAAGACATTTTTTTTTAAAAAGCCACATAATAGGAAAAAGCACCTACAGATCACATATCAGACAAAGGAATAGATAATATTGAGACAATGAGAATGTACCTTGAGGAGATTTTGCTAAGGGAAGACACAGGCTAAATCAGACAAAGAAAGGCAAGTGCTGTGTGATTTCATTCATATGTGGAAGGTGAGGAAACAAAGCAAACAAATAAAACAAGCCCTTAGATTCTGGCTACAGAAGGGTGGTCATCAGAGGGGCAGAGGAAGGGTTGTGGGTAAATCAGGTAAAGGGGGCCAGCTGTATGATGTTGAATGGAAACTAGAACTTCAGTGGGGTTGTAACATTGTATACAAATGTTGGAATATAAATCTACACATCTAAAACCTGTATAATGTTAAAAACCAATGTTACATCAATAAAAATTTTATTTCATTTTATTTTTATTTGTTTGTGCATACAACAGCTGGGGTATAGGCCAGAGGTGCGGGGGGTAGGCCATGAGAAGATTCACCAGAGACAGAGTGGGGAGCAGAACAGGTGGAATGTCTGAAATACACTGCTGGGGGGAGCAGTGGGCCAGAAAGGAGACGTCTGCTGCACCATGTGGGTCACCTCCCTGGCCGGGGTTTGAACTCGTGCTGCAGTGGCTGCTGATAGCTTCATAATGCTGAGACTTAACACCTTGTGCCACCAGAGAGGCCCCCCAATAAAAATTTTAAATGAAAGAATTCCCCAAACTGGGAGGGTGTAGGGGGAAAGCATTACTCCTTCACTATTGGTGGAAATCTAGTTTGGTGCAACCTCTATGAGCAATGGTATGGAGATTCCTTAAAAAACTAAAAATAGAAATCCCATATAACCCAGCAATACCACTCCTAGACATTTATCCAAAGAATATGAAAGCACTAATTTGAAACTAATGCACCCTTGCATTCATAGCCCAATAGCTGAGACATGGAAACCACCTAAATGCACATCAGTGGATGATTAGATAAAGAAATTGGCATGTGGATACTGGACGAAATACTACTTAGCTGTTAAAAAAAGATGAAATCTTGCCTTTTGCTCCAACATAGGTAGAGCTATTTGATGCTAAACGAAATAAGTCAGAAAGTGAATGACAATTTGGTAATTACCAGATGGCTTCTCTCATATGTGGAATATAAATAATCAAAGCAAACAAACCAACAAGTCACAACATAGATAACTATTAGATGCTGTGAAAAATAGTGTGGTTACCACAATAGTGTGAGAGGAATGTGTTCTGCTGATGGTGGAAAGACAGAGCTCGTGGTGGGTGAGGTGGGTGAGGTGGGTGGTGGGTGAGGTGGGTGGTGGGTGAAGCTGTACTCCTGAAAATTAGACAGTATGTAAATCAATGGTAAATCAATAAAATTTCATTTAAAAAAGAATCCATGTTCAAAGAAAGCCTGTACAAAAGTAAATACTTTTGCAGCAGAAAGTAAATACTTTTAGCAGCTTTATTCATAGTCACCCCAAACTGGAAGCACCCCATATCTAATGTTTTATACCCAATTATATTACCCTAATGAATGACCATCTTGTTCACGAAAGTTAGTTTCAAGTGACTCTTGGCTAATTTCTCCAGCTCAAACTCACCCTCATGTATCATAAGTACATCTGAAAGGCCCTAAGACAGTTAAAGGGAGTGTCTGGCAGTGCTGGGCACCACCCCTGGGAACAATGTTAAAGAACAAGGAAGTAGACAGGTGGGGAGCCTGGAGGTCCTCTTCAACAGAGCAAGAACAACTGCAACAGGGGTAGCAAAATTCCACACAGACGTAAATGCTGCTAAAGTCCAAATGCCCAAGTTCTAGAAGGGAAGGAGTCCTGAGCTATGTGGCTGAGGTTCTCCCAATGCAATGCCCAGATGGTGGAGATACAGGAATTTGTCCAAGTGTGTTTCTTATGCACTTTGAAGTTTGAAAGCCATGGTGTTTGGGCTAAAATGACACCCAGAGCACCCTAACATTCCTCTGCTTTCCTCCCAGCATGCCAAGTTGTCCCAGGGCTTTGGCTCCCTGGTTTCCGCGACCACTCACCTCCAGGAAGTTCTGCAGCGTGATCATATCAGGGTCCATGTTGTCCATCAGGAGAGCTTGTAACATTTCGTCTAAGGCCTGCGTGGTCTGACAAGGGAGGGGGCATGGGGGTCGATGCATGCAAGCCATGAACCAGCTCCAGTTCCTGGGCACTCCCCACTCTCCCACAGACCCCTCCTCATGGGGAGGGGAAGTGAGGGCCACCCAGCTCTGCAGCCCCATGACCTCCGCACTGCGCAGCCACACTCTGACCCGCCCTAGTGCTGACCTGTCTTGACCTCACTGAAGCCGCGTCAGAGTCAGTCCCAATCACAGGCCAAATAGTGAAATAGTGGGCAGTTCTCCCCAACACATACAGCCCCCAGGGGACTCTCCCCATTAGAGATCTGTTCTGTTAGATTAAGGAAACTCCTTTCAAAGCTGAAAATTCTTGGGATAACTTGCTGAGTGACTGCATCCACTCTTGGGTTTTATCATTAGACCATTTCCCCCTAAGACTCAGGCTGTCACGGAATTAGAGGGGTGTGAGCCTTAGTGAGGGAAGGGCATGAACAGGTGGCGCTACTCGGAGCAACATGAGGTCCAAGGGGCTACAGGCTCCAGGAGGAAGTGGGGGGTCAGAGGAGAAAGGGGCCAAGGTGCAGGGAACAGGTGTCCCAAGACAGGCCCTCCCTGGTGACCCCCCAGTGGGCGGGGACTCCATGGGGATTACCTGGATGTAGAGACTGACTTTCTCCTTCTGGTCGAGGGAGGGGAGGGTTAGCGGCAGAGGGAAAATGCTGGTGATAGCAGCGCTCGCCAGGTTCACTTTCTGGCATAAGTAGAATGGTGGGTGCACCTGGCTGGGGAGACAGGTGAGGGACAACAAGAGAGTTTGGAGGCTATTTATAGGGGTTGGGTTATGTTTCTAGAACATTCTCTGTTGCTCTCAGAGGCATAGGAAACAGTGTCTGAAAGCGCAAATGCTTTCCAACAGCCTCCTTGTTGGGGAAGGCAAATCCTCATTCTGTGGGGAGGCTTCCCCACACTGAATGTTCTAATAGGGTTCTAAGAGCAAAATTGGGGATACTCCCACCACTCTGGATATCGGTAGCTGAGGGGACAATCACGGGGCCCTACCACCTACAGCTCAAAAATCAGGACCCTAAATGTGGCCCATCTCCCCAACCCAAATGTTCCCAGCATTAGAGACACAGGGGCTCCGAGGGTGTGGGAAGCAAGGAGGAACCTCAGGGCCACGATGCAGAGCATAGCTTTCACACGCACGCTGCTGACCAGGATCTCAGTGGACTCTTCGAGGATTAGTGTCTAGAGGGACCAGGAAGAAATGACAGTGCTACTGAGAGAGAAGCCACCGGCTTCAGGCCTGGGATTCATCATCCTCATCCCTCAATGACCACTCCCAGGAGTGCCTGGGTCTCTCTCACCTCAATTCTCCTGGCCAGAACAGCTTTGGGAAAGTAATCATTCATATTGCCATGTGCCTGGGCATGAACAGCGCCAGTCAAGATCTCCACAGCCTTCAGGAACTTCAGCTTGTCAAACTCGGACTAGGAGATAACAGACTCCGCCATGAGCCAGGCCTTGACCCTCAGCTCTCCTATGAGCCACACCCAGGGCTATGCCCCAGGTGCTACCTCTCACACCCAGCACACATGATTTCTTCAGTGCAGTCCCTCTGCACCCTGGACTGGGTTTCATCATTGTCCTGGTCCTCCTATAGCCCCCTGTGGACTATGAGACTAGAAACCTATGTGGAGGACCCTTTGTATAGGAAGGGAGCTGACAGACACCCTCTCTGATAACCTGGCCACTAAGATTGCCCATGTCAGGAGGAATTGTAGGTGGATTCCCAGCCAGAGCGAGTATTCAAAACCCAAGGAAGCATGAGCTCTCATTTTTCTCCCTACTTTTCTCCTCAATTCTTAAAAAGTTCCAGATAATTTCCTTACCACATATTGTTGAGCTAGAAATTCCAAAATGAGCTGACAGGCTTCTCTTTCAGATTGGTGCAATCCTGCAAAAGAGAGGTAGTCAGCAGGAATTTAGCTGATTCTATGAGATGCAATAAAAAAAGAGCCACCTTACCATTCTTTGCCAAAAAAGACCCAGAAACCACCTGCATGCGATGTAAGTGTCCTGCTCCAAAATCCAGTTTCTCCAGGCCTGTGGCCACCTGGCGTGGATATTGGAAGCCAAAATGATAAGGCAATTGCATTGGAACTTAGTTTAGTGATTTTCAGTGTCAGCCATGGCCATGGATGGAAGATTATCCATGTCACCCCCCAGATGCCACAAGTTAGTGTAACTGTGCTAGAGAAGCTCTGAAATCCCTGAACTTGAGTGGACTGGAAGCCCCAGATCAGCAGCGGAACCTCCCTTGCCAGCTGGGCTGATCTAGCCCCCTGGGCAGCTCTCCCAAGCAGGGACTCAGGTGTAGACACAGAAGCTGAGGAGGCTAAGAATAGAGACTGTTCATCCCCAGGGGTGTGGGAAGGAATAAAGCAAGAGGATGGAGAAGGGGGTAGTGGGGGGACCAGAAGCAACCAAGGCAGAGTGACCTGAGTCCTTTGCACAGGGCCCGAAACAGAGCACCCGGGGGTGGGGCTCAGAGCCAAAGCACAGCAGCAAAAACTTCAACTGCCTGAGTTCAAAGCCCTGTGACCTTCAACAAATTAAATTCTCTCAAGTTTCCTTTCCCTATCAGTACAGTAGGGGAGATGACAGTGTCTCTCACCGTTGTGAGGATTAAGTGAATTAATACATGTAAGGAGCACTCTGTGGCAAATGAAATATCTCCAAGCTCAGATCTGTCATCAGCATGGGGATGATAATCACAGGACCTGTTATTATTATAATGAGGTTTAAATTAATTCATTCCTGTAAAAATTTCAGACTAATCCTGGGCTCACAGTAGGAAATCAATCAATTCTCCAAGGATGAACTGAGCTCTTTCTATGTAAAAGGCATCTTTCTAGGTAGCGCTTACAGGCAGAGAGTTCACATACCAAGTGCTTCCTTCCAGGAGCTACTGCTGCACATCCTTCTTATCCTTTGCAATTACTCATGTAGATTTGCAATATCCACATACACAGAAGGTCAGAAAAAAAGTTAATTGACTTCGCGTGGTCTTGAAGGATGTGTCATGCAGGTATCTAGGGAAAGAGCATTCCAGGCCAAAGGCACAGCAAGTGCAGAGGCCCTGAGTCAGGCCATGCCTGACATGCTCCGGGAGCAGCAGGAAGGCCTGTGTGCTGGCCGTGGAGGAGCAAGGGTGAGGTGGGGATGACAGTAGAGGGGAAATGAGACAGGTGTGAGGGCCTCCTAAGGCTCTTGTGAGGGCTATTGTAAGGGCTTTGGCTTTGGCACTGAATGGGATGAAAGGCCTGCGTGGGTTTTGAATGAGAGCGGCACAGCAGAGTGGTCTTGACTAGGAAGGACAGTAAGGGCCTCTCCCTTAGGGTGGAATCTGCACATGCAAACCAGCACAGGCTGCACACATTGTGACTAATCATCTGTTTTCCTTAAACTAAAATGTTTGTTTAGAACTGAGATTCCTGCACCGATGATGCCTGAATGAGTGCTGGACCTTGACATCAAAAATTAACCAAGAGCACCAGAATGTGCCAACATCAAGATAACTGGGAAACTGATAACAAACTCTAGAGGCTGAACGTGATGAATACCAAGAATATCAACTATGACCAGCAGTTCTTATAAACTGATTCAACTATGATTGGCTGTTTGCTGATGACTGTTCTTGTCTAATTCATCATAAAAAGACCAGCTTGCGATGAGATAGCAGAACAGCCTCTTCAGGGTGCTGTGCCCTCCGTTCTCGCAGACCAATGGCCAGGGGGTTGAAAAATCAAAGCACTTCCACATTCTTGCCTCTGCTTATTGGCTTTTTGGTAGTGCCAGGCAGCAGAAGCCAGGCCTATTCCCAGGAACAATCTGAATTTATTTACCGAGACTGTTGTGGCTGATCAGTAGATAGCAGCTCCGAGGTGGAAGTGGACCATGGTGGGGGGGCACATGACATAATCCAGGGAGAGATGGTGGTGGCCCAGACCGGTGCAGGGAGGAACAAGTGGTCAGATTCTGTCCCTATCTTTCAAGTAGAACTGAGGGGAATAGGAATGAACTAAATGGAGTATAAAGGAAGTAAGAGAAAGACAGATGTCAGAATTTTTAGCCTGAGAAACTGGAAGGACTGAGCTGTCATTAACTGAGGTGGAGACAGGTTTGGGTTGGGAGTGAAGGCAGTTCAGTCTGGAACCTGTTAAATGTGAGTGGTCTCGGAGGCATCCAAGTAGCCATACAAACAGGCAGTTGGATGGAAGAGTCTGGAATTCAGCGATAGGATCAGGAACACAGATTCCCAAAGTGGGGGTCACTGGCAGAGAGATGGCAGCTAGAGGTGGACTCTGGCTCTCCTGACTGAAGCCCTAGGTAATGTCCTAGGCCCCGCCCAGCTCCCCGGCTTCTCAAAGGCCACTCTGAAAGGGGACAGGTATGTAGCACAGAGCTGTGAAGGGGCACCCAGCAGGCAGCCTGTCACCCACCCAGTGACACCTCAAGCACAGGGTGGGCTCGCCATCACCTCTGAGCTGGTGCAGTGAGCTGAGACACAGCCAGTGGCAGGACTGACAGCTTACCTGTCAAGTTAGGACTCCAGGATTCATGGTCAAAGTACTGTGCAAAGGTGACTCTGTTGGGTTTTTTCTTCTTAAGCTGTCGACTCATTTGCAAGCTCCAGGCAGTAGCCTGCAGCAACCAGGCCAGAGGTGAGTTGCTCCCTAAGGGTGCAGCTTCTCCGCTGTGGTGAAAGTTGGGGGAGCAGGCCTTGGCCACAGGAAAGGGTACTGGCTGAGCAGTGCCGGTGCTGGGCCCGGCTGCCAGCTCCCCTTGCCTCACACCTCAAGGGCCCGGGTGCATCCTGAACTCCCAGGCATCTCAGTTAGGGCTGCCCCTTCTTGGGGAAATTTCACACTCAGAGGTTATCCCCCAGGTGAAGTGTTCATCCCTCTGTGATAAACTGGAATAAACTGTTTCTGGGAGGCTTACTGCTGAAACCCTACAGCCCCTTTGTACCTGAGGCTGCGCCCATTTTCCAATTCACAGGGTCATTCCACCCTGTGAGAGTCAACATCGAGTCCCCACAAGTCTGACTCTCCCAGACACAGCCCAGGGCAACCAGGAAGAAATTACTGCCCGACCCTGTTCTGTCACTGCCCAGTACATTGGGCCCCAATCCTGTGCATCCCATTGGAAACTCCCTGCAGCCTCCCCTACTCCCACCCCCACCCCCAGCTTTTTTCTCCCCCTCCTGTTAGCGGGTCCCATCTGTCCTGCTGTGAGGAGGCGCTTCTTCCTCAGACAGGTGTTCCCTTAGAAACTTCTTGACACTTGATCAAGGTCTCCCTAGGCCTAACTCATCACAACTCTCAAATACAGACTCAGGGCCGCTATAATCTGTAATCCAGTTAGGCTAAAGATGTTTAGGTCTGAGACCAGGGTGCCTATAACTTCTTCAGAAATCTCTGGAGTCTCTCCTCCCAACCCTCTCCACCAAGAAGGGAGTGAGCCAGGCCTGAGCCAACAGGGCCCCTAAAGCCACAGATGCCCAGGGTCCTGGGCAGAGCACTCAGGGCAGGGCTGGAGCCGCCCCCAGCCACTGTTGTCCACCCAGACCTTCAGGCCCTGCCCCTTCCTTTGCTGTGGAAGGGGACTGCCAGCAGGGACCCCTTTACCTGACACGCTGGCTGCCTCAGCCAGGACACACGCCTGGGGGCTGCAGGGGGCGCTGTGTTCCTGGTACTGGGGCGGCCCCTGCAGGCTGGCAAGGAGGTGGTCCCAGTTGTAGGTCCCCACTCTGACCCCTCCCCTATGGTGCTCCGTAGAGGGAGGGGTTGCAGGCAGCCCTGCCCAGAGGTGGGAAGAGGCCTTACAGGGAGCTGCTTTCCCCTCCCCCTCCCTGTCAGCCAGCTGCAGAGCAGCATTTCTCGTGAGTCTCCTCCACTCAGGGCATCAAGAGCTCCCCAACAGGGAGACTCCTTGCCACATTTATCACCAACCATTGACCTGCCAGGCCCAGCTGAGGTTTCCACAAAATGCCCTGTCCTTGGGGAAGTGCCCCCAGAGCACCACTCCTGCCCAGGGGGAGGCCTGAGAGCTTTGGGGGTGGGGGGGGGGTGGCTGCGCTTACTTCCATTCTGTCAGGGAAGCAGAGCCAGAAATTCCCCTATTTCCCCAGTGCCCAATGGCCTGGTCAGAAGGGCTGAGAGGCCAGACCACTGGGCCACTCTGGGCAGGCAGCCTGTGGGCTGGGCAGCTTTGCTTAGTAAACGTGGCACAAAAGAACCCTTCATCAGTTTGACCAATCACAAAGGACAGACTTTATTGAAGCATTTGGCACTAAAACCCACCCAGTCCTGGCCCCACGGCCAAGTACACACCCACTACACGGGCTTTGCACAGGCCCAATAAGTTAATATACAGGACCCTGGGGTGTGGGGGTGCTCAGGTGCCTCCTGGCTCAGCCCGAAGGCTCTGGGCTGCTGGGAGGATGCTGGGGAATGGGCTCAGAGACAAGGGGGGAGAAGAAAATCATCAAAAATAGGCCATTCAAACATGAGGGGGGCAGGGTCGACCCAAACAGTGGGGGACTACAGGATGTGGTAAGAGCCCTGTAGAGAAATGCAGGTGCTTCCCCTTGGGCTTCCCTCTCCTCCCTCCAAGTCCTCTGGTGGACCACCCTGGTCTCTCCCTTGGCCCCCTTATGTAGCTGGTCACATGGCTTTCTGTCCAGCTGGGAGAGCCACCCCTCTGGGGGCATCCAAATGACTGGAGCCCGAAGCTACACTCACAGTCAGTGTCCAAGCCAGGGGCGCTGGGAGGGGGAAACGAGACTCCAGCTCTCCCCAACCCTCCAAGCCCCCACTCAGCAGCCTTCTCTCTGAAGCAGGGATCGGGCAGCAACAAGGGCCTGGGACGAGAAGCTGGGGCTGCCAGTGGTCACAGCGCAAGCTGCTTCCAGACCACTCACGTCCACATGGCTGGGACAGCTGACGAGCGCCCTTAGGAGTTGTGTCTGCACAGACACAGATGCAACCCCTTCATGGAAACCCACATCTCAGAGCAAAAGCGTCCCCCCAGACAACATGCCACAAAAGTGGTGCCAATCCAAAAATATGACTAAAGTATTGGTCAGAGTGAAGGAACTTCAAGCCTCCATGAGGCCCAGAGAAGATGGTCCCAGGGGGAGCTGCTCTCCAACCAACACCAGGCCCCATCCCTGGGCCTCCTGAGTCAAAATCTTGGGGGGGGGGGCCTCGAACTCTAGGTTCAGAGGTCTGAGTGGATGCTGGGAGCCCATAGGGCAGAGGGAGGGAATAGTGACTGGGGGCCCCTACAGAGGATTTATAGGGCCAGGAAGACTTCCACCAGGGCATACTGACCTTTAACCTTCCACTTGGTGTGTGCATCACAGAGCACATTATAACAAGTGAGGAGATTCTCCCCCAGAGGGGGCACCCTACACCACCCAGAGACCTGGGACACAGGAGTGATATGTATGCGCAACGGGCCGGGAGGGCCAGAAACTGTCCTCCAGGGAAGTTCTTGGAACCAGGGACGGGAGCATTTAAGGAATCCTGTGTGGGCTCCCTGCTTCGCGCACCCCAGCCCACTTGTCTTGCATAAGGAGACAAATGCTGTCAGGCAGGCCAGCCCTCAAGTCCAGTAGGCCAGTCTCTGGGCAAAAAAAATTATCATATTACAGGGATCTTGAGGACAAATCACAAATATAAATCCTCAGTCCAGGACTTCCAAATAAAAACTGGTAATAAAAAAAATTCAGCTCCAGGTCATCGACCTGCGATGGGGGAAGGGAGCTGAAGAAGGCACTTGGGGGCAGGTGTCAGCCCCAGCCCCGCTGAGACAGTCCTTCCTGGTAGCCGGGCCGAGGCACTTGGGGCACAGGTGACCCTGGCCTGGGTTACACCTGGCTGATGATCTCGCCATTCTCAGGTACAAAGACCTGCACAGGGGCCCCCTCGGGAGATCTCCGCAGCACACACACTGTAGGTACCTGCCAGGGTCAGAAAGAAAGGAGGTGGGTGAGCAAGCCAGGTAGAAATGTCCAGACAGTAAGCCCGGCAACACCATCCCTGACCCTTAGGATGCTGACCGGAAGCAGCCCCCGCCTCTCCAGAAGGCTCTGACCCTCATGGAGCACCCTCATTCATTTCCACTCCAGTTTGCTTTGGGGTGGAACAGGCACCCTGACCTCCTCCTCCCCCTACTTTCCTGAGCTCAATTCTCACCACCTTCCCTGTCTGGCAGGTTGGGATAGGCTAGGCCTGGGCCAAGGACAGGTCCAAGCTTGCAGGAAGGGAAAAGCATGTCAGCTGGAGGGTGCGGCCTGGGGACCGGGCCAGGGTGCCAGCTGCAGCCCAGAGGACTGGGGGTGGGGGAGGAACATGCAGCTGGGAAACTCGGGGCTCAAAGGGGCGGCCTGTTGGTACTCCTGGAGCATGTCCCTACGTCCCTACAGAGCCCTTCGTTTCCGGGAGAAAGAATAAAGAAAAGGGACTTTTTATTCTTTAATAAAGAATATTTGAGGACAAATCACAAATATAAATCCTCAGTCCAGGACTTCCAAATAAAAACTGGTAATAAAAAAAATTCAGCTCCAGGTCATTGACCTGCGATGGGGGAAGGGAGCTGAAGAAGGCACTTGGGGGCAGGTGTCAGCCCCAGCCCCGCTGAGACAGTGTGTGTGTCATCTCCATTTCCAGAAGGAAGAAACTGGGCTTCAGAAAGCAGGCCACCTGTGTCAGGGCAGCATGCCCCACCAAGCTGCTCCATGCTCTGGAGTCCCAGGGAACACCACTTGCTTAGTACTTACTCTGCATTGTGCTAATGATTTTACATGTACTAATTCATTTACAGCTCTAGTGGCCCTATGTGATGGGCTCCTTACTAGTCCCATCTACAGAGGCTGAGCAGAATTGATTAACTTGTCCAATCAGGCCTTTGTAAGCAGCAGGTCTGAGACATGAACCTGATAGTCCAACCTCAGGATCTGTTCACTTAACCATTACGTCACCCCTCTCCACGGCTGCCTAGTGGGAGAAGGACAAGGAGAAGCTGACTGATGAGTAATCACGGACTCTGGCTTCTGCAAACACAGTTCCAGACTGACCCTTTGCTGTGGGTCCTCAAGTCAAGATATTTGGGGGTTCATTTGGACTTTTAATGATGAGTAGAGACCAACTATGGCGCTATTAGGGAAAAAAAATCTCAGCTATCTGGGAAGATCATCTCCAGCAGCGTATGTGGGTATGTGCTCTTGAGCTAGACAGGCAGGCAAAATTAGGAGGTGCCCCAGGGGAGTGGGGTGTGGCTTCCACCGCCAAGAGGAAATGGTTTTTCCCCTGTTCTTCCGAGCTGGGGATTACCCAGGCACCCGAGGGCTCTCTGCCCCCGGCCCTGCTGGAGTCGCTGCCCTTTCCCTGCGCGCAGGCCTGTGACCATACCTGTGTCCGCGGCCCCAGGGCTCGCGCGAAGCCGTCTCTCCCGGGGGGCAGGCTCCGGACGCGGAAGGCCCCTTGGCGGTCCAGCGAGTGGGGCCGGGCGCTGCGGAGGCGGGCGCGCTCGTGCCAGGACTTGAGCTCCTCGGAGACCGCGGCCTTGCTGAGCCCGCGGCCGGCCGGGCTGTCCTTCAGCGAGGGCGTCCGCACCACGCGGCTGTGCGAGGGCACCAGGCGCTGGAAGCGCAGGGCCGCCCCCTCGTCGTCGTCGTAGGCCGGGGCCAGCGCCGCGCGGCACAGCTCCCACTCGCCCGACGGCAGGAGGCCCTCGGCTACCATCACGTAGCGCCCGGCCGGGAGGTACCCGGGGGGCAGCAGCAGCTGGGGGTGTTGGGGGACCGCGCCCCAGGCCCCGCGATGGCGCGGCAGCTGCGGGGGCGACAGAGGTCGCAGGAAGGAGATGTCGGGGCTGCTGCTGCCCGGCGAGGTGGGGTGGGAGATGCTGGAGACGTCGGAGCCGCTGTCCTCCGAGCAGGAGTGGTAGGCGGGGTGCGGCAGCGGGGGCTGAGTCGGGGGGAAGCAGGAGGAGGGCACCGTCACCGTGTAGTGGGTGGGCCGGCGTCGCGGAAAGGCGCTGCGACCTCGGCCCTCGGGTGCAGCCCGGAAGGACTCCATCCTGAGGGGGGAGGGAACAGAGTCTGGGGGACCGAAATGCCACCGAGGGGGGTTGGAGAGAATGGGGTAAGGAGCACTACCCACTCGCGGGGGTCCCAAATAACCTCCCCCAAATAAAGACACCCTCCTGGCCTAGTGTGTGTTTCAGGGCCTCCCCCCCACAGGCCAGCATGGCTCCGACCACACCTCAGTGGCTTGGGTGAAGTGGGCACTTCAGCGCCACCTATTTTCAGGAATTCTAGTTTCACTGAGTTCAGTGGCATTTCAGCCACAGAATCTGTTCAGGTCGACATTGTCAGGTATCTAAGGGGAAAGCAGGAAGCGTCACATGGTACAGAGGGACTAAGTGTCCAGCGATGATGCAAGGAGAGACGTCAGAAGTCAATCCTGCCAACACTTTGGTCTGAGACTTCCTGCCCACCCACCCCAGTTTTGAGGTGGAAGCCACTCAGCCCGTGTGCTCTGGCCTGGCAGTGCTAGCTAGGAGAGGGCCGCCAAATGCAGACTGCCCCCCGACCCCCACAAGCTGGAACGGAAATCCAGCCTTAATATTCTTCCCATGAAGGGAACGGGGTGGTTTTGTCTTCCTGGGGGGGTTGGGGGGGGTGGAGATGCCTTTAACTAATCTGCAAAGTGTCTGTAAAATGGCCCTGGCAGTAGGTAAAACACAAAAAGCACTGCTCCACTGGAGAGCGGTGGTCACAGTCATATCCGCTCCAGTGTGGCCTGACGAATGAATTTAAACTGACAGCAGAAGCAGGGAAGACTTGATGGTGCCCAGAGCCTCCCTGGGATGTAGCTAACATGGCCTGTGCTAACTCCATCTCGTAAACTACTACCAAGTGGCAGAGGACTTGGGGGGCAACTGCTTGTCATGCTGCATGGAATCTGTATTTGCAAATTCTCCTACTGCTGACGTTATTGATAACCTCAAAATCTACACAGCATTTTCAGGTCAGCATTTTCGTGGTCATTTGCAGCATGAGTGTAGTGATGAAAAAATGGGAGTTGCCCGACGGGCCTGTTCCCAGGTGAGGTTGAGCAAGGCTGTTTTCAGCTGTTGGGCTATAAAGAAATGTCATTTCCACAGTCTGTTCAGTGTCACCTTTTCCATATTATTGTGCTTCATGTCAGTGATTTCACTAGTTAAAATGGCCCCAAATGTCGTGCTGAAGTGGCTCCTAAGCACAATTTAATCTGACAGAGGATATGATGCGCCTTATGGAGAAAATACGTGGTAGGGGCCTCCCTGGTGGCGCAGGGGTTAAGACGCAACCTATGAAGCTAGTCCGTAGCCACTGCAGCATGAGTTTGATCCCGGGCAGGGAGCAACCCACACAGCACAGCAGACCTCTCCTGCCTCGCCTGCTGCTCCCCTCAGCAGTGTATTTCAGTCAGTCTGCCTGTTCTGTTCCCCACTCTGTCTCTGGTGAAACCTCTCACCCCCCCACACCTCTGGCCTGTACCCCAGTTCTTGTATGCACAAGTAAATAAATCTTAAAAAAAAAAAAAACGAAAATACATGGTAGAAGAGCTTTGTTTGGGCGAGTGTTTACAGTGCTGTGGCCATGAGTTCAATGTTAATGAGTTCACAATATCTATCAAATAAGGTGTCTTTAGCCATGAACTCACAAGGTTATATATTAATCAGTAGACTAAAATGTTGTGACCAAAGGTCTCAGAAACCTAATTTCCTAGGAGCAATGGTTCAGTGTTTACAAATTCAGTATTTGCGGTGACCACAAATGAATGAAAGCTGACTGCACAGCAATTAAAAAAGTGAATTATGCATTGTCAGTGACCGATAATAGCAATTACAAGCGATTGCAAAAATATCTGCCAAGATGTTCTCTTGCTGAATGCGAATATGGCAAGAGGAGAAAGCTGGAATCTGACTGTACAAAAAGACAAAACTGGGGCCTTTGGCTTTGCTAGTTGTGAGAGATAACCTGGGAAGGGACCCTAAGGAGAGGCCACGGCACCAGCCCTGGCTCACACGCCTGTCTCGGAAGCCACCCCCCTCCAAATGTAAGCTGCTCTCGATGGGAGGGCCCCCTGCATCTTGGAGGTGGCCTGTCTCTTACCTCAGGGATTGTGACTGGCCCCTCCTCCCTTGCATCTCGGGGGTGGCCGGGGCACTGGTCCGGCCCTGCCGCTGGCTGGGAACACTGCGGACAGGAACCATTTGGTAGGCGGGAGGCTCCACAAGCCACAGGCTGGAGGTGCAGGGTCCGTCCTGGGGGGTGGTAGCCGGGCTGCTGCACGAGGATTGGAGACAGGTCAGTGGCACAATGCCTTCATTCAGGGGCTCAAGTTTTACAGAGGGATGGGCATAGGGGAAGGGGACTCCAAAGTTAGTGGTGTGACATACCAGCACCAGTAAGAACTAGCAAAGCTCACACCTGCACCATCACACAGCGAAGGGGAGGGCAATCTCTCACAGCCCTGCCCAGCCTGTGGCCACCCCCGACACAGTTCCCACCTGCCCCCCACCCCCTTTGCCTCCCCACCCTGACCTGGACTCGCTATTAGGTTCAGAAGACTTCCTGGGCTTCTCATAGGGGTGATCCAGGCTGGTCTCCTTCCAGGGGCTGTTCTGGATGGGGGCACGGTCCAGGCCCCCAGTCTCAGGTCCCGCTGGCTGCAGCCCTTCAAGGCTCTGAGGTGGGAGAGGCCGGGAAGGCAGAGCCAGGGACTCTGGGGAAGGTTTTGGCCCTTGGCATTCCTCTGCAGGGGTAAAAGAACCTGTGAAGGCAGTGCCTGAGGAAACAGCCCGGCAAGAACCTTGGCAGCCTGAGCTTGGCTGCCCATCCTGTCACTCCAGGCCATGGCTCCAGCCCCAGATATTCAAAAATCTTTCCCTCTTCTTTGGGGCGTCCCCCTCCCTCCCTCCCAGCCCTATTTTATACCTTCCTCTTTCAAGAGGTCCTCCAGATTGATTTTCCTTGGCTCATCTTGTAGCACTCTGCCAACCCACCTTCTAGCCTACATCCACGATGCCATGTCTGCAGTAACCTTCTGTGCACCTACTTTTCTTGTCCATGCTGTCCATATGCCCTATTTCTTTTTTTTTAAGATATTTATTTGTGCACACAAGAACTGGGGTACAGGCCAGAGGTGTGGGGGGTGGTGGTGAGAGGATTCACCAGAGACAGAACTGGGAACAGAACAGGCAGATTGACTGAAACACACTGCTGAGGGGAGAAGCGGGCGAGTCAGGAGAGGTCTGCTGAGCCATGTGGGTAGCTCCCTGGCCAGCCAGGGATCTAACTCATGCTGCAGTGGCTGCAGACAGCTTCACAGGTTGCATCTTAACCCCTTGCGCCACCACCCTATTTCCTGATTGGCCAGGGCATGCCTCTGGGCAGGACTGCACTGCCTTCTTGGTCCACCTTGAACCCCATTGGCTCTTAAGCTATAGATTCTTTTCTCCCCCAGTGCTACTTTTTTAAAAAGGGCAGTCATTGGGCCTTCCCAGTGGCACAAGGGGTTAAGTCTCAGCATTATGAAGCTATTGGCAGCCACTGCAGCATGAGTTCAATCCCCGGCCAGGGAGGTGACCCACATAGGGCAGCAGAACTCTCCTGTCTTGCCCGCTGCTCCCCTCAGCAGTGTATTTCAGTGGATCTGCCTGTTCTCCTCCCCACTCTGTCTGTGGTGAATCCTCTCATCCCCCACACCTCTGGTCTGCACCCCAGCTCTTGTATGCATAAGTAAATAAAATAAATCTTTAAAAAAAAAAGAGGGCAGTGATTGTAGCCAGATGACTCTTGGGCTGTGGCAGGGGCATACTGGAATAAAATCTCAGGGCAAAGGCAGGGTCTCCTGGGGCCCACTCTGCTTTCCCATCGCTGTCAAAATGTCTGAGTTTTTAGCATGAGAGAGCGCCAGGATCCACCCCACCCCACCCCCACCCAAGCTGTATGTAATGATGGGCATCAAGCAGGAGCAGAGGCCCTGCCTTTACTTGCTCACTCCAACTTCACTCCCCATTTTAAGTCCTCCTTGGCAATCTCTGCCAAAGAAAGCCTCAAGGTCTTGCTGGAGAAGTCCAGTCCTGGCAACTGTCCCGAAACCAACATCTCACCTTCCTCCAGGAGCAGCCCATCTGACAGGGAGCTGTCATCGGAGGCACTGAGCTCTGGGAAGGCAATGGGGAGAGAAGAGGTGATAAGGAAATCAACCCACAGATATGGAGAACAGGCAGTACTGGGCATCCAGGCCTGCCGTTTGACCCCTCCCTGATAGGATCCCTCACCAGGAAACACTCACTGTGTGTTCAATACCACACCAGCTGTGAAATTTATTACTTGGAAGTAGGAAAAAAAGTCAGAGGTTAGGAACCAAGAGACAGGAAACCTGATTTTAATCCTGGCTCTGCCATTAGCTTTGCAACCTTGAATAAATCTTTTCAACGCTCTGGGCCACAGTTTCCCCTTCTGCGAAAAGAAACCAGGGCCGCTTCTAGCAGGGTTACCTGGCAGGGGAAGGGAAAGGCAGAAAGCCATTCTGGGAGACTCTGGGGATGAAAAGGATTTTACTAACTTTCTATAGTCTTCTGATATCCTAAATACAACTCAACTCTAAGGTTCCAAACCTTGCCAGTACCAAGAGCAGTGCCTGGTGGGAATCTAAGCCATGGGGTTATGAGGTCAACCCCTCAGGATCTGGCCTCCTGCAGAGGGAAGGCCTTCCACTGAGGAATACAGCAACTCCCCTGAAGGAAAGGAGATGTGACGTCTCTGCCTGGGACGGCAGCCACTGGGACCCAAGCAAGTCAGAGGGCACTTGTTTTTGCCATCACCCTTGAGCAAACTGAAACCTTCAGATCTGGAGAATAAACTTAAGGTGACCTGGATGGAACGCACAAAGCATTTCCCATTGTTTGAGACCAAGATGAAGAATAGTGAACAATAGCTAATATTTCTGTTGTGCCAGTGCTTTCCTAAGTACATACATGTAAATTCATATAATCCTGATAAACAACCCTACAAGGTAAACACCATTATCATCTCAGGTGACAATTGAGGAAGCAGAGGCTTGTGAATACCGCAGCCCAGGTTGAACCACCAGCAGGCTGCTGAGTCACAATTCACACCCAGACAGTCTGACCTGACCGGAGTGGGGCTCCTAATCAGCACCTTCATCTGCTCGCCTGTTGGCAAGCAACTACTACATAGGTTTTTCCCAAAAAAATTCTAAGAAAAATAAATAATTCCAAGCACCTCAAAATCTTTTAAAATTGGAATTGGCAAACGAAAGGTCCATGGGCCAAACCCAGTTAACTGGCTGTTTTTACACACTTTAATTGAAACACAGCTAAGGATTTGTTTATATAACAGCACAAAGCCTAAACTATTTCCTCTGGACTTTTACGGAAGCTGGTCAACCTTTGCTCCACCACGTAAATGAAATAAAAACTTAAATGAGGGGACTCCCTGGTGGTGCAAGGGGTAAAGTCTCAGCACTTTGAAGCTATATATGACCACTGCAGCATGAGTTTGATCTCCAGGCAGGGAGCTGACCCACATGGCACAGCAGACCTCTCCTGTCTCACCCACTGCTCCCCTCAGCAGTGTATTTCATTCAATCTGCCTGTTTTGCTCCCCACTCTGGTGAAGCCTCTCACCCCTCTCCCCCATATTTCTGGCCTACACCCCAGCTCTTGTATGCATAAGTAAATAAATAAAATAAATATTTAGGAAAAAAAACTTAAATGAAATAAAAATTCACCCAGCACAGTTCTTAACGCGTAGGGCATACTGCCAGCCCTCAGTGTACTTGGCTCACACAGGCCTGTGCTTTGGGGTTCTCTTAATGAATTCTGGTTCCCTGCCTCTGATCTTTTACAAAAGCCTGCAGAATTAAGACTTTTGTGTCTTGCAAGTTGGGGAGCTTGTGGAACTGTTACCACCATGTCCCAGGGATGGGCCTGGGCCAGGGCCGCATTGCAGTGGTCTAGAAGACCATCCCCAGCACCCCTGGCCTCATCAAAACAAGCAAATCCAGTTCCAAAGGCCAAAGAAAAAGCAACACAAGGGGGAAATTGGGGGCCCACAGCCTTTGTAGAGGCAGGGAGTGCAGGGCGCACGTGGATCTTGGAGCTGCTCCGCTGTCTGGGCCACACTGCCCCCACCTGCCCTGGGCCCAGCAATGGTAGCAGGATACCCCATGTGAGGGGTCACACACCCTGGGCATCTGCAAAGATCCAACACAAAAGCCGCTTGTCACAAATTTAAAACTCAGTTCCTCAGTGACACGCGTGGCTAGTGGTTACCGACATGGCCAATGAAGATAAGTATTTCCTTCATTTTGTAAATTCTACCAGGCAGCAGCGGGCCCTGTCAGTCAACAAAAGCATTCGGAGCGCCTCTGAGATCTGAGGTGTGAGGTGGAGGGTGCCCCCGCCACCTGCAGAGCCAAGCTCACTGTCCTCACTGGGCACGATACAGGCCAAGACTGAATGACCCTGTGTGCAGGCCCGTGGTTGGGGTGGTCTTTTGCTTTTCCTTCTTTCTTTTTTTGGTTTACTTATTTTTTATTTTTTTTAAATGAAAACACCTTTCAGCTACCAATCACTACTCCCTCTCCCCATCCTCCTTTCAGGGAGTGCACAGCTGGGAGGAGCGGCCCAGAACAGCATCCGGAGCTGCTCCTCCCGCTAATGCAGAACCTCAGACCAGCGACCAGACAGGTTTTGCGGGTGCACAGAGCAGAGGCTTCTTCTCTGATCTGGAGGTCAAATGTCAGCAGCCAAGCCAGCTTCTCTCCCCAGCTCTGGCTTCACCTGACTGAGTGCCCAACTTTCAGAACCTCAGCCTCTTGCCTCCCACAGAGGACTAAGCCCAAGCCCCGGGCAGGTCCTGGCCTGTCCCCTCTGCCAACAAGAAGCACTATTGGGTCGTGGCTGAAGCAGTGACACCCCCTCACCATCAGCTACCTCAGCACCTGTAGGCCTGCGGACAGAGGAGGCTGCTGAGTTGTGGGAGGCTACTGGGGACACAGGAGGGGCTGATGCCAAGTGGGGCCTGGGGTACATGTCACTCCCCTGCAGCTCCCTCCTGAACAGAGCAAGTCTGCCCTTGGGACTTCTGTGACATGCCAGTTGCTGCCCTTCAAGGGGAGGACTAGCTGTGGGGCCCTGGGGCAGGATGGAGCATGAAGGATGTCTCTCCCATCAGAAGCTCAGGGGCCAGAGTGTGACCTGCAGCCAGGCCAGGCCCAAGCACCGAAGTCAGCCCTCAGAGCCCAGGCTAGTTCCAGCGTCTCCTGCGCTTACTGGGCCAGCTGTTACAGGAGGCATCTCCTCTCTCATCCTCTGCTCCAGGCTGCTGGAGGTGACATGTGAGGTGTCTGGTCACTCCCTTTCTACCCTTACTTAGAGACTGGGTGGGACCGGGGACTTCTAAGACCTCACCTGCCCAAGGCACAGGCCACAGGGACCAGGAAGGGCTTTCTGGGTCTGTACAGTGTCCAAGCAAGTGAGGAGAGCGGCCTAGGCAAATAGCCGATCTGAGGTCCAGGGCTTAGAATCCAGGGGTGTGGAGAGGCAGGCAGGCCTCAGATTCAGTTCTGCCCCAGGACCACCATCTATTTCCTTCTCTTGTTCCCTCTTGTGCAGCTTGCAGGGTCTGGGGCCCCTAAGGGGCCTGGTGGAGGGGCAAGCCCTGGGCATGAGACTGAGTCCTGAGCTTAGCTGGATGTGGGTTAGGGAAAGAAAAGCAGGGCTCAGAACCACTTCCTGGAAGGTAACCTGGGCTGGACACACTGATGTCCACTGCTGGCTGGTGCTGGGCCCCATAACCACCGGTCTCTAAACCATGGGCTACAGGACTAAACTAGCAGTGCAAAAAGGGCAGAGAACAGAGTGGAAGAACTCCAGTCTTGACCAGGGTGATTCCAGATTCTGAATGGACTGTGGCACTGGCCCTGGCGGGGCTGAATCTCAGCCTCAACATCCACAAGTAGCTGAGGGCCCTGAACGATCGCACTGCAAGGCGGTGACTGACTCTGTACCAGGGGACCCACCTGGGCTCACACAAGCCTCACCCAATTAGCCATCTACCTCCTGCGGCCTAAAGGCCCGGAGGACAGACCTTAGACAGCCTGGTTAAATAAACCCTTGGAATAAACCAAGGCCTAGAGAGTGCCTTCTGTCCAGGAAGTCTTGAGGTGGTGTATTTTGAGGAGGTTATGGAGGAAGGGGTGGGATGTTTTCCTAGGGGAAAGGGTGAGGAGACTCACTGGATGAACAAGCCCTGTGCAAAGGCGTGTTGGGGTTGCAAGGGTAAGGGTGGTGTGTAGAGGTGGCCCAGGAAGCAGGAGCTGATGTGGAACCTTAAACACGGTAGTGGATATATGCAGTGCCTTGGGGTGCCACCGTCCACCACCCCACATAAGCCTTCATGGGGCCGCCTGGCTCAGGACAGGAGACCCTCGTGGCTGCAGGCTTACCTGGGCCCAGGTGGAGAGCAGGGGCTGGAAGGGGCCCACTGTTGCGCCGCTGCTCCCCCAGGCACCGCTGCAGCTCCCGCAGCTTCTTCTCCTCATGCAGCAGGGCTTGCTTGCGCTGCCGGCGGGCCTGCCTGCTGAGGTTCCCCTCCTTGACCAGTTGCCGCAACGCCTCGGTGATCTTCAGCTGCAAGGCAATCTGCTGCTCCAGGCTGCTCAGGGGGTCCTGAGGGCAGGGGCAGAGTGAGGCATGGGAGAGGCAGGTGGCCCACAGAGAACAGCCCTGGACCCTGGCCCTATGCCTGGGGAGCAGATGGCAGCATCCATGGATGGACAGAGGGTGGAGTGGTGACAGGTGCCCAAGAGCAAACTTGTCAGCCTGGAAAGCTGGCACAGGCACCCTCCCAGCAGGCAGGGAAGGGACCTAAGTGGGACACTTTCCCTCCTGACCCCAAAGGCCTAGGCAGGCCAGCCCAGAGGGACGACTGTCATGCCAGCCCCACGCCCTTCTTCTAAGCCAAGAAAGAGGAGGACAGCCCCAGGGGCCAGAGGAACCTGTCTGAACAGGCCACAGCCTCTTTGGGCTGGTGGCTGAGCTCTCCACTGATCTTCTGCCCAGTGGGAACTGAAGCCAGTATCCTCCCTAGAGGCCCAGCCCTGGGTCCCTGGTCATTTGAGCTACACATGACTGGGCATCCTTTTGTAGATGCAAAGCCCAGCACCCCGTTGGGTGTGGCAGAGTGGAGAGGAGGCGGCGGGACTCAGCGATCTGCCTTCGGGGAAGGAGGGCTGACCTCGGCTTCCTGAAGCTCCTCACCTCCTTTTGCCAGGCCTGCTCGTCCAGTGTGTAGGCCGCTCCAATCCTACGGCGAACCTTCGGGGCCTTTTCCCCTGGTTTGAGGGGATACTCTGCCGGCAAGGTGCCCGTCAGCTCCTGTGGAGGAAGTGAGGTCAGGCCAGGCCCCTGTCTACTAGCCCAGCCCTCGCCCACCCTCCACCTGCCCTGCATCTTCAGGGTCCCCTCGACACCCCCTCTGCTTCTCCTGCAAGTCTCCTGCTCAGCTTCTCCAGAGATCTATTCTGACTCACGTGCACTCCCAGCTCCCCTGGCCCCCTGCAGTCCTCCCTATCCTTCCTCCCTGTGCCTGAACCTGGTCAGCTCTGCCCTCCATGGGTGGGCTAAGGCCTAACGCCCACACACAGGGAGATACTCTAGGCACCTCCAGAAATTGATCTGATTTCCAGAATTCTCCCAGGAATGGGGTTTCCTTCTCTCAGTGCAACATCCCAGAACATGGCCCCAGGGCTCCTCGGAGTCCCTCTGAGTTTATGTGTGCCAGCCGGGCATCCAGGTCTCACCGCCTCCCTCACGCAGAGTCTCCTCAGCTCCTCCAGGCAGGCCTCCAGCCTTTCCTCCAGGGCCTTCTGCTGCTTGCGCACGGCATGGGTCAGCTCCTTCACTGGGGACACCGGGCTGTCGGGGCCTGGGGAACAGCAAGGGCACAGACTCAGACGCCAAGGCCAGGAAGCCTCCCTCAGACACTTCATGATCGCCCCTAGGCAAACACACAGCCTCCTGCCAGCCCGCAGACTACAGGCTGTGGCTTGTGTCGTGACCACAAAGAGCCACGTCTCCTGGCCGCCCAAGGTGGCGACATCCCAGCTCAGAGGGACAGGCTCCCCACAGGGGATCTGAGTGGGGGGAGCACCACACGTCACTCCCTCCCCGCCCTCTGCCCACTGCAGAGCAGTCTCCTTCCTGCCCCTTCTCCCCCTCCCGCCTTCTGTCTGCTCTTCCTCCCCCACAGCCCCTCCCCAGCTCAGGCACACCCACAGGCCTCCCCTCTGCTCCTCTGTCCAGACCACACCAGATTAGGCCAGCAAGCTCAGGTCAACTGGAGACAGGACCTTTACCCCAGCCACCTAAGATTTTTCTACTTCTTAGTTATCGCTGGGGCCAGCTGAATACGGCAGATGCTTCTTCCAGATAGACTCCAGCCTCCAGGCCCTGCCCAGGGAGGAAAGCTGCACTTCCAGGAGTCCAAACAGGCTTCTCTGGCCCTCCCTCCCCCCACCCCCTTGTCCCTCCCTAGATCCTGGCCTGGGGGAGTCAAGCAGGGGTCCAGGTGGGGGATTCCCCAACCACTCACCAGACTGCAGGATGATGCCACTGTCGGTGTCGCTGACCTCATCCTTACTCTCCATGGTGGATTTCTGGGAGGGGGGGGTGCAGCCTGGGGTAGGGTGACACCGTTCCCAACCTTGGCCAGGACTCGTAGGTGGCCTGGAGTTTCCCCAGCTTTTAGGGAACAATAACAACAAAGCAGTTATGTCAACCTCTTTTTCCAAACAGAGCTAAGGAATCCAACATTTGTGGTGAGGGGGTAAGGAAGTGAGGACACTGTTTTGGGGGGCATTCTAGGGCAGGGGGTTTTTTGAGCTGAGGGAGCTTCTGAGAGAAGCCTCACCAGCAAACCTGTCTTCCATGGATTCTCTGGTACCCCAGGTCCACAGAGACCTCTGGGCCCAAGGTGTCACAGGACCCAGTGAGACTAGGGAGAAAGACAAGGCAAAGAGCAAAGGAAGGATGAGCAGAAGGGGATGGGAGAAAGGGGCAAGAGGACAAGGCCAAGAAGGAAAGGAAAGTAGGACAGGGACGCCGTCCTCATGGGACTCGACTGTCCTATGGGGCTGACCATCATCGGCCTGAGAACCTGGGGGGCCTGTCCTCCTGCCGCCCAGGGTGAGGGCACCTTCAGGAATGGCTGGGCACTCAGCCAAGGCCTGGGCTGCAGTGCCTGAGCCCAGACTACCCTGCTCTGTGGACTGCTGGGAAGGCAGTTGCCAGAGAGCTGCCAGAGCCCAAAACAATTCCCGGGCCACCAGCTCTGCCTGGGAGCCCTCAAGGGGGAGTCAGGCTGAATGCCAACACCCCACAGTCAGGGGAACCCAGAGAGTGTGTAGGGGGGGCAGCTGTGCAGGGTAGGGGGGAGGGTGATTAGAGTAGAAGCTGCCAGAGGCCAGGAAGACCGGCCCTCTCTGCCTCCCTGCCTAGGGCCGGCAGGCACCTGGGTGGCACAGGTACAAGCCCAGTTGTGTGTCAGCCCAGCTGGGCACCAGTCGCCAAAACAGCACCTGCCACCCGCCCCCTCTCTCCTCAACCAACCCACAACCCTGGTCAGGGTCCCAGCGGGCCAGGACCGGGGCTGGCAGCCCTTGGCTGGAGCAGGGTGGGGAGGGGCGGGCTCAGCGGGCCGGGGCGGTCTGGAAGGAGAGCCCAGCCACCTCCTCACTGAGTCAGCCCATTGAGCAACAGTCCAAAGGTCCTTCTGAGTTTCTGTCTGGAGCTTATCCTGCCTCCTTGGGGCACCGGGCCACAGGGTGGGGAGGTGGGCTCCGCCCCTCCGCCGCCCCAACAGGGGAGAAAAGCAGGCCTTGAGAAAGCTGAGCAGAAAGCAGGGCAGGGAAAGGGAGGGGACTGCTGCCAGCCACAGCCCATTGCGGGCCTCTGCCTGTGGAGACCCAAAGAGCAGAACAATGGAGAGCCTCCCCAAGTACCAGGGGCAACAAGGAGCAGCACCACCATGACAACAATGTGTCCCTGCACTCAGAGCTTCAGTTCTCCAAGGAAATCCAGAAAATGCATGGCAGAACTTTTAAAAAGTTTATGTGAGGTCTTTGCAATCATACCAAAGAGAAGTTGGTCATAGGTTCTGGGGATCCCAAACAGGGAACTTAGGGTGAGCTCCCTCCACTGGACCCGGCCCTCCCCACCTGCACAGTTGCTTTCCTTCACCAACCTGTGCACCTCTGACCCTTCCAGAAGCCAGGGCAAGGTCACACCGAGCCAGCAAGCAGGCGGTGTCAGCTGGCACCTCAGCCTGTGCTTTGGATGAGGGAAGGAGGTCATGTGGGATCTATTAATTAGTCACACTTGCTAATTAATTATTAACCACAAGGAGTTGCCTTGGGAAGTTGTGACCACTCACCCCTGTTTCTCAGGAGCTCCTTGCCAATAGTAACGAGTGGGAAGTTACAGAGACAAAGGAGAGGGTGCCAGTCCCCTCAGCACGCCCCCCTCTCCTCCAGTTCCTTGGCCCCATGTCAGCCTGGCTGCTGGCTGAGGCCCTGGTGTTCCGAGGTCCTGACCTAATATTGGGCCCACTCTGGATAGCTTGCTGTGCCAAGGAGCGCAAAGCGGCTAAGAAGGGAAGGCAGGAGCCAAGATTCAAGCCTGCTTTCCCTACTGCCCGTGACATGTTAGGGAAGTCACGTCGCCTGGCTGGGCCCCTTTCTTGCAGGCACAGCGAAGACTGGACAGCTTCTGAGGCCCTCCCCGCTCCCTGGTCTGAATCTGAACCTCTGGGCAATGTTAAGTTGAACAGGACACCCACATAGCCACTGAACGGACATTTATCTGTCCCCGCCCCGCTACCCTCTGGTTGTGGGGACCCTGCCCCACAGCCGTAGACCAGGCTCAGCTCCCACCTCCCAGGCCACAAGCTCTGGAGCAGGACACATTTCAGGCATTGCTTTTAATAATGGCAGTTCAGAGAACACGTCCACCTCCCCAACATGGCAGGCCTCCGGGCCCCCAGACCCTTAGTCCCGAGCGAGGGAGCAGCCAGCAGCAGCCCAGTCCTGGATCCCAGGAAGCAGTTCACCTGACTGAACACTGCCGTCAAGAGGGAAACAGCAGTCCTCTTTTCCTCTCAGGCTCCACGGCCGATCCTCCCCAGCAAAAATGTGCCCCCCAGTCAGGTCATGGCCCTCTCATCCTTCCTTTCCTTTCTCCTGTAGAAACTGAGGCCCGGCACTCCAGTGGCAGGCTCCTCACTTGGCCTCACCAGCAGCCCCCTCTCATCCCTGTACCCTGGACACAAGAGGGGGCTAGTGCTGATTCTACAGCCTGGGCTCTGACCACCGTGTGGGCCCCCCTCTCCTAGCCAGCCTTCCCCGTGACTCCAAAGACCCACTCTCAAAGGCCTCACCTGCTTCTAGGTTTTGTTCCAGGAGTCCGGGAAACGCCCCCTTCTCCCAGGTCAGGGGGCCAAGGGGCGCTGCATGTCACCTCTGGTGTCCGGGGCCCGTGGCTGGCTGCCCTGTGCTCTCCGAGCTGGCGCCAGTTCTCCACACACCGATGGCCGTCCCTTCCCTGTCCCGCCTGCCGCGTCCCTCCCAGGCTGCTGGGGCAGGGGAGCCAGGTTGCTTGTTATGACTTGAGTCAGAGGGGAGGAGCAGGTGAGCAAGTCCTTCCCTGAATTAATCCTGCCGACAGGCAGCTCCTGGGCCTCTGCACTTCCGGACACAGCGCGGGAAGCCAGGAGAAGGGGAGGGTCCCCATAGAAGAACCCCAGAAGGCAGCAGGGAGTATGTCTTCATGGCCTCAAAGGGCCCATGTGCAACAATGAGCTGTGAGGTACCCAAGCACCCTCTTGCTCTGACCCTGGCTGTCCTTACTCAAATAGTCACTGCCTTCCTGTGCCTCGGTTCCCCTTTTCAAAAATCAAGACAAGCCAGGGCCCCAGAAGTAGAGTGAAGGGCCCCTATCCAGTCTGGAGTGGGGGTGGAGTCCACAAAGCCTGTATGAGATTATCTCAGGACATCCTTTCCCCCTAACACATGGAGAATACCAGCAAGAAATTTATAAGTGACCAGATTGGTCATTGCTCTCCCAGCGTGCTGAAGTGGAAACCCGTGCCACATCAGGATTTTGAAAACCCCAGGCAAGGCAGAGATACTGGAAGGGGAGGCAGAGACACTGGAACTCCAGAAGGGGAGGCTCTAGAGCCTCAAAGATTAAACTGTTCTCTCTTTTTCTCAGACATCACCCCGCAAGCTCAAGGCCATCAATTCCCATCCCTCAGCAGAGTTCACAGAACACTGCTCTGTACCCCAGTGCCAACCCTACTCCCCAGGAGGACACTGGGACCCCAGGCTCTAAAGCCACTTCCTAAATACGAGGGTCCAGAGACCAAATGGAACTTTTTCTTTACAAAAGCTAAGAGTCCAGTCTCCCACCCCACTGACCCCCAAGCAAATTGAAAACTGTCTAGAACTCAGACCACTGGGGGAGTGCACTTGGGTCACGGATTATCCATCCCCACCAGCAGGCCAGAAAACACAGGACTATGCTGCAGATTAAAGACTGCAGGGGCCTCCCTGATACGCAAGGGGTTAAGCACCACACTATGAAGCAATCCGAAGCCTCTGCAGCACTAGCCAGGGAGCAACCCACATGGTGAGGTAGACTTCTCCTGGCTCACCCCCCTGCTCCCCTCAGCAGTGTATTTCAGTCAGTCTGCCTGTTCTGTTCCTCACTCTGTCTCTGGTGAATCCCCTCACACACCCACACACACACACACACCCACACCCCCCCCCATCTCTGGCCAGCTCTTGTGTGCATGAATAATCTTTAAAAAAAAAGACTGCACCCCAGACTTCATCCCATCCCCACCACCCTCCTCCCACTGTGCCCCCTTGCCCTGGCATCCTGTTCCCTCCACTTAAGTCTGGATTGCTTCCTCCCCAGCCCTGAAAGACCATCCCTCCCCCACCCAGCCCCATCCCCCAGCTCCATTCCCCTTCCCTCAGGGCTGGGATGGTGGAGGAAGAGTTCTCCACCAAGGATCTTTGAGGAACTGTGTCACTGCCCTAGACCCAGCTGCCCCCTCCCCTTCCCCTGAACCCCCATTGCTCCTGCTCACAAATCTAGTTCACCTTCACATTCCTGTACACTCCCTCTTTCCAAACAAAGCTAGCCCAGAGTCCCCCAGGTTGACCAACCCCTTTTCTCCCTTGGATAAGGAGCTTGCTCTGGGTTCCTGAAAAGCCCAAAGTCCTTTCCTCCCAACCCCCTCCCATGACTCTATAGGTTTGTCGAATTCTGTTGTCACGTCAAACAGAGAGGAGTTGACTCTGCACGTAGCTGACACCATTCCTCCACCTTGCCCATCCCCCAGCTCCAGGTGAGGGATGATGGGAGTTTCTAGAATCTGCTCACAGCACATTTTTAATGCATAAAATAAAATTAAGAGAATAACTAAGAGAATCAATTATATTGAAATACATTATATTGAAATTTTTTAAAAAAGCAGCACTATAGATGCTTCTTTATTAACATTAAAGGGGTAGATGCTTCATAGAAAACAGCTGTAACAGCTTCAAGGGGATATGGCGCTATCTAGGAATGCTTTTGATGGCAATGTCACAGGTACTGCCAAATTTCCTTGCAATGTTAACCTTCTATTAAAGGTTGGAGAAAATAAAGATGTCCTCTTTTTCCCATCTAAGGTCAAGAAACCTCTGAATTCTACCCAGATGCTTTGGTGCCCAGGGACCCACTTACAAACCCCTGCCCTCCACCCCCTACATGAGTTCTCAGCAGGGAGGTAAAGATGATCAATCCAGTTGTTTGCACTGACCTGCTGGAATTCTAGAAGATCCTTTGCGCCCTCAAATCCACAGGCAACAATTCTCAGGCCAGCAGAATGTTAGGTTTGCAATGGGACTGGCAAGCCAACTGGGATCCTCTGGATCTTGCTTGACTGTTATGCCATGCAACTCAAAATAGCAAGGGAGGTGCAAGCATTCCAGAGGCCCATCAGAATTTGGGGTTCAGTGGCCCACTCCATTCAGTCTAGGTCAGGGGGCTGATGCTCCAAAGCCAAATCCCAGAGTATCATGACCAAGATGACTGACTGGTGAGGACATGGGGTTTCCTTGCACAACATTAGGGTAATCGAATTTAATCTCTAAAAGGAGAAAAACTGCATCTCTTTAGAGTTTACATTTCCTGCAGGAAAGTCCTCAAACAGAAAGCTCTACGACACCCTGTAGCCATCCACTCTCCAATATATATTTTAAACTTCTTTTTAAAGTTTCTTTAAGTTTCTTTTGATAGAGGAGAGTGGAAGTTCCTTAAAGCAAGGGCCTCCTCCTGAGGCTCCCACCAGCCCCCAGCCAAGTCAAGTCTCCTGAAATCTCACTTAATGTATCAATGAATCAATGACCAGCGCTACAGCCAAGAGCGGAAAAAGACAGAAGGGAAAAGCCCGGACCCTCCAGGCCGAAGAGGGGTGGGGTGAGAGACCCTTCTCTGTTTTTTCCTCCACTCTCCTCCTTTCCTACAGGGAAAGGTGATCACCTCCAGCATCGATGGTGGAATGGGCTGGGACCAGGGGAACTCCACGATAGCCTGGAATGCACCCTGAAGTCAGACCTCTCGGCTTTCCTTAAAAAGCCCCTTTGTCCTGTCCACCCTGCTCCCCTCCCCCAGCGCGCCCTCGGCATCTAGCGGCCCAAGACTTTGCTCCTTTTGTTTGACTGCTTTCTGGCTTCCCGGAACCTGGTCTGGGGACCCACAAGCAAAGGGGAGGTCGAAGGAGAAAGGTTGAGGAGCTGGGAATATGCATTTTGGGTAGGAGTTTGGAATTCTCACCCCCTTTTAAAATTTATCTCCCCCCCTTGTAGAGCCCCCCCTTCGCTAAGGCCAGAGACGGGGGTTCAGGGGTTTGATCCCCCCCAGCTGGCCCGCGCTGGGTCTCCCTAAGTTTTCCCCCTTACCTGTCCCATGGAGTTCTGGCGCCGCCCGCCTGCCCCCGCGCCCCCCGTTTCTGCCTCGCAGCTTCAGGACCTGTTTGTCCAGGCCGTCTTCCCGCTCCCCGAGTCTCCCCCTGGCCTTCCCGCCCCGGAGGTATTTCATTTAACTTCGGCATTTGCAGCATCCCAAATGTTAAAGATCCCTAGACATCTGTCCCCTGGGGCGTACCAAGGCCCCGAGGAGAGAGGGGACCGGCGCGAGAAGGGACTCGAGACCCCGGCCCCGGAGTCGGGGCGGGGCCGCCCACCGGGCTGATGGGGGGCCTGCGGGGAAGGGTGTGGTGCGGGGGCAGCCGTCGAGGGGCGAGGCGGTCCCGGGTCCCCGCTTCCGGACGCCCGCCTGCTGGGACCCCCCCGGCGCGGCGGGTTCGCGCAGCCGGGGCGGGAGGCGGCTCCGCGCTGGGTCCGGGCGAGCCGCCTTTCATCCGCGCGCGCCGGCCTGGCCGCGCCGGCCTCCATTCCCGCGGACCCCCGGGTGGGCCCACGCCAGGCGCTGGGGGGCTGTGGGCGCCGCGCCCCTCCCCCGCAGGCCCCCGCCTCCTCGGCCTCCGCCCGGGTCCCCTTAGGCCCTGCTGCGCCCCGCGCCTGCTGCGGAGCCCCCGGCGCGCGGGCAGAGCCGGGACCGCCTCCCCGGCCCCCGCCCCGGCCCACTCCGCCGCCGGGCGCCCGCGGCTCCGCTCCGGCTGGAGAAGGAGAGCAGCCCTCCGGGCGAGCGCCCCCGCTGCTTCCTGCGCCCGGTGTGTCCGTTCTTGGAGTCCACCCATTCATCACTCACTCGCCCGTCACTCTCGCTTCCCCGCTTTCGTTTGTTCATTAAACACTTACTGAGCACCTCCAGTGTCCAGCACGGGCGATCACAGTTCGCTTCCTTTCCTGGAGGAGGCCCCAGGTCGACAAGTAATGCAGCCGCCGCAGCAGCAGCACCAGTGCAGTAAGGACCAGCCCGGAGTCAGGACAGGGGAGGCGTCTGCAGAACCTGGCGGGAATGGGGAATGCCTGGGGAATCCGGAGCAGTGAGGAGGAACTTAAGGCAGCTGCTACAAAATGTACAAAAATATAATGGCAGAGGAGCATAGTAGGTTCTAGAGGCTGCAGGGAACTCGGTGTGGGATGAGGAGGAGGGAAGGGAATGGCAGAGACATGAGGCCAAAGTGCCAGGCAGGGGCCCATCATGAAGCAGGGCAGCTCCAGGTGGGCCCCTGGGATGGACACTATAACCAGGGTCCCCCTTCTCCATCCACCAAGCCCTGCCCAGGCTCAGAGCTGGGCTGCCTAGAAAGGGTGGCTGTTTCTAATTTGTGCAAAGGCACTGTAGAAGCTACACTGGCTGAAGAGCCTTGGGGGTAGCTAAGAATTTCAGAGTTTTGTCCTGAAATTGAAGAGAAGGTATTTGTATTAGTCAGGGGTCTCCAGAGAAATGGAACCAATGGTTGGTTGGTAGGTAGATAGGAAGATAGGTAGGTAGGTAGGTAGAGAGAGAGAGAGATGTAGACATAGATGATAACTTTTTACGGTACTTTTTATGCAGTTGAGAAAGTTGACAAGTCCAAAATCTGCAAGGGGAGCTGGCAGGCTATAGCCGCTTGGTTTGAGTCCAGGGCAGCCAGCTTACTTGTAGAATCCCCTGTTTACCAGGGGAGTTCAGGGTTCTTTCTATAAGGCCTTTAACAGATTCCATAACACACACATCTGCTTAACTCGGAGTCTACTGTTTATTTAAGTGTTAATCTCATATAAAAAAATACCTTCACAGGAACATATAGAATAATGTTTGACCAAATACATGGGCATCATGACCTAAGCAAGTAGCCCAGGCAATAAATTAAAGACCACCGACCTGGGAGCCGACCCGGGCAGACCCACTTTTAGAAATGGCTTCTGAGCCATGAGAGAGAGTAGTTTGCAGAAATATAGATTTGTATTCCTTTCCCGGTCTCATTCACCCTAACCTTTCCCCTGGGTGGGAAGCAGAAGCTTCCCGAAGGCCCCTAAGCCTGCTGAGATAATAGCAGGGGTCTTGAGGTCAAGGGCAGGAATATGGTTTTTGAGAGCCAGGAAAGAGAAGTGAGCTGGTTGAGAACAGGAAAGAAAGCGGTGGGGGGGGGGTTGTATAGCAAGACCTCCACAGGGATGGGAATTGGGACCCTGCGCTACAAGGATTTCAGAGTTTTGTCCTGAAATTGAAGAGAAGGTACTTGTATTAGCCAGGGGTCTCCAGAGAAATGGAACCAATTGTTGGTTGGTAGGTAGATAGGGCACTGTTCCCCCCCCCCCACACACACACACACACATACACACAGCAGCAGCAGCAGCAGCAGCAGCAGCAGCAGCAGCAGCAGCAGCATGGATCTCAGCCCTGCCTGCTTTTTTGGCTCCTCCCAAGCCTGCAGGATTCTGCAGGAGAAAGTGGAATTTTTTTTTTTGCCATACCAGCAGGCCCATAACAAAATTAAATTGAGTTCAAAGAAACAGAAGGTGATGTGGTCTTGCAAGCCTGAGTTTGTAGGTTGAAATTTATAGCATACTATTATCTGCATTTACAGATAAGGAAACCAAGGTCCAGAGAAGTGAAATAACTGGCTTAAAGCCACACGACCAGTAAGTGACTCACGTAGGAATGAAAGGTCTTTCTGATGCGGCTGCCCTAAAAATTGTGGTTGAAAACTTTCAGATACCTACAGGACAAACCTAAAGGAATGAAGTGTGTCAGGTTTAAGGATTCTGCTATTCCAGTGTGGTCAGATTTAGTCTGCAGGGACACAAATCTCATCACTGGCACTGGTGTTTGTTGGGGGGTGGGGGGAGCGGGGAGCGGTGAACAGGGCCAAAGGGGGTGGTGGGGACTATGGGAAATTCCAAAACCCAGACTCGACTCAATCTTAAACAGGGGACCACCACGTTTGTCACAAGGAGAAGCGATTGTCTTCAAAACCAAAAGTGTAAATCCAGATTTTTATCTGAGATCTTCTGATTTGTATACCTTTGATGATTTTGCTAAAATTCCATAGGAATGAAGGAAGATGTGTCTACATTCCTTAGCCCATAATTGGAGTGGCTGCTTCCCATGTCTCCAAGCCTCGGGGAAGACCGAGTCTGGAACTGGTTTGGGCAGGAAGCCCCAGGCCGCAGGAGAAGCTGGGGCTTGGGAAGCAGGTGATGTGGAAGCTGAACAGGGGTCCCCTCTGGGAAGTAACTGCTCAGCCTAAGGAGGGAGGGGAGGGGCGCAATTTGGGGAGGACAATAAGTGCTCATCAGCTTCCCTCTTCCCACTTTGGCCAAAGGTGACAAAAGTTTCTCCTTCATCAAATGTTTGTTTGTATTTCTGGGAGGTGGTAGAGGGGTCTAGAGTTCTTGCTGTTGAGGACAAACGGGGGACCAGGGTAGCATCTGCATGCTGAGCTGCTAAAAGCTGAGTGTTGCTTGGGCAGCTGCCCCTGAAGCTCCCTCCCCAGGACCTTCACTGCCTGCCAGGAGCCTCCCGGTCCTGCTGATGCTTACCCTCTGCCCTCCCAGCAGAGGACTGGGGGCTCCTTCCCTTCCTCCCTTCCGCCTCCTTCTCCGGGGATTGGATGAGGAGCGAGGTGATTCTCAGTGACCCAGACAGTGCCCTGTCGGTGCCCTGTTGAGAAACTCTTTGGAAACCCCAGAATGACTCGGAGCTGAGGCCCTGCTTCCTCCCCCAACCAACCGCATCCTGCTCATAGCAGGGGGCAGGCGAGAAGGGGCACTGCCATTCTCCTCTGCCATCCCTGTCAGTCAGAACCCCTGGATGGTGCAGGCTGAGCTACAGATGGGTGAGTTGCTGCGCAACTTAGGGGGTCAAACCAGGGGGCTTCATTCAGCTGCCTCAAGGGAAGAGAACCTGGGGAGGGACCCAGCACTGAGTCTAGACAGCTGTTTGGGGTACAGGGGCAGACCCATCGTGGGGCTTCAGCTCCCCGGTTGCATGAGATGGAAAAGGAGCCCACTTAACCAAGACACACCTGCAGCCTCCAGGCCAGCAATTTCTAAATGCTACCAGCGTCTCTTCAGAAGTTCCTGCCCCTGTTCTCCCCACCTTCTCTCTCTCAGCTTTCATTCTTCCTTCATCTTCTCTCTTTTTTCATCCCCCCCCACTCTCCAGTCCCTCCATCCTGGCCTCTGGGACTCTCATAGGATTCCAGGGCTCGCAGAACTACGAATGAGCCCCACCAGGGGAGATCACCAGGAGCTCCTTCCCTTCCTTCCCTCCAACTCTGGGCACCAATTGCAGCTGTAGTTGCTCTCCCTGTCTCGACCACCAGGGGGCAACAGTTATCAATAGATGGTTCTTGAGTCTTGACCAAAGGCCTCTGTGCCCCTGAGGGGAAGTGGAGGAGGGTGGGTGGGGTGGCAGGGAGACTCAACCCAGGTCTGGAGCTCCTTCTTGCTTCCTGAGGCCCAGCTGGTCCTCTCAGGTGGGCAACCCTGGCACCTCCGTCACTGCAGCCCCAAATCCCTTGCCTGCCTTCCTTCACTCTGGGATCTTGCACCTGCATGTCCTAACACCCTGCTCTCTGTGGCCATTTGTTCTGTTTTTCCTGCAAACTCAAAGAGAAACTCAAATTGAAGGAAAGACAGTGAGTTATGTTAAAAACAATACAGCTACTAAGATAAAAGCTAATTACCAGAGCAAGGAAGATGGGCATTTTGTGGGGCTTTCCAACATGGCGGAAATATGGTCCAGATAGACAGGACCATAGGGCCCCAAGGGCCACTGTGCTGCAAGCCCTCCAGTCCACCCCACCCCATTCCCATGAGAAAGGCCCGTGTCTCGTGGATTCAGACAGCGCATAGTGGAGACCTTGCAATTTCCTCCTTGTGGGGTTGTATGTACAGAATCCCCAGGCCGCTGGAGCAGGCCCTGAGCCTCAGACCCCTGTTGGCTGCATCTCAGGAAGACTGAAGACTGGGCAGCAGGCAGGAGGTGGGAATGGGTGGGCTGCTGCTCTGACAGAGGCTGGGAGATGATCGTTATTGTCAGGACTGATAACAGCCATGCTTCTCAAAGGCCTGGAGTGGCAGTGCCCTCCAGAATAGCACTGACACCTTTGGGGCCCTTTCCTCACTTTTCCTGGTGGTCGGTGTCAAGTGGTGCAGGCCCATAAATTAGGAGAGATGTAAAAATATGTGTTTTGGAGTCTAACATCCTGGGTCTTTTTTCTTTTTTTTTAAAGATTTACTTATTTATA